AATGGAAAAAGATAATAAGTCTCAAAACTAGAAAGAAAAAAAAGTGGAAACTTGAATTAATTTAATCTTAAGTGTAATGTTTTACACATCTTGTTCCAATATTGAAAACGGAAAATAAATTAATTCAATTGATAAACAGAAATATTCAAATGTAATTCTGATGGTCGATGGTTTGAAGAAATGATTAAATGTAATTCTGATCGATGGTCGGATAAATTCCTTTCCTACATCAGCAATATTTATAGTTTCAGTATTAAAATTTTCAAAAATGTATGCTATAAACTGAGAAAAATAATGCATGAAAAAAGTTCTCAGAAAGTTATTACCACAAGATAATTACTTTGATGATCCTATAACAGTTTTATTTATATAAAAAAAAAATTTAAAAAAAACACTATATTAAGTGCGCTCAACACTATCTCTTTTCTCAAATGTTATGGAAACAAATTGCGCCATTTTTGAAAATATGATATTTTTTTTCTAATTAAAGCTGCTTTTAATAATAATATTTTAGTTAAACGTTTGTATCAAATATATTTCTTCGTCATTTTAATATTTGAAGTATAAGTTAAGGTTAATTTTTTGTATTAGAATAAATATTACTTTTGTTTATATAAATTAGTGTTGCAAAAACAACAAAGATAGTCAAATAAATAAGACAGAATAAATGTGCAACGGGTTTGATGTCTTAGCTCCGCTCAATATAATGTGGTTATCATATAAGATAAGAATGAAATAGTAAATTTAAAAGAAGATTAATTGCATTCTCAACCCAATCGTGATATTTCCTTGCTTTTTGAATTAACATATTTTCTTTTTTTTCTCTCTTAAGTATATAAAACTACAACATGTAACATTTTTGTCAGTGAAACCAAGGAATTTGAAATTAGTTTAATTTTAATGCAATGCAGATAATGCCGATCTTAAAGAATCTGCTAAAGTCTCTCATAAAAGTAGAAAGAATTATCAAAACAACCTAATAAAATATTTTCTTCGAAGAAATTTTTTTAATTGATTGAAAAATAATGGTTTATTTAAACCAAAATACTTTAAATGATGACATATTTTCAGTTATTCTCAACGAAACAATGTTTATAGCGTTTTATTAAACTAAATGCGGTTTTTTAATTAAATTAAATATGATTTTTTTAAACAAAATCAAAGTTTGCTTTTCAATTTTGAATGAAAGCAAAATTGTTAAAAAGCATAAAAAATCGAATTTCCAATTTTAAAAATTTAATGGTCTTAATTTTAAAAATATAAAATAAGAACAAAATGTATTACATAAAAGCAATTTGATATAGGAATATAAAAAAAGCAATTCCAACAGTACNCTACACACCAGCTTACAAAATCTTCCAGACCAGCAATACGGCTTCCGTGCTAAACTATCAACCACTAAACAAGTTATAAATTTAATGGAATTTATCAGTAGTGGAAAATACAAAAAAGAGACAATGGCCCTTATCCTACTCGACGTCGCTAAGGCGTTCGATCGGGTATGGCATAGGGGCCTTATAGTCAAACTCAACGAAATGAATATTTCAAACAGCATACTACTCCTCCTAGACTCCTACTTGAAGGATAGATTCTTCAGAATCAAATTAAATAACACTTTCTCTGACTACAAACTAATAAGAGCAGGAGTTCCACAAGGATCAATTCTTGGCCCTTTACTGTACATTTTGTATACTGCAGACTTCCCTGTGGATGGCAGTAATCATAACGAGCTAGTCGCTCTGTACGCAGACGATACTGCATTAATAACGAAATCCATCAACACAAAAAGAGCAGTAGATTTACTGCAGAGAAAACTGACCACAGTGGAGAATTGGTGCTCCAAATGGAGGATAAAATTACACCCTGACAAGAGCCAGTATATGGTAATCAATAGCAAAATTAAATATGAGAAAATACCGAATATTACGCTATTCAGTATAGACATCTCACCAGTGAAACAAGTGAAATACCTAGGTATTATCATCTCATTCAACTTAAGCTGGAGCAAGCATATAGACGACGTTATAAAGAGAAGCAGAGGAGCGTTTTTCGCCCTATATGCTATACTGAATAAGAACTCCAAACTAGATTTGAATAATAAGAGATCAATTTATCTCCAAGCTATAAGACCCATACTGACCTATGGCAGCCCAGTATTAACTACCCTTACCAACAATTTAAGGAAGAAACTATCAAATTTTGAAGGAAAATTACTAAGAACCATGCTGGGCGCCCCACGGGCGATCAGCAACAAATCCATCAAAAAAGACCTAAAAATTGATGATATCAACCAATATATGGCGAAAATTAACACTAAATTTTACAAGGATGCGAAAGATTGCAACGCAGCTAACTTCAACAAAATCTTTGACATTGAAATTATCAGGGATAATGCTAGCATCAGTCCACTCACAGCTTTCCTAACCTCAGATTGCCTAATATCAAAATATTACAATCAAACTCAATAAATACAACACACGACAAACACACAGCTTAAACACCGGCATGTAACAACCTCGGTGACAGAGCAACCCTTTCGGGGGTCCGATCCGGGGGAGGTACACTGTCGTTAATTCTCAGAATAGTGAGCAACCCGGCACGAGCGGTTTTAACCGGGACGGCCGGGTCACTATAATAACAGAGGTATACTAATTATGTACATATCAACTAATTATATTCATATTCTAACCCTGTATATACATGTAAATAATTATCTGTTGTAAATAGTCCAATGCTTTGAATTCAATTTACTCGTGCTCGTTATTATGTGCATTACTCTTTATTAGATGTTCTTGACAATGGAGTTTTCTCCAACTTATCCTATTATTTAAATTGTTTGATTTAATTATGCCTTCCCAACTTATGCCAACACAATTCCGATGAATCGGTGAGTGGCGCTTCGCGCCAATAGGCCGAGATTTCTCAAATTCATAGCTCATAGCTATCATACATTCGCTTTCATAATGGTTAACTTCTGGAGTATGGGAGGGCGATCCCTGGTTTTCTCTATACGGAAATATGAATAATTTTAACTACAGGTTCACTATCTGCTTTAAGTAACAGAGAAATCGACTGTTACAACAGCGAAGGGTTAATGGTATATGTAGGAGATAGATGAATCTGTGGCGTAACTACCACTATGAATATTAAAGGCCAATTCCCTAGTATATAAGACATGTTAACTCGATTCTATCTTGAGGTACCTTCCTACAATGGTGATCTGCGGAAATGATAAGAACTTGCCAATATTGATGGATGATCCACATTAAACAGTTGATTTGCTTAAAAATAAACTGTAAAAAAAAAAAAAAAAAAAAAAAAAAAAAAAAAAAGAAAATATGAAATCCAGTGAAGTAAATAAAGTCTCCTGGAAGAAAAATTTCAGTATGAATCAATTAGTGATATCCATTCATCGAATTCTATCACAGATAAAATTCTGGAAGGGGAGTAATGTGGCGTAACTACCACTATAAATATTAAAGGTCAATTCCCTAGTACAGGGGTGGCGAACCTTTATGCACCAACGTGCCATTTTTTCAAAAAAATTGTTTAATTTGATCATAGACGTGCCGTCAAACAATTTTGACTTCGTGATTATTGGGAAAATAATAACAGTAAATACTATCAACTCATAACTCTTTATTTACTATGAAAAAGAATACATTTCGCAATGTCTCAGTTATACGCGAAATTCAACTTAAAGTAACATCAGTGTGACTTCCGTTGTTGCAGATTAGATGACAAATAACTTATATTAGGTTGTAAGATGTTATTTTAAACAGGTCTGTTAATTTTTTTTTGCTAGTTATTTATTGTTAGCTTGTTTTCTATGGTAATTAATTGTTTTTTGGCATTAATTGTAATTTTTTTGTTAATAATTGTTTATTTTTTTGTGTTTTTTTGTGAATTTTAATTTAATTGGTAAATTGCTTCACAGTGAACTTCGTGATCGGTGGCGTGCCCAAAATATTATGAGGCGTGCCATAAATGGCACGCGTGCCATTGGTTCGCCACCCCTGCCCTAGTACATATATAAGACATACTAACTTGATTCCATCACGAGGTACCTTTTGATAGATGAAGGTTGACATAGTCGATAATAGAATCCCCTCAATTCTCCATGTCTTTGACAGGTGCTTATTGTAGCTGTGTGTCCCCTTTTCAGAGATGTATTTGGCTCTGATTTAATTTCAATGGGCAACAACGAACAGCCACATAGAGCTCGTCTGGTTGACAGTTTTCTGTTGAAAGTGAAAATGTTCGCCAGAGTAATTAACCAGTTAAGTTGTAACTCTGTAGGCCATATCTGTGTCTAGGTAGGACATTTAATTGCTGAAGTAACTTCGAATCTGCTGCATTTTCAGAACTAAAGTCTTAGAGGATCCTCACCCCCAATCATTGTCAAGAGAAAAAAAGATGCGGTGAGCCTTTCGCGGAAAAATAGATTTCTTCAATCAGATTGTTATATTTTCCCGATGTCGATCATATGAGTACGTTAACTACATACAGCGAGAATGACACTTTAGTCCAAACGTCCGCACTGCATGGCTATTGCGCCCCGCAGTGGACTGATCGTTGCGACACGGTTCCCAGCAAATCACCGAAGTCAAGCATCACTGACTACGGTCAGTGTGCGGGAGGGTGACCACTTGGATCAGTCTGCGTAGGGACCGAGGGTGTGCGGTATTGTTCCTCGTTAAACTGTGCTACCGTAAAGTACTCGACTTCGCGCGCAGGTCGTCGGGCTACCGAAGTGGGGGTGCCATCCCCTCCGCAGGGGATCAAAATTGTGATGGCATGTCTTCGGATCATCCTCCGGGATGTTTCCCAGACCGTCGCTAATAGCCCAATGTGCAGCTCCAGTGCGACGTAAATTAACGACTACAACAACATGGCTATTGCTCTTGACGCCCGTGCAAATGGAATCGCATTGACGTGTCTTTCAGATTTAAATGAAACCAACCAAACTGTGCATTAAATCGAATCGTATCGAAATTTGGATGAGGAAATAAGCTGTGTAAATGAGTCTTTTTTAGTTTTGTTTGTTTACAATTCTGTAATGATTTAGCTGGCACTTCTGTTAGCTGTCTAAAAATCTAAATTTTAGCTGCAATGGCAATATTTGTAAAGATAAATAGAAATGTTCGTTGTAGACTTTTATTAATGCAACTATGACATCAGAAACCAGGTCGTCAGTTGCTGCATGGAAGCGCTGTAATTTATGTATAGACACTAAATTTCAAACTGCCCAAGAATTCAGACTTCACTTACGTTTAAATCACTGCAAGAAAGAAGGGGGATCATATGTTTGTTGCTACGGTAACAATAACATATGTGGTTCTTTACCACTTGAAGGGGTAAATGATCAAGATTATGAATTTCATGTTGTTAAGCATCACGTCTTAACATTTACTGGTGAGTTTAATGTATGTAGTGTGCATTAAAATACGAATATCACGCTATGGACGAAATAATTTTAATTTCGATAAAGGGGAAATCAATAATAGTTTATGCACATAATTCTTTTTCGCTTAGCTTATTATTTTAAATCCCCACCAACTAGCTGTTTTTAGTATGAAGAGTTAATATTTAACATAGTTAACTCGCTTCGTTTGATATATTATTATTGAAACACTTTTGTAGTAAATCACATTTTCTACAAGTTACTTTTGATTGTATATCAAATAGGTGATTTAATATTGTAAAGTGGGCAGATTTCCGTATCTTGAGCTGTGGTAGAATAATCGTCACGTCTTGGCAACTTCTAGGCTGTGACCGGCGAGAAACTAAAAAAATATCGCAGTAAGGGACCAACTTGAAGAGTATAACTTGTAGCCATCCCCGGGTACATATCTACAGGTTTTGTTTTTAAAAACATTTTGCAAGTTTAAAGTCTATTTGGCACCTTGGCGATTGTAGTAGACACAACAGACTACGATACGGAAATATCCCCAGAAAAGTAACAAACCTAGTTAACCCACCATAGTGGGTGAAATTAAGTTTGTGGCCCAAAGACTAAAAGATATTACTAGTCCTTACACATTTTTACTGGTCTGTTGACATATCACTTTAGTTTTTTTTATGAAGAAAAGTTAATGAAGTAAATTACATTACGTTATAAAAAGTATGTGTAATGTTCACAATTACGATAGAGTATGCTATTTTATGACAATAACACAAACCAAAACAATAAATTAAAAAATAACGAAAAGGAAAAAATAAAAAAATGTGGAGTACCATATTTTAACATCAATTACTGGTCTGGGGAATTAAAAATATTTATTTTATGGTGGTTCAAGTCAAATTTTAGTGCTTTTGAACCACCATTATTTTATTGAGATTTTTAATTATTGAGGAGGGCATACTGCTGCCGTTCTCTGCATCAAACACTCCTGAATCTATTTATATTGTTTTTGTCCATATTTAAAAAAAAAGAAAAACATTTATTGACATTGTGCTAATTTTGTGGATCAGCTTTTTTTTACTTACTACAAACTAAAGCATCACTGCAACAGCCAACTCTAAGTCTTGAGGCTTGTAGAGGTTAAGGCTCTGCAGTTTTAAGACCATTTGCATGATGATGGTAATGAAGAAGGTGCATCATTGTGCACTGGCTGCCATTACTTAGATAAACTGGTACCCACTGTTCTGAAGTAAAGGGACCTTCAAACTTTCACCAAGTCCATCAAAGTGGCTGCTCAGTGCCTTGACTACTATGTCATTACTGATCAGAGATCACAATATACCTGATTTAATTAGATTAGTTGAAGTAACTCTTTTTATTATTAAACCCACTGGCAGTTTAGCAAATGGGTGAAATTGAGAGAATTTTTCTTCTCTGTACTCTATTTCTCTATCTATTGGAAAAACCAGTTTTGCTATGCAGAAAAGACCGCAGGTTAAAATGTGACTTTTACTGTACAGAACAATCAGTGGGTTAATGTTCAAATATTTATCGTTTTAAAAATCATTGTATATTGATAAATCAATTAAAATGAACAATAATGTAGATTTTGTGTAAATAATAATGAAAATTAATTTGATCTTTAATTTAGTTGATGATGATCATTCTCAAGAAGACAAGTTTGTTGAAAATCTTCGTCAAAAGTATGCACATATCTTTACTGCTAATCAGTCAAATCCTCAACCAAATGTTGTAGATGATAAATATCAATGGACCATTTTCAACTCTTCTCAAAATTTGCCTGCTGTCTTAAATGATCCTCGTAAGGCTAAAAGAGAACTAGATCTTTTCACTAAAACATGGGGTGATAATTTCATTGACTCTGCTTGTTTACCTCCTACCTATTTACCAGATATTTCATATCTACATTTTGAAACTTATTTAAAGCATATTAAAAAGGTATGTTTTGCAAAATTTTATTTGTTTACTATTCACTGTTTGAAAGTTTCTGAACTCATTGTGCAATGATTTTTTCAGTTGCAAAATTTAATTTAACACAAAATTTAGTCCTACAGTAGACTGATCATAAGTACACATAGCATAATTTCATTCAAAGAAATCAGTAGCAAAGTTTGCTAGAGTTAGAAAACACTAGTAACAAAACTAGATTACATACTAGCGTTTTGTTAAAGTGTTATGGTAATACATTTTGCAATGTAAATCCAGATCATAAGAGATTTCTAGCATTTTTTGTTACTGCATTCTTCTATAACTAGCATTTGATTTTTTTTAAACTAAAATTTTTCTAATCGACAGAATCCCGCCTTGCCAGTAGATCATCGAAGTCAAGTATCCTTTGCTGCTGTCAGTGAATAAGTGTGTAACTGATTTGATCAGCCTGTGAAGGATCAAAGGCATGCATTATCGTCCATGTTAAACTGTTTTATATTGTAAAGTGCCCAACGTCGCACACAGGTCGTTGGGCTATCAAAGAAGAGTCACCCCCTCTACAGAGGATCAAAATTTTGATGCTACGTCTTAGGATTATCCTCAGGGATGTTTCCCAAACAATTGCCAATAGTTGGTTGTGCCTCGTAAATAAAATATTACTATGTAACATAAAATTTTAGATGTGTTGGAATTTTGATTAAATTTTAAATATAATGAGCATTTTTTGTATTATTGTCCTCATCTCTTCCTCTAAAAAATTAAGCATTCTTTTCTGCCCAGTACATTCTGTCTGGCCATCTGAAAAATTAAGTTTGTAAAAAGTAATACTACCTCTTTTAAATATGTCTCTTTTATTATGAGACTCAAAGAAGCGATTGGAAGGGAATACTTTAAGTTTGGTGTGTCCAGAAGTCAAATTTGGTGGTAAATTCAAGTTTGGTGTCTCACACAAATCCAATCAACTGGTTGAAACAAACCAGTAGTAGCCCTTTACATTTATACAGATAAGATTTTATCTGTAAGAAGTTTGCTATTTGTTGGAATTTATGCTATGTATTGGACACAGTGTCACTTTATTATTTTAAAGACAAATTATCCATAAATAATATAAGGACCATATACAGAAATTTGTTTTGAAAAGAAAAAAACCATTAAGTTGCTTAGGCAAACAAATAATTGCTCTGAATTCTGTGATGGCACGCAATTGTTAAACTAATAGCAGTATANGAGTTCTCCCTAGGAATAAAAAAGGCAAGGCACTGTCTCTCAGAAAAGATCATATGTAATAACTTCATATGATTGTCAACAATATTTAAATTACCCTCTTATACTATTCTACGTATATATTTCTCAAAATAATTCTCTCTCATCATTAAAAGAAAAATTTGTAGCTTATAAAAATAGTTAAAGACATGCTAAATCTTTTTTTTTTCAAAAAAAAAAAAAAATTGACTTAACTTGAAAGCATTTACTATGATTTAAACTGAAAATTATGAGAAAAGGAAAATTTTAAGTCATATTTTTTTTAAAAAAAAGTATTTATCTAAAAACTAATTTTAAAATGTAAAGTCATAAAAATTTTTTATTAATATCCCCTCTGAAAAAAAGATAATTATAAAAATTTAACAAGTTGAGAATAATCCTAACGAAGTAAATATTTGTAATAGTAATAAGAACTAAACATATAAACTCAGATAATTTTACCAATGTGTAATTATTATTTAAACTGTTAATTAATTTTTTTAAAAATGGAATATGAATAAAAAGACAGTGTTTTTAAAGAATGGCAGCTTATTTGTATAAAAAAGGTGCATTTATAGGGATGAAAGGGCAGGCAGGGCTGGCTGTCCTCCTAAAAACGCTTAGGAAGAACACTGTATATATCTATGGATTCATAGTTGTTTTACATTTTAGGGTCTACGGAAGAGTTCTAAGAAGATTATTAAAGACCAACCAAATAAATATCTGCAGTCCTTAATTGAAAAGCCAGGTAATATATTATCCTAACTTAAACTATGAATAGTACATTTCTGTTTTTCCTTCTACTTCATGTTTTTTTCCTAATTTTCTTCACCTATTTTTTTCTTCTTTCTAGATGCTGACATTGAAGAAATTCCTAAAGTAAGCTTTATTGCTCTAAATGAGCTTTTTTGCTCTATGTTGTAAGCTTGTTTCTGTCAAATTAAATGATAAATTTTTAAATTGTAAATTGCGTTTAAAACTTGTAGGCAATTAAATCACAAAATGCAAAATTGCTTGTTCTATTTAACTTTATTTATGTTAGTATACACTATCATTAGCATTGCAAAAATTGTCAAAAACTCTTGAAAAACTTAATAAAGACTAAATTTGATTTTTCTTTTAACTACTTTTTTATAGCAAAGATTCTTGTCCATAAGGAATTTATAATTTGTTTGCTGCATAATTGTAAATTGTATCTAGTTAATATAATTAGTATCTTAATATTATAGTTTTGTCCTTTCAGATATTTTTGCAGTCTGATTTTAACTTGGAGAATCCAAATACATTTAATGCTGTTATACCATGGTCTCAATTGTATAATCACGAATCCTGTAGCAGCTCAAATCAAAAGAACTCTGTAAAGTTACTACAAGAAAAAGTAAATGCAAGACTATTACTATTTGCCTTTCTAATTTGCATTTTTTAAAACTGTAGAAAGTTTTTGAGTAAGAAATTTTAGTGACCTTGTTAAATATTACTTTAAAAAGCTTTCTTGTGAAATTAAATTAATTAATTTCATTTTAAGATTAAAATTTTTGCACCTGGAAATAGGATAAAGTGTTTTTACTTTTATGTGTATGTTTCTGCAAGCGTAAAGTTATTAGTTATAAGTGGATTGTACATTCTCCTTGATGAACTGATTTTTTGTGTTGTGCAAGTGAAATAAAAACAAAAACCTTATACCTTAGTTGTATTGACCTTGCCAAGATACATATATCTGTGTGTGTGTGTAATTTTGCTTACCGATACTGGATGTATATACCTCTGATAAGTAAAAATATTCATTTCTAGTATCACATAAAATAACTTATTTTTAAAGTGCTCTATCCTCTTAAGTTATAGATGTATAATTATTATTTAAAAATGTATTTTGTTAAGAATTAACTTTTTAATGGTGTGCTAAAACTTTATCTTATTCTATAATTAATTGCATGTTATTTAATTTATGATGCAGTAGGTGCAACAAAAATAACTCTTGGAACAAGAATCAGGGTTTGACTTATTTTTAAACAAAGTTATCCATGTTACAAGAAAAGGGAAAGTCAAAAAACATTTATACTGTGTTTGACAAAAAGGAGGCTGTAACCTATGATTTTCTTAACGTTGGAGATATTTTTCGTCAGCTCTGTGGTCATTGTGAGCCAGGAGCAGCATAGGCATTGATCAACCATCTCTTAGTTTCAATCCTGAGTTGCCTCATTGAAAAGCGATCCTTCTATCCCTTGGGCTCTTCTGGCTCTGTAAATCTATGTGATAATGATAAGGTATTAGTGGATATTAAACATCATAACAAAATATTCTAAAATTTATTCAAATTGATTTCACTTAGGAGTGACTACAACTGCTTAAGAAATAGATCGGAAGTATCTAGATTTTAATTTATTTATTTTAATATTTTTCCTTAAACTACTTTTTTTTAAAGTTAAAAGTTATAAATCTCTGTCTTATGCTAAATAGTTAAAAAAAAAATTTTTTTTTTTCTTCTTCATCTTCTTGTAGATGAGCCATTATTTAGATATAGCGGAAGTTCATATTGCCCAGCAGATTTCACTGAGATCAGAAGCCTTCTTCCATGCAATGACATCTCATGATGCCTTAATGGATCAATTAACTGAAGTTATTAAGTGTGTTTGTGAACTAAGGTCAGTTATCATTAAATTTTGTTTGGATATCAAGCAAAATATTTTGTATCAGTATTGTGTAATAAATTTCATAGCATTTGCATATTCATAGCATTTTGTTCCAGTATCATGCAAATCAATTTTGACTTATTATTGTGCTAATGATTTCATATCATTACTTTTTTAATCATTTTCTTTTCATTGCTTATCAAGCTCTGATTATTTTCTCACAGATAACAATAGGGAACAAATTATATGTTGCTTTTTAGATATCTTGATCTTGCCTAATTCAAGTGTGGGGATTTCAAATCTCAAATTTATTTTGCTCCTAAGGCTATTTTTAAATGACATTTTTATACGTAATGTTGTATATAAGAGAGGATTGTGTAAATGTTGCACTAAAGGAGTTTGGGCACATAATCAGAATTAAAATTGTACAAGAACCCCATGCCTGGAAATCTCTATGTAAACGTCTAGGGGCACTTCCCTATTATGACCTGTTTGAGAAGTACACAAGGAAATAGTTCATAATAGGAAAACACCCCTAGTGACGTTCGACATTTTTGAGCATGGGCTTTCTATGCAATTTATATCCTGGTGATGTGCCTTAACTCCATAGAAATTTGTTGCAACATTTGCGTGATCCCTTGTTATATACTGACACCCTGTTTAAACTTGCATATTTTGACAGAAATATACTATGAGGTATTATAAGAGGTATTACAAATGTCATTTTAAAAATAACTTAGAGAGAGAAACCAACTACAGATTTGAAATCAGCAGCATGAAAATATCCAAGATCCCTTAAAAATGTCAACAAAAAAAAAGTTCCCCATTGTAATCAATAATATACTCTACTGTATTGTATTTTTGCACTTTTATGTTTTACTGCCACTAAAAGTGATTTTTATGGAAATATTTAAAATATAATATAGCTCATCAAAAATAAAATGCCTCATCATTACAGCATAGCTTTCGAAAGATTTATTATGAGAAGAATCAAGCAGTCATCTGTTTTATTGTGTGTGTGTTTGACAATTGCAAATTTTCTGTTACTACTTCTGGTGCTTGATGCTGAACTGAGTTTGTTTTATCTATACATTTTCACCAGCTTTTACATTTTTTAAATGTTTTTCTCGAATCCAATTTACAGAGTAAAATAGTGCCCTAAATTATTACAAATGTCAGCTTTAGTTAAACTGTGTAAGAATTTTCTAAAGTTATGTTATTTCTGCTATTGTAAATTCGATATCACATGTTTTTAATGTTAGACTGAGTCTTCTGCTTCATTTACTTTTAAATCTAAGTTTCATATTTTTTACTAAGTGTAAATTGTTTGATTATGAGCGAGAAAATATCCGTAAAATAAAATTTGATCTATGGGTAAGTAAGAGGAAAAAGGTTAGGAAACATGTCAAACAGATTTCTCTCATAATAGCTAAAAATTTAATTAATATGTAGAAAAAGTTTATTTCTCCCATTAACTACATATTTTATAACTATAGAATGTTCAAATTCTGTAATTTGTTTCAGGGAAAGAATTCATGTTATCGAGGATGTCTTGGTAACTGGGCCGATGAAAATCATGAAATTAAAAAGGAGACAGAAAAATCTTCATGCCGTTTATAAAAAAGTGAGTTGTAGAAAAATATATAAATTAAGAACTGGAGGAAAGGAGATTTCAAGTGACATTTTATTTCTAAAAAAATAAGATTTAGCAGTAAAAAAGAAAGAACATATTTTAATGTTATTTTACTATGCAGCATTCATTTATTTTTAAGTTTCTCAAATCTGAGTGGATGAAGGTATGAGTGGTAATCTTTGAGTGTTTTCAGATTGGACGAAGGTTCCAAGTGCATTTGGTAACAAACAATTAATGAGTAACTTAAGACTCTCTTTTGGCAACAAAGTAAAATGCCATGAATGTGAACGATCAATGTCAATTACATTTAGTTTTTGAACTTATAAAGTTTAATAAATTTTTTAAGCATTTTTTTCATTAAAGCTCCTTAATTGTAATTGCAAGCTTTAAAAAATGTGAAAATTTTTATTATTTATTTAGTATTTATTTTTCTATATGTTTCTTCAGTATTTGGTAATATAAATTCCCTGATATAATTAAAATGATTGTAATTAATTATATTGATATTGTACGAATATTCAATAGGCGGACAATGTGAATTTTAAGAATTTTTAGAGCATCATTTTAAATATATTTTTATAATCTATTTAAAGAAAAATATGTTTAGCTTAGTAGTTTATACTAAGCTTAACTTATAATGAATTAGAAATCTTATCATGTGTTTGTTTTATTACATTCATTTTTTAAAATGTGTTGAAACATTTTTTTTATACATTTTTTAAATTGCAGCTAAATCTTATATCAACTGTTCATCAAACTCAGCCTACGATTCAAATACTTTTAAAAACATCTGATTTTGTTGGTGCATTAGATATGATTTATACAACACAAGATGTTTTGGCTCAAGAATTAAGTGGTGTTCACAGTTTCAGGTGACTTTTTATTGGAATTTATTGTTTATTTTAAAAAGTTGGTTTTATTTTATGGTATTTAAACTTAACTTTGATTTAACCATTTATTATAAATGTTTAATGATGGACATTTTACAAAAAGATTCAAACTTGACAAAAATTAAGATTTGAAGCAAGTGGAGAAATTTAGAAAAATAAATTGACATTTAGTCAGTACTTGACCAAAACCATAAATATACAAAAGTTATTATTATTATTTTTTAAATTTAAAGATGTATATAAAGATTTACGGTTCTCATACTATATACAAATTAAAAACATATTTCTCAAGACTACTTTGTGTCATTCATATTTGTATATTTGTCATAGTGTGGTAAACCGAAAAACAAATTAAGAAATTCATCTCAGTTAAGACTGCCAAATTTGCAAAACCCTGGTTTTGACATGGTGATAACGATGTAATTTTTTCAACCTGAAGTATTTTGAAGTTTAAATTTTTTAAACTTACTCTTTAATTTTAAAGAAAACTTGATATTATTAATTGATATATTTTTTTTAAATAAAAATTCCTTCTTTCTTAAAATATTTCATTGTTTATTATAAAAAAAAAAAAATATACAAAAATCCACTACTTAGTTTATTTTTTACAAAATTATTATTTTGAAGATTAACAGAATATAAGTTATTATTTCTTTTCTCAGAAGATAAATGAAAAGTAATTGTTCCTTTGTAGTAATTTTAGAGGATTTTTTTAATTAACTTTGTCCAATTTTCAAATTTAATGTTATAAAAAACATTAATAAGCATTTTGTATGTGAATAATCAAGTTCATAAAACTTTGGCTAAATGAAAATTTATGTTAAGTGCTTTTAAATTACCACATAGCTATTACATGCTTAATTTACTTTTTAGGCATCTTGGTTCACAGCTAGCTGAAATGGAAAAAGTTATCGGTAAGATGATGGCAACAGATTTTATTAGATATTTAACTGCAGATTTAAATCGACCTCACACTGAATGTCTTGTCATGGAAGAGGTATTACAATTTTTATATGCTACATCATTTAAAGAAAACTAATATATTGATATTCATATTTTTTTTAAAGAACTTTATCGAACTTATTTTTCAATAAAAATTTATATTAACTCTAGTTTATTGCTTGTCATTGGTTTATCTTGCTTAGTAAATAAGTAAAATGAAATTTTACTTATTTACTAAGCAAGATAAACCAATTCCGCAGATATTCGGGAGTTTACTGTTTAAGATATATATCTTTAAGCTTATCCAAGTAAACTTTAACTCACAGATATTAGTCCGAAAAAGATTAAAATTTTTCTTACTATTTGTTTTAAAATGTGTAAAATATGAAATTGTCTTTGAATAACATCTAACAATTTTTTTAAACTTTTTTGTAGGAAAAATTGATTCTTATAGTCTTTGGTATGTTACGGCAGAACCATTTTCAGTTTGTACAAACATTTAAGGAAGAATGTTTTACTACAGTAAAAGCTACTATCAAACAGGTACCCAATAATTTTATAAAATATATCTTTGTAGGAAAGTGATTATTTAAAATGTTATGTGAATTGAAAAATATGAATTGAATGCTAAGGTAAAGGTAATTGAAAAAAAAAGTCAAAGAAATTTGAAAGTTAGAAAAAAAAAGTTTTTTTAAAATATTTTTTAAAGTTTCAACTAATAACACTTGATTAGGTATTTTGAGTCATTTGTAAAACTTTGAAAAGATATTTACATTTTACCATGTTTGATTCAAAATTTTTACAAATATTTTATGTTTAAATGTCTTGTTGATTTTAATGTAATTTTACCTGTATATAATCACATTTTTAAATTTTTTTTTCAGACTGTGATAGAAGTGATATCTCAAAGTGATGATTTCGACATTGAAAGCAACACTGGCAAGTAATGAAACATGCTGTTTATAAATTTATAATAATTTTTTCAGTCATTATTTATAGTATGTGTTCTTCATATAGGCATTATTTTTAATAACAAATAAAAAAATTTATTTATATTTTTAGACTTTTTAAATCAGTTATAATTTTAGTTGAATATTATAAGTTTTAATATCTTTACATTCACATTTTTGCCTTGAAGTTTAAGAGCTGTATTTACTTTAATTGGCTATAATTTTTTTCTTCATATTTTTAGGTTGTAATGGTTGGGGAAGAACATCCTTCTTAATAACTTTATTAAAATTTTTGAAAATACTATTTATTAATATTTTATTATGAATTTATCTAGGCAATAATTAAAATTGTCTTAATTCACCCTCAATATTTTTATAAAAAGTAATAATACAAAGTTTAATATAAATATACATTATTTTAAAAGGAGCTTAACTCATAAAATCAAAATGATTTCCTTTATTTAACAATAATGAAAATTTACTAAATAATCTTTTATCTTGTGAAGTCTTAGAATGTTCATAATGATCTGATTACTTACTCTAGATCTTACTTTTTTCAAAAATTCTAATGATTACTATTCTGTTGTTGAAAAGATTTACCCTGAAAATAATTCAATTTAATTCCTCCCTAACATTTTTATGATAACTATTCACATGAATGTTAGTGTCAATATAAACATGTGTAAAAATGTGACTATTTTTAAAAATTCTTATAGAATCAAAAATGATTTTCTTTATTCAAAAAACAATTAATTTAAAACCATTATTTAATAGTATTTATTTTAAAATTTCATTATAGTCTATATGTGTTACATCGTTATTCACAGTTTATTAAAGCTTAAAAAGTATTTTAAAAAAAAGATAAGAAATAGATTGTTCTTTTTTTTAATGACTCTGTGTGATAGTTGCATTTTATACCATTTAATTCATATTCGAATTACAGTTTACAAGAATTCAGAAAAAAATTTAACTTTAAATAATTATGAAAATTAGGCCATTAACTTTTTAAAAAAAATTTTAATCAAATATAATAGAATCTAAATCTTAGTAATTTTTTTTCTTAATCTGAGACAGTACTCGCCATACATGTTTCAAAAGTAGAAATGTAGGAGTTTTTATCAGATACAAAATTAAGGTTATGAATGTTTGATTATTGTGCTAAAATGTATTATAATATCATGGCAAAAAGGAATAAATCATTAACATTATCTTTTGAAACACCATACCACCAAAGAAATGGTGACTTAACAATGAAAAACTGTTGTTTAAAAACACAATTTATGTGAATCCATATTACAAGATAATGTAATAAAATATTGAGAGAGCAAAAGTACTCAATATCTTTTATTGCTATTTTTATTTTGCTTTTTTCAATAGCTTTTGAAAGACTTGATAAAATAAAGCGCAGATTGATTGTATTCTATTTATGTTAGAAAAATCTACTTAATCAGAGTTTTTAGTATTCTTCATTTAGTAATGATCTTTATACATTTTTACTCGATAAGTTTTTTTAAAATTAAAATTCTCTTTTAGAATTCAAACAAATATACATTTTACCTTCACTTATTAAATGTATAATTTTTCATGTTTTTGCAAAAAAAATTTTTTATAAGAATTCATTTTTAATTTATTTTCACATTGTTGTGTGTTCACTAGCAGCTCTTGTCAGCCTTTTGGTTCGTTCTTTAAAACTCACAATAGAGCACTGAGAAATCCACTTAAAATATCATGAGGAGGGCTACCCACACAGCGAGCGGTTTGATGTTTTTCTTGAGAAAGTAACCCTCGTACTATGCGAAATTCAGGCCCCCTATATCTTCACACTACCCGTCCCAATGCCATACACTAGAAGGTATTGTGGCCCATTTTATATTTTGTTATCTGCTACAATATTTAATTTAACAGATATTTGTTCAACATTAGATGTTACCACCTCTTCTGCTACTTTAGCCGAGTACGAGGGATCTGTTGCATGGCGTGTGTGGTCTTATTTTGGGAAACATAGATTATTTATGATGGCATTTGAAAAATGGAGACGGGAGGGCCTGCAACCATTTATACGCATTAATTGGGTAAGAATGGCCCAAGAGTTAATAGATTCCATATATGGTCCGGATATGAACGATTATTTTTATAAAGAACCTGATAATTGCTCTATCTGTTTAGAGCAAATGTTCAGTCCTGAGCGACTAAATTGTGGCCATTACTTCCACTTAATGTGTATTATGCAATGGATGCAGGTGGGTGATAACTGCCCATACTGCAGATCAGATTTACATTAATTTTAATTTCTTCTCTTCATTTTTCATCCATATTGTTTATCAAAATTTAGACGGCTCATGCTGGAGCCTTTTCATCAAAAGCATGAGTCTTTTGTTTCTTTTTGTCAACTTTGATCCACTTATGTTTATATTTTATTGAATGTGTTACATTTTAATGAATGTATAAAATAGGCCTCCCAAATGGTCCACAATTTTCCCAAAAGTCCGCAAAAAAAAAATTACCACCGCAAAAGTCCGCCGTCATCGAATAGAACCGCATTTTACTCATTTCTTTCAGCAAAAATTTGACTTTGTTTTCTACCAAATGCTTTGTTTTTTTGGAAATAATTTGTTTTAAGAATATAACCATTTTCTAGTTAAAATTGTTTAGAATATTCATAACGTAAATATTTCAAGTCATGGGGAAATGTAAATTTTTAAAACAATGGCTTGGTATGAAGGATTCTAATGGACACATTGTGTCTGATTGGGGCATCCAGCGTGAAAATAATTTGATTTGTGTGGTGTGTAACATGATGCCTGTAAATATTGATAAAGGTTTTTATGCTATAAAAAGGCGTTCTGAATCAGAAAAACATAAGTCAAATTTTGCAAGGAAAAAAACCTCCAACCAGCTTTCATTGTCTGGTCATTCTTCATCATTAAGTATGCTGAGCATTAAGGATCAAGCTTATAAAGCTGAAATAATTTGGTGCCTAAAAATGATCTCTTCTAATTTTCCACTTTCTACCTGCAAAGACATAGATGAAGTGTTTAATTGTATGTTTCCTTCCTCAACTATGGAACACTTTTCACTTAATCCAACTAAAGCAACATACCTTATCACTGATGCGTTAGCTCCCTATTTCAGAAATGAATTTTTGAATGAAATTAAAAATTCCTTTTNTCATCATTAAGTATGCTGAGCATTAAGGATCAAGCTTATGAAGCTGAAATAATTTGGTGCCTAAAAATCATCTCTTCTAATTTTCCACTTTCTACCTGCAAAGACATAGATGAAGTATTTAATTGTATGTTTCCTTCCTCAACTATGGAACACTTTTCACTTAATCCAACTAAAGCAACATACCTTATCACTGATGCGTTAGCTCCCTATTTCGGAAATGAATTTTTGAATGAGATTAAAAATTCCTTTTATACTTTACAATTTGACGTTTTTGGTCTGAAAAAAATAAAAAAGTTTTCTCTTATCACTTGGAGACATTTTTCTTATGCCATGCAAAAGCAGAAAATGTAATGAAACATCTAAAATCTGCCATAGATAATGCAGGTTTGAATTTTTCCAACTTGTTAATGCTTTCCAGTGATGGACCTAATGTTAACAAAGCCATATTTAATCTAATGAATGAAGAAATAAAATCAACTAGAGGAGTTGGGTTGCTAAATATGGGATTTTGCAACATACACATGCTACATAATGCATTTATAAAAAGTTTAAATGTTTTTGGGTGTAACACTTCTGATTTAGCTATTGCATTATTTCACTATTTTGATGGATGGCTTGCCAAAGGAGAAGATTTTAGAACTGTTTTGGTTGAAAAAAAGCTTAAAGACCTTTGCTTTATCAAACATTCAACTTCGAGATGGCGTACATTGGAACCAGCCGTTATTAGAATATTGGAACTTTGGGATGGAATTGTCCACTATTTTTTGAAATTTATACCTCTCAGAGAAAGAAAAAATAAAAAAAAATTGTTTTTCTTTTAAAACTGCCACTTATTAAAGCAGAGTTAAATTTTGTCTGTGCTAGTTCTGCAATTCTGACCAAATATACTAGATTTTTCCAAAATGAAGGACCTTTAGTGCAAGAACTTTATGATTGCATAAAATGAACTGCTGCTTAAAATTGGTGGCAGAGTTTGCAAACCAGAAACTTTGACATATCTTAAAAAAAGCACATGTGTAGTAGGTGATATATTTGATCAAGACAGTTTGATGCCTTCAAAGGATATTGTGTTAGAAAAAAACATTCTTGACTGTCTTATTCAGTGCAGTGAAATTTCATGCTGAATGTTCAAAAACATTTTGTTACAGTTGGGTGTTATATTTTGAAAAAAGGGCCACTTATGAATGAATCTATATTGTCATGTATATTAAAAAATATTAATAATATTAAAAATAATAAATGGTAATATTAAAAAAGCAAACAGTTTGAAAAAGATTCAAGAAATTGCATCCTTGCTACCATTTCCTTTAAAGATGGGAGATGTAATAGATGAATGGAAACTTCTACAGTTAGTAGTTATTGAAGAAAAACCAATTGAAAAGTTTTGGAGTGACATATTTGAAATTCAAGGCTTAAATGGTAGTGTTAAATATATGAATCTTAGAAATATTATTACAGCAGTATTGACACTTGCTCATGGAAGTGCAGATGTTGAAAGAGCTTTTTCCAAATCTGACAGAATATTATCAGAAGAGAGAGCGTCTATGTCTTCTAGAATGCTGAATGCACATTTGACTGTAGCTGATGCTTTAAAAGCATATAATAATAAGGCTGAAATGGTTCCAATCTCAGAAAAGTTGTTATGTTCAGCACGTGTTGCTTACAAAAGCTATAATCTTTATCTAGAATTAGAGAAAGTAAAGAAGGAAGAAGATAGAATCGAAAAAGAAAAAAAGCTAGAAGAGCTTAAAGAAGCTGAAGAAAAAGAGAGCATGCTTAAAAAGTCTAAAATGGATATTTCCATTTTAGAAGATAAATTAAAAACTGCAAAGAAAGAAGTCAAGGATTCCACAACAACTATTGATACATTACTTGAAGAAGCCAACAAAAAATAAAAAAAAATACTTAATGTCCAACAATATTGCTGAAGCAAAAGTAGCTCAGGCAATGATAGATGGAGTTCTAGTCACAAAACCTTTGCTACATTTGTACACAAGTTGGATGGACCCTCATTACAAATTGTGATGGACGATTATGAAGGATCCATAGCCTGGCGAGTTTGGCAATTTCAGGGAAAGTGCTTCCTCTGGAAAATGGCCTTTGAAAAATTTAAAAGAGACGGGATTCAAACTTTTATCCACATCAACTGAAAAAGAATGGCGCAAGAAATTATACAACAAATATATGCACTGGACATGCCAGAATACTTTTTTAAGGATTGTTCCATTTGTTTCAACCCCATGTTCAGCCCTGTGATATTGAAATGTGGGCACCATTTTCACGAAAAATGCATCAACAGATGGTGTGTGGAGAGTAAATCTTGCCCTTTCTGCAGGCATTGTTGGTGGATGGTGAGATTGATACTACTTGATTTATCTGTAGAAGATTATGTACACACCTGCACATTTTCAGAGAAAACTTAATGTCCCCACAAATTTAACATTCTGATAAAAGTGATGAGAACTATGCAATATATATAGGTCATGGCAGTCATGTTCTGCTATTCTAAAATCATAATGCTGTATTTACTACCACGAAATATTTTAAGAGAGAATTTTCTTGTTCTAGCTTTACTCGTAACTGCCACAGTTTCATATTATTTTATATGAGTTAAATGATTTTGTTCTTGAAATATGTAAAAAATGCGTACTGATATTTTTTCAATAACTTACATATTAATTCATTAATATTTTTAAAAAAATTTTTGTTGAAAAAATCAACTTATTTGGTTGTAAAATTATATTCAATTAATGTTTTATAATTTAATTTTAAAAAAAAATTATTTTAATAAGTGAAACAGTATGTTTGTGATTGTTTCAATTCTCCAGTTTCATAGCTATACATAGAGTATAAATCGAGCACATTAAGAAATGACACCCCATAATTCTCTTTTTAGTTTGGCTGAGCAGCTGAAGTCATTGACTTTTCAAAAATGGGCTGAGCTGTTTCAACTCATAATGAAAAACTTGCATTTTCTCCTACAACGCATTCAGGTACTTTTTTTTTTTTGAAAAAGAAAGAAAGTCTTTTTTCATATTTTTATTTAATTTTAGGGTTGGATTTTAAAAAAGACTGATTTTAAAAAAATGTCTTTTTTATACTCTTTTAAAGAATACTTGAAATTTTGAAAATGGCGTTCTTTATTTTTCAAAATTTTTTTAACGGAAGAACATTGTTTGGAATTGATTTGTTTTTTAATAGGAGATGAAAAATAATCTGCAGATGTTGTAATAAATCTTCTGTGCTGGAAGATTTCTGCTACCAGAATCATAACTATGTATAAAGCAAACTTATTTTTAAAATTAATCTTAAATCATTTAATTGTCTGACTATATGTTAAGTTTTTGAAAAGAGAAGAGTAATAATCATCAAGGAATTTTAAACTGAGTAAAAAAAATTGAGAATAACTATCCTAAATTTACACTTATCTTTGGTACTGCTATGCTATTTGGTGAATGATATTTAACAGAATTCCTCATTCAGAAACATCCAAGTGCACTCTTGCATGCAATACTGGACCAAGCACAATTTTGTCAAAAATGTGCCAAAAAATATCTAGTGTGAAAGGAATCTATGTTCATCATACTTTCTTGCATTGTGCCATCAAACTTTATATTTTTCAATTTTTGTTAAAAATTCATGCAACTAGATGAGACTGTAAAGAAACATATAATTTTGCTTTTTTTTCCTTCCCTTTTTATGCTGATATTTTTCAAATGAGGAGTCATACAGCTCTCTTAAAGGTGGTAAAAAATCATCTAGCAAAATTTATATGTGTAAATGCACTTTTTACAATCTTCTTTAAATAAACTAAGTTATCTGACGACCATTTACGTAATAATAAAAAACGATTTACATTATGTTCTAAGAAAATTATGATCAAGCTTTTTATAATCAAATTAACTCTTTCATTCTAATGTAGAAACAGTTTATTTGTTGTGTAAAACCTTTTCCATCTTGGTTTTCTTTTCACTTAATGAATGTTTATCCCATCCTATTTAAGTAATAAAATAAAAAAAATAGTTCATTGAAATAATTTTTGTTAGTTCATTGAAATAGTTTTTTTTAGTTAGTTGAAACTTTTCTCTCATTAATATTTAAAGAAATACTTTCGTGTTATGTTTATTTTTAAACTTGTATTTATTTATTTAAAACTTATTTCAACGTTAATTCAATTAATGAATAATTTAATAAATGTATTCTTAGTTATTTTGATTTGGATAAATTAAACTATCTACAATTAATAAAGTTCTTAAAAGTTATTTATTTTAATAAGTGCTATTGCTGAAATAGTTATTTTTTAATAATTTGAGTAATACCTGCAAAATGTTAATCTGATAAATGTTGCATTTTTAAAGGCTTTACATCAAGTAATGGATGATACATTGGAGGTTGCTTCTGGTTATGTTTCCAATGTTGTTACTGGAGAAAATTTCCGAAGATGCTCAGTTTTGCATTTAATGTATGACAATTTACTTTATATATTTTGTTTTAAAAAAGTCATCTAAATTTAAGAAATAGCTCGGAATTATTTTTTTATCTGTAACTTTAAGTTTACCAATATTGTGTCTAACTATGTTAAGCATTTGAAAGATATGGATGTGAGACTGATGTAAACAATTACAAGATTCTAAAACTGGATCAGAATAGTGAAAACTTCTGGTGTATCCCTCCTCCTATTTATGTTAAGTTTATGAATGTGTTGAACAGGCTCGATATTCTCAGAAAGTTTATTCGTCAGATTTGCATTTTAATTTTCCTGTTATTTTATCATTTATAAGATTTTTTGTTTTTTTACGAATTCTTATGAGTCATGGGCCATTAATTGGTTTAAGGAAGTTAATAAAACCATATAAAAAATAAAATTGCTGCCATATTTTGAGTTTTACCTTCAGTTTCTTTTGTCTTCAGCTAAGGTTAAATGAATTTCTACATTCAATGGTAAATAGCAATTTTGAAAACAGTGCAAGTGCAAATAACTATATTTCTGTGTGTTTTTTAATTTTAGTCATGAAAATAAATTGGAAGTAGTAACCCAGAATTCTTATTAGGAATTTTAACCACTTGCGCTTCCCGTGCTAAACTTTATACATTTCTTTTACCATAGTTTTTATTTAGTTCAGTTAAACAGCACTATGATTTTTGTAAAACTTTTCATTTCACGTTGTTTGAAAGATTTTTTATAGCAATTGACATAATCTAGTTAATATTCACATAAATATCTAAGACAGTTATAGACACTTTGTGCTTAAGTCAAAGTACATAAATTTTCCCACATTAGGCTTTAAGTTAGTTTCCTGCTAACAGGTCAGAAAACTCATACAGTTCTGCAATGCCATTGTGCTTTTACAAATACTAGATTATGCAAATACTTACTTGGCAGTTGCTAAATCTCATTATTAATGTGGAATAACCACATTTTTTTTCTTCAATTTCTTAAATAAATACTTAAACTGTTTGATTTCTTTTTCTTACCTTGCTAAATTTTATTGTTGCCCTTAAAGAAAGATATTTTTGGAAAGAGCTTAAATTTAAGAGAGTCTTTAGTGTTAAAGAAAATTAAAGGTGTAAAGTGTGGATGTTTGATTTACAGAAATTGATTACAGTTATGGATTTGATTTAAAATAAAGGTTAAGAAAAAAAATGTAAAAAAAAATCCCCTCAATACGGACCGAAGTCCGCATATCAGAGAAAAAAGTAGCCAGCGAGGAAGCAGGAAAAAGAGAATCTGTTAAAAGTGTCTTAAAAATTCGTTAACTGGTGTACGACCAGAAATGTGATAGATAATTAAATTTATAGAGGAGGAGAGTTTGAAAAATCAAAGGAAAGAGATTGGTTAACTTAGCTCTCCTAAAAAAATAAAAGAAGAAAAAAAGAAAGGCAGGATTAAAGGGGGTAACTCTCCCCAAAGGAAGGGCGTTGACCACGAGGAAGGTCAAACAGAAAGTTAAAATAAATTTAAACTGCTAGCTATATAAAAAGGAAGTAAATTTTAAAGAATATTAAAGGATTAGATATAATTAAAAGATTAAATTGTCACCTTACATTAAGTGTAAATGTGACAGTTTGTAATTGTTAAATTATAATTTTTGAAATATTTTAGTTAGAAATAATAACTATTTAAGCTATATTATTGTTTTTAAATAATAATAAATACTGTTAACACACTTTGTCAAATGATTTGGCGGGTAAATATAATAAAATGAATTAAAAAAATAGATTTAAATCAAATAAATCTGATTTTTTTTTTTTTAAAAAAAACCATGAATTTTTCCAACTCTGCTATTTAGCCATTAATAATGTAAACAATAACTCAACTTCATTTCAAAATAAAACACTTAGTGATACTTAGTAAAAGTGAAATTTTTCAAGCTATTTGGAGTCTATCAATATTGAATCTTTTCTTTTCATATACTAAGGTGTAAAGTAATTTTATTTATAGATCATTAATGTTATAGTATTTAGTTTAAATTGAATTAATATATTTCAGAGAATATGAAAATGAAGTGATGGTTTCTGAGCAGGATTATTTAAATATTAAGCCAGTCTTGAAAGACGTCCTATGCTCTATTTGTGATCATGCACATGAATGTTGTGCAAAAATTTTGACAGCCAAAGCTAAAGTGAGCAATTTTATATACTAATTGAAAAATATCTTTATTATTCATTAAAAATCTTGTATTAATTTATATTGATCAGATTTATTATTTTCTCCACTTTAGCAGTAACAATAGCTTATGATTTATCTAAATTTTGTATTAATTAGGTAGATCTTGAATTGTTGCATTTTATTATCATTTTTTTAAAATTTGATCCCTGAATAAATTAGATTTGAATTTCCAATTTCATTTTTCAATATTTTATATAGAGTTAAAAAAAAGCGTAGTGCTCTGATTTGAGCTGATATGACTGTATGAGCTACTATATAAGTAAAGATCAAGAAAAATAAATTCTCTATTTTTACTTCACTAACTATTCTGTTGATTTATTTTGGAGGAATTAACTAATGTTAAGACACGTTTTAAATTTGTATGAGGTATTGGTAAGAGGTACTTTATGTCAATAAAAGTTAGTGATATTGCTTCAATCAATTCTATTGCCAGTTTTATTATTCAATTTTCTAAATATTAAAAAAATAAAACATTTTACAGAAGATGTTGATTCCTAACAAACAATGGCTAGAATGCTGAAAAACTAGTAGTTTTTTTTCTTCCTGAATGACACTTTCTTAAAAATGTCCTTATTATCATTTTAAAAAAAATTCAAAGTTGATGTATAAACTTTTAATATGATAGCTTGCCTTCTTTGATCTCCTTTTTTTATGAAAAATATATGAAATTTAATTATTGACATTTCATTTGTGTGCAAACATGCCTTTAAAATGAACTTTTTTCATTCTTGAGTAAGATATATCTATATATTATTTTCATATAATTGGTAAAACTAATTTTAATTGGAGATTAAAATATGTAATTTTGTAAACATTTATTTTATACTTCATCAAATTTTAATTTTCATGCTATAAGTAAAAACTAAATTACATTAAATAATTAATGATAAGATGTATGAACTACTAATTTATATAAAATCAAATTTTATGAAATGAATGATTCGATTTGAAATCTTAATGAAATAATACTGATATTTCAACTAGTGTAGCATTTTCCTTTAAATAAAATAATTTCCAATTTTATAAAAGCCATTTCAAATGAGATTTTAATACATTTGAATGAAATAAAAAAAATCCTTTAAAGAGTTATTAAATATTATTTTTTTTCCTTTCTCTTTAAAATTTATTTCTATCTGAGTAAAATTATTCTTTAGTTCAGCTGGATGTTTATTTTAGAATTATGTTTATAAATTTTAATGATTTCTCCTTGATTAATTTTAAATTAAACACAGTCCAATTCTTATAAATACTTAAAACTTTTATTCAGTTCTAATTTTATCAGACTGAACAATAAAACTATTAACAACTTGGAGTTCAAGTTCTCAATGCTCTTCTGAATTTCCATAAATCAAATAAAATCTTGGGAACATTTTATGTTCTTAATCTTTCTCCTGTCTAGTTTTGCTTGGGTCAAGCCACTTTTCCTGCTATTTTAATCAAGATATAGCAGATATCCATAAAAAGTTGATAAAATAACTATTGAAAATGGAAAGATATTTTCTTATTCAATTTCCTATTAATTATTTTATCTTTAAAATTCCAAATTAGTATGGTTTATATATTTTTTAGGATGGTTCATTAGATAAACTCAACATGTCAGAATTTCTTATTTTGGCTAAAAGTATTGAAGACTTTCAAAGTAAGAGTGAAATTATTTCTGGAAAGCAAAGTACTGCTTTGAGGCTTTCTTTACAAAACCAGGTAATTCAGCATTAATTTTTATAAATCCATTGTAAAAATTGTCATTTCCCCTCACTTATCATCATATTACACTAATTAATAACTGTTGTGTTAAACTGTTGAATTATTTGTAATAAAAACTATATGTACAGTGCCCAAAAAATAAACGGACCACCCTGAATCACTTTTGATCTAATGATTGGATCTTCACGTTCTGGCTAATTAATTAGTGCAGACAATATTTTAAGTTACGAAATCAGACACAAAAGCGTACTTTCTCTGAATAAACCTGCCTTTTTTTTGTTGTTGATGGATTTGGATTTCTGACCCCCAAAATATAGAGGTTAGCCGCAATCTGGGAAGTATGGTCCCCATGTTTTGGTCAGGAAAGTGATCCAAAGTTTTTATCTTTTAATGTTAATTTTACTTTTTGCGTATTTCGCCATATCTTGAGAACTTTTTAAATGAATTGAAAATTTTTACACATAATTATAAAATTTGTTTATCCGAATGATAGCTGTAATAAATATTAAGGTATGCAATTTTTTACATCATTTTTAAGTGTGTTACAGGCAAAAGTTACAGGCAGTTAAGTTACAGGCAAAATACAAAATTTGAGCAAAATCGATTGAATAGTTCCTGAGAAATCGAATTTTAAATACCCAGGCGCAGCCGTAGAAATGTAAATAAACATTTGAAAAAAGTTTGGTTACTCTTCTCTTGCTATGGGCATGTAACTATTTTGTCCCATTCTCATTTAAAGACCAAAAGGAATGCATGGTTTACGTCCATAAACGAAGGAACAAAAATAATTTCACGTGCGGACAGGAAGGGTTTCTTCGCAGTACGGGCCATCCTCACTGCGTAATAACTCTCAGGGAGAAGCGATTTTTCATATTATAAATTTGTTAAACTCCTTAAAATGTAATAGATGGGTAATCCAATCGTCATTTTTGTGAAAAATGGACCTAAACCATTCTTTCCCCTCTTTGTTTTCAGTTCTTAGTGATATTACTTTTTAAATTTATTTATTCATTTTACTATTATTTTTGGAAATATTAATTATATTCTTAATAAGTTTGCTGAGGAACCCATAGCTAATTCAAAGGGTCTGCAAACGACGGTTTGGTAAGCCTTGCTTATAAAGAAAAATACTGTAACATTGCTCCCTGGCAAGGGTGTATTTATATATTCTTTTAACTATGTATTCTATTATATTATTATTCAATGTAAACTTATTTTTAGTATTTTTTTTCCAACTGTTTTTCCGAATGTTTATTTAAAATGTTAGCTTTTTGTTGATTTATGCTTTTACTATTAAAATTTTAGGCCAATCGTTTTGTATCAAGGTTTCATGAAGAAAAGAAAACAAAATTAATGTAAGTTTCTACATGTAAATTTTTCCCCCCATTTCCTTTATTTATTTTTTGCTTGCATATTTATGTGATTGAGATATGAATAGTGAGGTTGAAGTTGAAAATTTACTTTGAAACTTACCAAATTTTAATGTTGTCAGAGACAATATTCCATATTTCGGCACTATTTTATTTATATCTCTTATTGTTGAAAGCAGTGTGGATGCATGTTTTGCTGAAAAATCTTAATTAATTGAAATTTCCAAAATCAATTTTTAATATTATTTTGGTTAGTAGTCCCTGGATTGTTTTAATAAATATTTTGATTTCATAACTAGTTTATCCGGTAATTAATTTGTTGAATTTTTTATTTCTTATAATTATTGCTTCGATGAAAAATCATAAATGATGAGAATTCCCAAAACAGATATTTCACTTTACTTTAATGAGTAGTTCAGGGATTGTTTTGAGCAAGATTCTGATTCAATGACTAGTTTACATGAATTGATTTCTTTGATTTTAATATTATTTAATGAACTTATTCTAAGTCCATCTGCCATTATAAAATTTCCTATCCATCATGCTTTTGTGAACTGTTTTGGTGAGAGATCAGTAAATTATTTATTAAATATTTTTAATATTATTTTTTAAATATTACAGTTATATAAAACTTAACACTTTCATCGCAGCAATGACGCGTCTCTGTCCCTCCCTCAGCTCTTAGAGTCCTTCTGCAGCACTAAAATTGAAATATAATGCAAATTCCTTTAAAATTTGTTTATTTTACTTTAAAAAATTATAATCAATTGCAATTAATAACCCTATTCACTAAGACAACGATAGAGCATAGCAAATATTCCTGGAAGATGAATTATCTTGTCCGTTGCAATGAAAGAGTTAATGCAGAACTTAATATTGACTTCTTATATAGAAATAACAAGATTTTAAACATACTGCGTTTTTTTAATAACTTAGAGTGCTGAACAATATGCTTTCTGAAGTTAAAATTTGTATAAGGACAAAAAAAGAACAATAGAACACACCATCTACTCACAATAAGTTGAGAAGAAAGTCTAACAAAAACAAATCTTGTTATAAGATAGCTTGTACTTAAATAAAATTGTTTTTAGTCATATCTCAATGTTCTCTTTTTATATATTCTTTTTTGAGAGTGTGCTTTAGAATGTTTTTTAATTTCAAAACTATTATGTCTCATTTGTAACTACTTTGTGGATAAATATTATTAACATTTAAGACTCTCATGATTATTATTATTTTAGTTTAATTTTGGAAAATGAGCAGTGGAAACAAGCTGATGTTCCATCTGAGTTTCAAGAGTTGGTTAATCGCATCATATCTACTGGTAAATATTCTTTTTATTAAACTTAATGCACTTTTTTTTTATTTGAAATCGTTGATTGATTCCAATACATTTGTAATATAAACAGGAAGTATTACTTATATGAAAAAAGGTGTCTTAGCTACTAGCCAACAACCTCAGCTCTATTTAGTTGTTGATGGGCAAAATTTTGCAGTTTGTGGGTAAGTTTGAAAACATTAATATTTGCTCTAATTTTTTTAGCATCAAATTTTTAGAAAATTCACCATTCTTATCATGTATAGATAGTTTAATATGTGTTCACTTTTTTTTTAAGGACTGTCTTGATGTTATTAAAAATGGTCATTGAATATTGTCAGTGTGCGGAAGAATTACCACTGCTGGCAACAGATCTTGCTAATCGACTTATTGATTTATTAAAGGTATCTATAAATTCATTTATCATAAAAGTTAACAGTTTTTGCCTGTTAAAAATGTTACCCTTATCAATTTCTTCAAATCTTGAAAATTATTAGATTTTTATTTGCTTAAACTATATAAAAAATTAAATAAAATTCATTTTTATTAGTAGATACAAATTAATTCTTTATCCATGTTAACTTGTTTTTTTTTATTTTAGAAGAATTCATAAGTTTGTAATTAAGAAAGATATTTTGAAATGTTATAACTTAACATAATGCAAGTAGAAAGTATAATAAATATCGGAAATATCTAAATGCAGTCAAACCTCAATATTATGAACTCAAAGGGAGACATTAAAAAAAATTGTGATATCAATAATTTTATCATCAGTATGAGTATCTTAGCTTTTTATTTATTTGCTGCAGTTCTGGATACTTTAATCCCTTTTAATAATTATGATTCTTCCCAATCACCACATACTGTAACATTATTGTCCACAATAACTACCTCCTAAGTATCAAATTTTTTTTTGGGTGGGGGGATTCATTCAAGAAGTAAGTTCTTTCCAATATTATGATCGAGTATCCATCTCTATGCACACGTCTTACGTATTCACTTTTTTAAAAATAGATAACACAAGCAGTTTATTTTCAAACATGATAATATCTCCTATTTTAGGTTTTAAAAAAATTATTCTCGATATTTTTCCAGAATTGTTTTTAAAAATTGAAAGACTATTTTAAAGTTTTTGAAAATTCGGAAATATATTTTTTTGTGATGAAGAATGTTTCGTAAAATTGAAGGGTACTGAGTAATATATTTGGCTAAAAAAAAATTTCTTTTTTATTAATAACATAGCAAATGCCCAAAAATACAGATTTTTTTGTGATATCGAAAAATTTGTGTCAAAGTTCACGATGTTGAAGTTTGACAGCATCTGTAATCTTTTTATAGCTGTAGTTATAAATTTGTGAAATACAAGTGATTTAGTGCTTTCATACTCTATTGTTCTGACATGTTCTTTATGCATTCTGCAGCTACTAAACAAACACAGTTTGAAGAATCTGTGTGGTAGATACATGCAGTTAGTTTAAAACTATATGTATGTGACTGTGGGAATAATGCATAGAGGTGCTAAATTTCTTTGTTCATTTTATTTCTTTCCATCAGAATTTTAAAAAAAAAAGAAACTTTTTTTTTTTTTAAGATTGTGACGAGCATGAGTTATTGTATAATTCTGGGTTAATAGTGTCTTGAAATAGGTATTAATATAATTTATAAGTGTTTATTACAAATATGTTCAAAATATTTTACAAAAATTTTATGTGCATGATGCAATGCAAAAAAAGGCAGTTTATTTTTTGTAAAAATAAATATGTAAGTTATTAGAATGTATATCATTTTAAAGGTTAATGAATTGTTTTATATTTCAAGGTGTTTAACTCAAGAACTTGTCAATTGGTCCTTGGTGCAGGAGCCCTACAGTTAGTTGGATTAAAAACAATTAACACCAAGCATTTAGGTAGATTCATGCTTTATTATGTTTCTTTTCAAACTATAAAAATACATAGTAATTACACTGTAAATATATTTAGTCTATGCTTTATATTAGGATATGCGGATTCTATTATAACTAATAATACGTGTTAGCTAATCTATAGTTAATGAAGCACTCAAAATTAACTTGCATTGTTTCCCCCCCCCAAGTAAATCACTTTCAAAAATAAGTTTTTAAACTTATATGTGCTTTTAAGACAAAACATTTCCAGTGATGATGTCATTTGATAGAGTTAACTATCTGTATGAAGTTTTCTTAAATAACAATTATATTTGGAAAAGGTTTTAAGACAGTATTTTATTATTTAGAAATGATTTTTTTTTTCATTGCAGCTTTGACATCTCGATGTTTACATTTGATAGTGTACTTCATTCCTTACATTAAGAATCATTTCCAAAGTAAAACATCAACTAGGCAGCAAACAATAGATAAACATTTTGATCATGTTACTAGAGTAAGTAGTTAAAATAAATTTTTATTACCAGTTTTTAAATTTTTATTCTACTTTGTTTTCAAATTGGTGAGTAATATCATTGCAATTGATAAAAAATTGTTAGCAAAACTTTTTCAACTTACCTAGTAAAAAAACCCGAGTTATTTGACTGTCGAATAACTTTTGTTTTCCATTTACTTAAATGTATTATTAAATCTTTGTTATCCTTTTCATTTAGAACTATACAGAACACATTCGAGAAATCAGTCTTAAACTTGAATCAATAATTTCTGATATGTTTGATGTGCAATTGAGAAAGGTAACTATTGGTGATTTATTGTTAATTTTTATTAATAAAATGCTATACTGTGCAGTGGTCAGCAATAGCGTATGACAAGTAGGGAAACTACTGTAGTCAGTATTTTTCCGCAGTTTGTAGTGTTGTGTGCTTTTTTTTTCTTTTGAAGAAAAAAAAGTAGTGTAGTGTGTAAAGCAATACAAAAAAAAACTAATTTGTAGCTATTCTTGGCAACTACTTTTACAACATTGGTTTAAAAAAGAAACAGTCTTTGCAGATCTGTCAATGGATGCAGCTGAGCATTCATAGAAATTACATATTTAAAATCATGTATAACTAAAGCTTAAACTAGCCATTACGAAAAGAATATAATCAATCACTCTGGTCACACTTTCACGGGTGAATGCACACTCATAAAACATTGATGTTATTTCAAAGGAAGAAAACCTCTTTTGGATGTACTTAATTTCTTAGAGGAAATAAATGGGCATTAAGCAATAAAAAAAATTTCAGGTATTTTAAAATTTCAGATTTTTTATATCGAATGTTCGCTCTTGCAAAAATGCATAAAAAGTTGAAGGATAAATTAACAAATTAAAAAAAATAATAAGTTTTGGAATAAAGAACTGGCTTATGTAAACATGAATAAATATTTATTAATTATTACTCTATATTTAATCTAAGTCGATTTCTTATTCAAAACAATTTTTTATAAAGTTCTTAATTCATTAGTTCCAAGTGTAAATTAAGTTCTCCAGCTAAGTTCATCTCCTTAAAGTAGTGAAATAGTTACTACAATTAAAAAAAGTAGTTGTAGTAAAAATAATGTAGTTTTTCCAACCATTGATACTATGTATATTATTTAATAGATAAAAAAAATAATTAATTTGATTAACAAATAATTTTTCTATACTTTATCATTTATGATGTTTTTGGAATCACTTATAATAATGTTTATAAAGACTCATATGTAAGTTTGATTTTTTTGGAGGGAAAGGGAAGATAAAAGTTACTATTAACTTAGATTTTTGAGCATTTATCCTGAAAACCTTGGTCAAAGTGTTATAATTTAATTTAATTTTATTTTACCATATTTATGAAAGAAATTATTTATATGTCTATGTTAATAAGTGTTTATAATGTCTATGTTTAAAAGTTTTTTTTTTCAATATATAGCTTTTAACAATAAATTGTTTATTAAATTTCATTATATTTAATTTATTTTTTGTATAATTTCCAAAATAGTGTACTAGAAAAAAATATCACTGTAGTCTTACGTTTTCTGTTTTCCAAAGTTAAAAGTTGGGATAATTTTATTTTTATTTTGAATTTACAAGCACTTTGGTGATTAATGATACTTTTCATAATTCAATTTTATGTTATTTTTAGTGGGAAGTTAAAGCTCCAGTTCCTTCTCCATCATTCACTGCCATTTCTAAGCAGCTTTCAAAGGTTCATGGACTAATTCATAATGTGCTCTCTCCTGAGGAATTGAATAACATTTTCAGTAGAGTTAATAATAATTTTAAAACTAAACTAAGATTTCATCTTACCCGATTGCAAGTGAACAATGATGGTGGACCCCAGCATGGGTAATTTCTTTTGTTTCTGCTCTCAAGTTCTTAAGAAAAATATTTTTCAAAATAAATGAGTTTTTTTTTTCTTTCCAAATTTTATTTTATGTCTAGATAATGAGATTTTATTCAGCAATAAATCAAATGCCAATTCTTGAAATTTTTTTCCTTCTTACTGCACTTTTTTTTAAGCTTAGAAATTATGTTTGGAAGAAACTCATTTGTTTATTTACATTTTTTTGTTCTTAACCACAAATATAACATAATTTATTTCAGCTAAAATTACATATTCTTAACATGCTTTTAAAAGAATATTTCAATTCTTTTTTAGCATATTTTACTCATTTGAATATATATAATTTATGACCAGAATCTGAGTTTGAAAGATTTATAAGTATAAAGATGTGAAATTAATGAAATAGAACAATGAATGAGAAAATAGAATCACAAAATTTAAGTACACTGATGTCCAAAAATTGTGGGACAAATACAGTTTTTCAAATTTTTAGAAATTGTGATACAAATTAAGTGAATTTAAATGAAAACAATTAAAAATTTATTTAAAAATGGTGATAATAAAAAAGTTTTTTTCTTCTTTTTTGTCCGATTTACAGTTAATCAGTTATGCACTGTTTTGCTATTTAATGCAAATATGAAAATCCAAAAAGAGAGGTATCCCCTGCGAGATAAAAAAAAGTTGTGGCTTAAGATCAAGCATCACAGCAAGATTGTTCAAAAATGATGTAACTTTTGTTGCATCAATACGTAAAATAATACCTGCGAAGGATAGTGAATTGGCAATACAAGCCCCATGACTAGGGCTGCAAGTTTGTCGCGGGGAAAAAAGACCCCAAATTTGCGGGAAATTTTGAAAATTACACAAATTCTAAACATAAAAAAATTTATTATATAAATGATGCAAAAGACAGAAATTGCGCAAATAAAAAAAAGTTTTAAAATACACTATGAAAGTATTTCTTTGAATTTCAAGTAATATTTATATTTTTAATTAAATGAACAGAATTTTGGTACAAAGTATTGTACATTGTCAGATTATTCTCATTTATCCTTTGTCTTTCATCACTTAATACATTTTTATACTTAGAAAGCGATCTTTCTGCGTCAACGCTGTTTTTAGTCACCGACAAACTTCGTATTGCCACTTTTGGAGCGTTCGGTCTTTGATATCCAAAACTCGATCAATTTTCCTTTACCAACGCGCAATTCCTTGACCGTTGCTTTGTAAGAAGTAATTGCTGTGACAACTTAAACATTCTACATTCAAACTACTAGTTACAAGTCTCTACTAACTACTAGTCCCCCTCCTTCATCTAAGAAACTGATCCATATTTAAGAAATCACAAGAAGCCGCCTAGGAAGAATTAACTGGATATGTAGAAAGGCAGTAGAAATTTCATTGCCCAGTGCAATAGCATGTATAACAATTTTTCTGTCAAAGATTTAATTTATAACATTTTCCTTTTGTGATTCCAATTTCTTTTGTATTCTTACTGACTTCAGGAAGGTAAACCCTCCCTAAGTGTAGAAAGACCACCTTAGTTGACAAGATTGTGATTATCTCTTATCTCGGAACTATTTTCATGTCATTTTGCTATTGATTCACTCCCCTAAATATCTAATAAATTTTACATGTTCAATTTAAGGTTCAGGAAAATAAAAATTCTGTTTAATAAAAATAATAAATAAAAAATGGAAAAAAAAATCAAATTTTAAGCAATTTTTGCGCAAGTCAAGACATATTGAGAAATTCGCGGATTTTAAGAAAAATATATGACAATTCCGCGGAAATTCGAGCCGCGACAAACCTGCAGCCCTACCTATGACTAATCTCTCGTGCTGTTTACAAGGTTGCAAATTAAAGGTACTCTGTATTTTCTGAAGTAAAGGGCTGGTTGCTTAATATTATCCTATGTAAGTTTGTTCGAAGGCACTGTTCCCCAGTTTATTTTTAGATGAAGAGGACAAGGAGTGTCCACAGAACTGGAACAAAGATGTTCAGAGGAGTAGCCAGCCAGACGTGAATGTTCTTGAGTATGTCTGAGCTGCTCTTAGCAGGATGATTATGTCTCGACACACCCTCTGAGAAACCTCCAGGAGCTAAGTACTGCTTTAAGGGAAAAGTAGATTTTATGTAAAAATTTGTCAACCTTGTTGACAGCATGAGAATTCATGTGAGACCTGCATTGCTGTTGGGGGAAGCGACTGTACCTCTTATTCTACCTTCCAGAAGTGCTATTTCGCCACATCTTTTGGACAATCTGTTGCGATGCCCATAAAGCAAGTTCATGCCAGAAATTTTACTTGATTTGGTTTCATTTCATAAGTTGTCCACAAAAATGTATTTGTTCCTTAATTTTTGGACATGAGTGTAATTAGTTGTATATTACACCTATTGTAGTATATTATGTTTGTAAGCTGAGAGTATTTTAAAACTACTTCTAAGGTTAATTTCAAAAGTCAACTTTTATACAGATCTATTCAGCTAACATAAGGATATAAAAATGTATGCTAGATATAATAATATGCGATTGTAAATTAACAATTAGTGCAAAAAAAAATATAAATTATTTATCTTTTTACATTATTTTTAATTTACCTCGGCTTAAAAATTGCTTTTAGATTTAGAATTTGTCTTCTTTTTGCACAAATTTGTTGTTGTTATCTATATAGTTCGTGATACAACATTAATTTTTACCTTTTACAGTTATTTATTATTTTTAAAGGTTCCTTGATTTAACAAAACATAAATAGTATAGTATAGATTACTTTATTTTCAGAAGATGGGGCTTAAAATGTGTTTTCACTGCTTTTCTAATTGAGATATCTTGATTTCATTTAGTAATTTTAAATGTTTTTTTTAACTCAATACATATTACATATGTACTTACTGTATTTAGGTACTTTTAAAAAAAGAAAAATTGCAACTGAAATTTTTTTCAATTCCAAATATATTTTGCACAATATTTTTTTTAATGTATAGGTTATGGCTAATTATCTGTAATATTTTGATAAGTAAATTAATTTGCTACTCTCTTTCTTTATTTCTAGGTTGGTGACTCAAGAGCTAATTTTTTATATTCAAAATTTAAAGAAGCTTAATGCTCCAAGTGATTTTAATATAAATGATTTATGGCAATCTAGATAATAAATTGTAATATTTATTTAAAGAATTTATATTATATACCAGTTTATTGTAAATGAATAGGATATATTTTTCAATTAATTGTTTTGAAAATAAATTATTGTATTATATTTCATTAGTTGTGGTCACTTTTTGGCAAGCTCCTCTGTGTCAAACTGTTTAAATAGGAAATACTAGATATTTTTTCATAAGTTTCAAAAATGCACCAAATAATAATTATTTGTTAATTTTTAAAATATAAACTGTTTAAAAGCAGGAATGCACAATTATTTTTGAATAACAGACCATAAAAACTAGAAAATACTATTTTGAGGGCCAACAAAAACATGAAGTAAAAATTAAGATTATAACACTTAAAACATTATTTAAAAACTATTTGAAAGTACTTTGAATGACTCACAGAAGTATAATTATTTTTTTACCCAGGTGCAGGAATTAAAAATTATAAATAAATAAATCAAAATATATATTTACGAGATAACAAAAAATTTTGCCATAGATTTTTAGGCATACGGAAGGGAGGGGGGGGGGGAGAATTAATTTTTAAGTAAACCAGATATTAAAATTAGGTTTATTTTGTGATGGTTGAAATTGGACGTCATTACAATCTTACACTCTGTGAAAGAAAAAACCAGTTCTGTAACTTACTGTTATAGATTGTTTTTTACCACCATTTAAGACAGTTGAGTGTAATAACTAAATTTTATAAAAAAAAAAAAACCTTTTGAAGTGAGAAGATTTGTTTAAAGTTAAAATATTGAACTTACACAATGGCTTTTAAAGCTTTGCTCAAATTACTTAAAATGTGATAGTGAAAATTAAATATATATATTTTGTCAGAACTTATAAACATAAAATTTAGCAAGGCTGACAAAAGCTAGAAAAATGATGAAACATACAACATCATTAGTGAATTTTTTAAATTTATTTAAAACAGAACGAGACTGGATTTTGTTTGAAAAGTTCGAAATTGGTTGTAGATGTATTTTAAAATGCGGCTTAATAAATGAATGTTTATTTGTTTTTTTCTTCCTATTTTTATAATTGCATTAAATCACATTTTCAATTTACTCATTGGTAATTCAGCTAGTTTAGACCAAGATCGCTCATCATATTCGCCTGATAACTGGCGTCTTATGAAGTGGGACTAGTGCTTTTGAGAAAGGAGTGTGGAAAAGTAAATTTACTGTTTACGCTCGATGGCAGTTAGAAGCAGGAAAGGGGGAAAAGCATAAGAATTTAGAACTGCAGGCCAAGAAAATGAATATGCTGCCAAGACATGCATGGTTGTTAATGAGGAGAATTTCTAAGATTGAATTTAAAAGCTCTCAAGATTGTTCGAAAGGCCAATAAATGATATTGAGAAACTCGATTTCCGAAGTACTTCGGAGTCATGGGAGAGGTACAAAAGTTTCCAAAATATAAAGTAGTAAAAAACATGCAAGTTACAGAGGAACAAATGGAACAGTCGCCAAGGTACAAAATCTGAGAAGAATTTATAAAAAGTTTAATGTCAAAAGTCGGGATTCATATGAATTGAATAAGAATTAGAAATTGTCACTAAAGTAGAAAGGAAGAACATAATGTGGAAATATTGTTTTAAAAATAATTCAAACGAAAATCGAAGTACTAAGAGAGACAAATGTGAACAGAGTTTCAGAGGTGGACAAACCAGAGGTTTCTGTGGTGGATCAAGAAGCACTTTTTGGTATCGCATGCTTGTGGGCTGAAGACACGCTCTTTACAACAGAAAGTAATTGGGTATAATATAAAAAAAAAAACACAACTACTTCCACTTAGTAGGAATAGCATTTACCATGACGCAATGCTAAATTCTATGCCACTATCCACATAAATCAATTATTAATCAAAAATCGAATATCAATTACTTTTCTTTATAATGCAATAAAATCTTGCGAGCAACTATTTAAACGATCAAACACTTTGTTTGTTTATTTGTGGCTTGAAGTTAGGCTCGCAGAAAATGCCGTTCATGGGTTAAATTTAGTAGGAATAACACAACCTGTGACGTAGACTATAGTATACCCAATTATATGATAAATGCCACTGAGGTATAAATGGGTAATGGAAATAAATTTGAGGTCAGTGAAACCATGCTGGAAACAACCCTTAGAGGCAAGAATGTTTAGTGTGGTGACGGAAAAAATGAAAAAGTGGACGAGGTGGCATTAAAGAGTGTAAGCAACCTTGAGTGCCGAAAAGTTAAATTGGGGAATTTAATACTCAATGATGTTGTAGCCCGGTAGGAAGTCAAGAGAATACTGGAAACGAAGTTTACCACTTTGACATGTTGGTGGCACTAAAACTCATAGTGTATCAAAAGTTTATAGCAAGACTCGTAGGGATAAAAAACTTAAGTTAAATGCAGGGTTTACTAAGAAAAATACATCAAAAGTTGATGGTAGGCCCCATCTGTTAAAAAGAAAAAAAAAATCTGAAGTGAAAGTACTGGTAAGGAAGCGCTGTACAAAACAGTTGGCGAGAGCAATGGAACCTGAAAAAAAAAAAAGTTTTGCTTTGTGGTGTTTCAAGCAGTCAACTAGATTCCAAAGGAAAATATGGATTAAGAATGATAAATGGAGGAAATCAAATCATCCTACACCGGAATATCATAAATTTTGCAAGAAACACAAATTATTTTGAATTGTGAAGCAAAGTACTTGCAACGCCCATAAATCTGTAACCAGATCAAAAGGGCTAATAGAAGGGTCAAACAAAGATTTTGAAACTTATAATTGTTGGCATTTGGAAATATGGAAAGAAGTGGCCAAATAGCACAAGTAAATAATGTGGATTTAACTGAAGATTTAGAACATCAAGTTTGGAAGTATAGAAAAAAAAAAGAGATGTCAAATGCAAAAACGGAAGAGAAAATAGATAATTCCAGTCAGTCAAAAATAAAAAATAATGGAATTTATGATGTGAAAAAATTATGAAATTGAGAAAAACCGCCAAAGCATTTAAAAGTTTTCATCGTATTTCATGTTTTTAGATTAGTACAAAAAATTTCAGAAGAATACCTCATGAAATAAAAAGACAAGAAATTATGGCTCTGATTAGCAACATAGCCTTGACGGGGAAAAAATGGCAAAAGAGTGTTATTCTCAGAAGATTCTATGATGGAGTCTTTGGACCTGAATTTTGAGAAAGATATACAAGCCTTATTAAAGTTAGTGCCGAAGAAAAAAATTATCTATCTTAATAAAAAAAGTGGGTTAAAAAATAATAATAAATGGTTAGAGTAGATATTTAAAAAATTTATGGAATTTGGCTAGATTGATTTTTTTCATAAATATTTTGCTTGATTTTTAAGAAAATACTGTCCAAGTATAAGTATTTCTATGGTAATTTTTAGTTGTTTTAAAACTTCTTCTTGCATGCTAGTTGTAATTTTATTAGAGTTAAAATATGAATTTAAAGCAAAACGTAGTGGTCAAAGATTGAGATGTAATATCACCAATAGTGTTTAATTGTTTACACTTAAAAATCCGTAGTGAAATAACACATGTAATGTATTGCAGAAGTAGGAAATATGATAAAAGTAAATGATGAAAAAGAAAATTTTAAGGAATATTTCAATTAACTTTTAGTCACTATATCTAAGTTTTAGGTTGCAGATAATATAAGCATGAATTTTAATTGTTTGATAGTGTTTGCATACAGTTGAGAAAAAACTATCTGTAGTTAGTAGCTTTGATTTACTTTTATTAACTTTGATTTATAATATGCCTAAATGAGATTTTTATTTATAGTAACTAAATTTTATTTCATTGTATTGGGAGAAAATTTCGCCATATAAAGAAAGCATATTTTTCTCTTGGCAGCGGCATGTCAATACCTTTAAAAATAAATTTAAGCCAGGCTGACATAAGCAAAAAAAATAATGAAACAGGCAATGTCACGTGTGAATTTTTTAAATTTATTTAGAACAGAATGAGACTGGCTTTTGTTTGAAGAGGTTGAAATTGGGGTATACATGTTTTAAAATGTGGCTTAATAGATGAATGTTTTTTTATTTGTTTTTTCTAGTTTTCAATCGCATTAAATCAAATTTTCAATTAATTAATTGGTAATTTGGCTAGTTAAGACCCAGATAACTTGCTATATTCCCCTGACATGTTTCATATTAGTCTATACAATTGTGCAAACGTTTTAAATTGTTTTTATACTTGGTAATTTCATAACCCACTTCAAAAAATTTGTCCTAATACAGCACTCTTCAAAGAAAACTCTCTTGCAGTAAACATTTTATCTATAGAGGAGTCATATTTTTCACATGTACTTAAAATATGATGCTTATATTTTAGTGAAGAAAATTTGATTCTTCTATAATAAAAATGAGAAACTAAAATGATATATCAGACAGATGAAATTTTTACTATAAAAATAATATGTACAACGTAACAAAAAAACACATTTTTTCTATGACAATGCTTAATAAATAATAAAGTCCACTGTAAACACTGCGAAACAGAAATGCAAAAAAACGAAGGTTTGTAAGATAAAGGGGAAGACGCATCAAGATATGCAGAAAACATAAAATGAGTTTATAAAAATAAGTACTTGTCGTTCTTCATAATAAAAGCATTTTTAAAAATATGATGTGCTCTGATGAATTTCAAGAAGATCTTCAATTATCTATAACAGAAAAAGAACCTTAAATACATTTCTGGCAAATAAGAGTGTTTGAGATCGAAGAAAAAAAAAACTTTATAAGTCTTTGATGTATATACTCATACAGTTTTTAATTTGAGCAGTGTAGAGTAAATAAAAATTGCTCTATTTAAAAAAGCTCATGAATGACTTGATTCAAAATTATTAGCATTTTTTACATAATTAAGTTAGGGATTTCACAAAATAATTGCATTCTTTTATACTAAAACATTTTAATCTTTTGAACAATTTTTTAATACAAAAACAATGTCACAATAAACTGTATATATATTTTAATTATTTGATTGAATAAAAAGATTTATATTCAAAATCACAATAAAATATGAAAATTTGTTGTAGAAATCTCAGTAAATTCTTAAAAAATAATGGATAGTTTTTTTATGAAAAATAATGTTATGCATTAAAAAATGTCCATTCATATTAACCAAGTAAAATTTACCTGATCAGATGAAGTACCAATTCTTTTAGAAACTTCTGTTTTCTCCAAGATCGATAGATTGAGAAACATAGACAGCAAATCTCCATCCAAAATATTTTTATGTGGATTTTGTAACAATTTTCTCTGACTTTTAAACATCCTGTAGCATATCACAAAAAGTAAATTTACTTAGATGTTTTTTGGTGCGAAACAAATATTTTTATTACTTGACAAATAAGATTTATTTTAAAAACAACAAACACAATATTGAATTTTATTTTTTTTTCTAAATTAACTTTAAATTTACATTTTTAGAAATTTATTATCTATAAATATTTAATAAATAAATATGTAAAATAATTAAGGAATTTTTATAAAATAGAAAAAAAAAGGTTTATAGCAAAGTTATAAAGAAAAAAATACTTTCTTAGGGTAAGAATTTCTATTTTATATTAATCGTCATATTAGTGACATGCATTACATATATGGCTAATAAAAATTAATTATTAAAAAAATTTATTTTCTTTATAAGATTTTTACTTTTAGTTAATAAGAGTTTATTAAGCTTTATAAAGATAAAATGAATGTGATATCTGCAAGACTATTGCCATTCTAAAAATTTTAATTTGATAACTTACATAAAATTAAAATTGCAATAAAAAAATTAATTAATAATGCATGAAATATGATAAATTTCAGCTCAATATAAAGAAGGTAGTGTTTAAAAGCCAAAGATCTGAAATAGACTAAAAACAATTAATCTTGAATTAGCGTGGTGTGAGATGGTTTAGACATGTAGTACATATTCAGCAGATATATTAACTCAAATTACCAGTCAGATGCATCAAGGTGAATATACTATACTCGCTTCCCCATATAGGCTTTATAAGCCTTAGACTCACGAGAGAACCATTGGCATTGCTCAGTGCGAGCGATTAGGCTGTACTTCTTGGTTCAGCAAGAGAATGCACTCTAAAGTCGGGATCATTTTCGACTACTTCATGTCAACGGGAGGCTGCAAATATAGCATCAGGCTCATGAATCCTTCATGCCAGTTCGGAACTGTACAAAATCATTGCAGCTCAATAGTGATGTGAGGCCATGCTTGGCATATTTTACGTATTTGTATAAACCTTCATCAATGTGATTTGTTTTGTAGAGTTGCGGGACCATTACCTCCATTTGTGTTATACTGTCATGCACATCAAAATGGTGTATTTATTGTATTCTACTACCAAGACAATCGCACCTTTCACAGATCCTGGTTAGCTACAGCTTAAGCATTTTTCTGACTTATCTATCAAGAATTGGTCTCTAATTGAGATGTTTCAAAGACAGATGTAAAACCATATCACACTACACCAGTGACCTTTACTAAATGATGGGCAATCGATTTTGATGTTTGGCAAACCATTCCTGTGTTGTAGAATCTATGCCTCGCTGTGGGGCAGCCTTCAGCAAGGCTGGAAAAGACCCAAATTGTTATTCACTAGCTATCAATTTTACTATATTCAGTGACACTTTTAATATATATATATATATTATCATTAATAAAATATAGTTATAATAGAAATGCTAGAAATTAATAAAAAGAATATGCAATAATACACAACCTGAAGCCTTTTGGATTTAATCCAGCAGTATGTGGAATGTGAGTAACTAAAACATTTTGCAACATAAGTAATCGTCTGTAAGTCTTTTCAGGAATGGGTAACACATACCCTAATCCACCATCTAAAGTAGCTGAAATTAATCGAAAGTTTTTTTAAATATATATATATATTTTACAACATATTTAAGTGTAGTGGAAAATAACATGTAGGCAAATAAACATACATACCAAACATTGTGACATGTCTCTTTTCTAAGAGATTTGCTTGTCTTTTATCATAGTTGGATAGTTCACCTATACGACATCGAATCCTAAAAAATGAATTTATATGATAACCAGCATGTATATCTGCTTTGCGAAGAAGTTTTGAACCCCCAAAACTTTCCCTTGCTTCAGGACAATACATGAATAATATTAAGTTTTTCTCCACATCAGAAACTAAAATTAAAAAAAAGAAAGACTGTAAACAAAAATGGATAAAATAATGAGATATTAAAAACAAAACTTATACTGTGAATTAGTAGTTTTACCCAAAAATCCAACTTGGTTGTTATCAATAAGAAATTCAACACTGTAAACTTCTAGAGGCTTTACATCCTGAAATATTCAAAAACATACACACTTGTACAATACGAAATTGTCAGCTTAATTTTAAAGAAAATTTTTTTCATTTATGATGCAATCTTTTCCATAAAATTTAAATAAAGGATATATAATTGAAGAGATATTACCTATTTTATCATCATTATTGGGATTTATTTTATTTTTTAAGAAAATATATTTCAGTTTATTTACATTACTCTAAAAAAAATTTTCATCAGAGATTTTGTAAACCAAAACAGTTTCAAAAATATTTAGAAACGTTCTGCAAGAGTGCATATACTAAATGTTTAATTTAAATTCTAATATATATTTTTCTTTAAGTAAATTACTATTACTATAACTAAATAATAAATTGCTCTACAATGGATATCAAAACTGGTTTAAATTTGAATCAAACATACACAACCCTACAATAGTTGAAGAATTACTTCCTGTATTTGACATTTTTTAAAATTTTTACATAATACTGAATGATAATTTCAGAGGTGTTTTAGGTCATGCGATTTCTTATATTTTTCAATAAAGTTTAAACCTCTCGGAGATTTGAGAGACCGGCAATAAATTACAAAAAAAAAATTTTGTTTTTGAACACCTTATATCAGAATATATAGCAATAAACTGGTATCGATTGCTTTGCTTTGATTTTTATATGCAATCATTCCACAAAATTTCATCATCCTAGCTTAAATATTTATGAAGATACAGACATTTTTTTAGAAAAAATAATTATTATTTTGTCTTATGATTTTAGCTGTAACTTAAATATTCAATAAAATTAAACAAAATTTTTAAAACAATTTTCAATTAAAATAGCAAAATTATCATTTTAAAATGTGAAGAAAGAATTTTGTAAAAAATTGCACAAGATATTTTCATTTAAAGTAATCCTTTCATACTGCACATGTGCAAAACATGTTTTAAAAACTCTTTTTAATAATTTTGCTGTGAATCCTATTTGATAAATTATGAAAAAAGTCAGTCTTGGTAATTGAAAGTTTCAGGCAATTTTCGAAGTAGTTTACGTAAACTTTGAAAAAAAGCTCTTAAAATAATAAGGGGTTTTCCACAAATGATATTTTAAAATAACAAACAGGATTTACTAGAATATGACACCAACATCAAGAGAAATCATCCCCTATAAGAGTATATTTTCCTTTGCATGTTTTTTTCCCTTATACCATAACATACATTATTATAAACTATTATCATATATTATTAATTTTTGTTACATAAAATAAAATGAATAAAAAAAAATTTTTACATAATTTTGTCCAAATTTCCTTAATATTTAAACTAGGTTACTGAACTCTTATACGAACTCTTTTATTGCGTATAAAAACCTAAGTAATCAATACAAGTTGAAAGTTCATTTATATTTTCTGGCAGGGTATTCAACTATACTTTTTCGTTGTTCTTAATTTATTACCAGTCCCTCAAACCTCTGAAAGCTTTCAACTTTATTGATAAGTATGAAAAATTGTGTGACCTAAACACTTGTAAAATTATAAAATAATCCTTTAAGTATTTCTTGAGAAATTTAAAAAAATTTCAAAATTTAAAAGTGTCTCTTCAATTATTGCTGGGTAGTGTATATAGGAGAGTGCCTTGCACCTTGGTGCACTTTTCACATCTTAATTTTTAGATTTGACAATTATAGTTGAAAAATCGAAAGAAAACCACAAACATTTTCCTTTGAAAAATATTTTTCTCAAACACAAACGAGTTTAAAATAAAAATTTGTCAGCCCCATAAAGTAAAAATTGCAAACTATAAAACTGTAATTGCATAATAAATTGTAATTGTGGTCACAAACACTCAGAAAAAAATTCTCAAACTTTTCCCGACTGACTTCTTAAAATTTCGCTAATTTTTTTATTTTTTAACCTATGGTATAAATTTTTATTATAATTTTTTTCAGTTATGTTTTATTCTCAACCATTAAATACATTACAAAACATTTTAGGTGGCTATTAGGATTAAAAATACAGAATTTTCTGGAAAAGCATCACACTTTTAGGTACCTCGCACACAAGTTTATTAGTTTTCTCCGACTTTTCTCAGTTTAAACCCAACAATTCCTTAAGATTAAACCTACAAACCTTAAGAATATTCTTTGTTTACACAAAGAATATTCTCAGTTTAAACCTAACATATTATTGATTTAGGTAGGTTTCCAATCATCTTGATTCTACATTGATTTTTTTATATGATATAAAAAAGTCAATACAAAATCAAAATGAATAGGGAAAACATGAGCCTATATGATATGTCATTTATTGTAACGATAATTGTAGATAATAATACCATGTTCTCTAGAAGTTACGTTCCCAATATAATAATGAATGTATTATTAAATTTTTAGGCATGGAGATGGATAAGTGCAATTTTTTATAAATGTTTTTAACAAATTAGAAACTATATTAAAAGTTACTTAAAAAATGGAATTTTATTTGATTATTTTTAAAAAAAACTGTTTTAGAAACACGAAAGCAAAATTACTTGATGAACAAATCAAGTTCACTGCTTCCAAATTCATAAGCAAATTAAAATAATAAAAAAACGCTGTGCTAATTTAAAAGATTGTAACAGATTAGAACACATTCTCTTGTAGCAAAAGATATTAAAATTATACAAAAAATTATGCACATATTGTATCTTAGAATGTGTTCCAGAATATAATCGCTACATCCTTTAAATAAAATCAAAATTATGGACAATATAAATTATCTTTTTTTTATAATTAAAACATTTAAAAATCTTTTCTTCTAAAATTTCAGTTGAATAGTTTAATTAATTTAAATTTAGAAAATGAAAATAAAATTTTAAACATTTCACTTTTAAGTATTGAAAATTTATTCTTCTCACCAATACATTAATTTAATTACTGCTTTGGATGCCGATTTTTGCAGTGATGCCACCCATTAGTTAAGCCCCCCCCCCAAACACAGGCGTAAAAAAAGTCTTAAATCTAATTTTATGGATTTTTAGTAACAAATGTAAAAACACTAAGAATTTTTTTTAAAAAAAGAAGCTTTAAAAAATAGGAATTAAAAAACTTACTCTGCTAACAAGAGACAAAGTACGACTTTTTTCTTGGTAACGCAGCAAAGATATAGATTTATATACATCAGCAACAATAATTAAATTTTTCAAAGATATAGCTGTGTGAATGTAGCACTGAGTATCAATAAAAGCAACTCCAATTAAATCATTGTCTTTCAGCTGCCATATATAAATCTAAACAATAAAAAATTGAGTGAATTAGTTTATTACATTAAAAAATAATTTATGGATATTTACTTATGTTAATAAATGATTAGTTAATTAAATTTATTAGTTACTATTAACTTACTTTTGTGAATTAATAGATAAACTTCATAAGCTAGTTAAGAAAGTGCTTTAATTTTTACACAACTTACGTTTTTACCTTTCCTTTCTTTCCTGATCAAATATTTACAGCACTTTCAAGAGTGAATTACAAGTGAATAAGCCAGTTGAATTCTTGTTTTTATTTTGATCATAATTTATAAAATAATCGTTAATCATAATTAATAATCTTTTTAAAATCAAACCTGTAAAAACAAAAATACTAAATCATAGTAAAACATGTTAAAACTACCTTTCAATAAAATTATTGTGCTCCTTTCTTAGTATTGAACTTTAGGGTTTTAAATGTTCTATAATTCAAAAGACTTTTTTCTTAAACTCAGTATTTTTATTTATTTATTTGTACTTGGAATTTTCTCACAAGGATAAAAAAAAATTCTTGTTATATTAAAATAGAAAAATCAAAATAATAGAAAAGAATTACACTTCTTGAAAAACTCTAACTAAAAACATTGAGACTTCAGAAAGAATTAAAAAGAAATTTTTCATTTGATAAGGTAAAACATCAAAAGAGCAAATCTTCATTTAATTATTTCATAAATATAATTATTTTATAATCTTCATTTAATCATACATAAAGCAAAAATAAGGACAAGCACATAAATGAAAATATTTTGAAAAATTTTAAAATCTTAAAAATTCTGCCACTGAACATGTGCCAATTTTTAAGATAAAGCCTTGAATAAATTAAATATAAACTCTTCTTTAATTATATTTACAAATGTCAAAACAGGGTAAATAAGAAATAAGGATACAACAATTCAACATTTACTGTATCAGTGAAATTTAATTTAAAAATTCCAAAAAATTTTTAAGGATTAATTTTTAAAAAAAAATCTATTTCTTAAAATGAAAATGTTTCAAGATTATGTGGATTGCCTTTTGAATAGTGAATTAATTTTAATGGAATTTAATAATAAAAGAGTAAAAGCTATCAGACATTGCAAGTTTAGAACTCCAAATCACCAGGACTATGGTTAAAAACAAGGGTTTTATCAGCATTAATTCAGTATTTTTTTATTATTACTTATTTTTCTAGTTTATTATATTTACAAAGGTACTAATTACAAAAATTAATAGCAAAAAATATGCTTTCAAATCACACATACAATGCAAACATTGTATTGTGATACATATAATTGTAAAATATATTGTTTTTGTTTTAAAATTTAAGATATAAAATGTTAAGATATCAAACTTAATTTCGTGTATCTTCAATGTCATTCTTTGATCATGTAACACAAATATGCGCATTTTCTTAAAAAAAGTCTCAATAGAACATTTAAATTTTAGAAAATAACAAAAATCAAGTGAATATATAAGTATATGTCTAAATTTAAAAATTAAGATATATATACACAAATATCTTTAAAATGTACTAAACATTAATAATAAACATAATTATCTAAACAAAACAGAAAAAAAACTTTAAAAAAAGCAATCATTTTTCTTAAAAATTATTCGGCAAAATCTTTCTTACTTTTTGGCCAATAGCACTCAACAGGAAACCTGAAACTTGACATAAAGCAGTGACTGGGCCTTTCTGTTCTTTACAATAAACAGTCTACAGAAGTAGAAATATTTGTTATTGAAGTAATAAATTGAATTAATAAATAAATAACTAAGTTAAAACATTAAACATGTTACCTTCATTTTATTTTTCGTTAGTGGTTGCCCAGGTTCAGGAACAACTTCAATGATATCTAAGATAAATATCTAAAAAAATCGTTTTAATTAACGAAATTTTTTAGAAAAAAAATAACACAAATATAATGTAGAATAAAATATTTAGCAATTTTTTTAAACTACTACATAAAATTTTACGTTTTTTGCAACTTTTAAACTTTTAAAACCAATTTATTTCACTTTCAAATTTTCTCATTTGAAATAAAACAACTTTAAGAGGTGTAAAATTTTAAATACTTTAAAATCCAAAAAATTTTGTAATTATTAAATCTATTTATAAATAAAAAAATCAATTATAAAAATCTATATAACTTATAAAAGAAATTAAATATATTTTTCGAATAAAATTGTTAACTGAAAAATTTCGCTTTATAATAGGTGTAATTTCAACCACATTTAGCAATATATGGTTGTCCTTAATATTTTGAGGAATTTGAGCCTCGTAACTTTTAAAATAAAATAAAAATTGATTAAAAAATGATTTTAAAAAATTGATCATAAATTGATTAAGAATAAAGACATGCTTATTCAAAATATAGTTCTAGAGTCAGATTTTATGACTTAAATGAAAGGATATAACTAAAATGTATATTTAATGTTATTATACATGTAAAAAATATATATATAAATAAAATACATTGATTTATTTAAAATGTTTTGAAATTTTAATTTAACAAATCCTTTTTTTCTTGGCACAAAAATAAAATTGACATTTGTAACAGATTACTGTTAATTTTCTGTAAATTCATAAGAATAAATAAAGTTTCTTTTTATTTCAAAGGCTTTGAGGCCTTTGAAAAATGTTATCCCTAGCTGTGGTCACATTTTATCCTTTTCATCAGCATCATTTCGTACTTCTTCAGTCTCTGCAGCCATTTTTTCCGCAACCAATGTCACACCACAAGTTTCAATGTTTTCATCAACTGATGCATAAACATCAAATGCAACATTTGAAGTATTTTCCCCAAACTGTAATATATCTTTATTCCTTTTATTATTTGCATCTGGAATTATTGTTTTTTTTTAACGAAATAGCTTAATTTTCTAGTCTTTAAAATTCTCCAATGATAGGTGCATGAATCTTTTATCACTAGAAACAGCATAAAAGTGTAGTATTCACATTATAAGAATAGCATTCATGATGGGATCAGTAAAACAAGACGATATATACAAAAAAAACATGGATAGAGGTTCCACTGTAGCTTTAATTAAGTCGATCCTTTCCTTAAATTTTTATTAATTACTTGAATAAATATTAAAACTAATTTAAAGTGAATACCCTTCCTCTGCTGGTGACATCTTCACCATAGTTATAGCTTGTTCCCATAGCCAAATAACCTTTTAAGCCACTTCGAGTACCTTCTGAAGCCAGCAGAACGTTTTTAACACAAGTGGCATGTTCCCACTCTTCCAATTCCATGAGAGTGTTGGGTATCGCCTCCCAACTCACAGGTGAAAACAGTTGCATGGAAAATCTTTCAGTCAAAGGATACATGTAGCGCTCATCCGCTATAAATCACAAAAATAAATAGATAAATACAAGTTAATATCTAAATAGCATTTTGAATTCCTTAAATATATGTATAATACAAAACCCTAGCAACATCAGAACTATTATTCCTTTTGGTACAAGTTCGATAATTAAAATCAGCATTATACATTCTCATAAAACATAAGAAACTATACTTAAATAGATAGCATTCAAATACATAAATATGTATAAGATAAACATTGAACTTTTTTAATATAAAATCATTATAACTTTTGAATTATTAGTCCTATTGCAACAAACTTGGTCTCAATCGATTCAGCATAAGAAATACTTTAGAAACATTACCTCATTTATCTTGATAGCAACATTTAAATTTCTTTCCCCATTTACGCCCATCCTGCCAAAATCTAACATGCAAAGATATACAACTATTTATTATTAGGAGTACTATACTTAAATGTCTGCAATTGAATAGATTTTTTTTGTGGAAGTAAGATTTTTGATTATTTTTGAGCCATCTTTACTATATTAGCTATCATATTTGGTGATCCCGGATTTATCAAGTAGTAGAATGCTATATACATAACATTATTTTATGATCTTTCTGAATATTGAACTTTATTTCCTTATATATATATTAAACCTTTATCCTACCAATTCCAACTTAACAAGATTAACTTAACATTTGGTAGTTGTTTTGTTTTAGTTGTGGCTATGCCATAAAACTGATTAAACAAATTATGCAGAAAAAATTTTTTAATCATATTATCTTTCTTTGTAATTCTGTATTAACTGTTACTAATTAAGTCTGGTTGTCGCTAGTTGGGAATACCCAAAAATTTTTTGTTCTATTTTTTATAGAGAAGAAATATGGAGAATTAAACTTTTAACTTTACTTATAATACCCTTTTAACTAATGTGCTAAATAAATAAAAAAGCGATAAGCAAAATCTGTGTAAAAAATTTTTTTTAAATAAAAAGTCATTTATATTAAAATCCGTCTCCATATTTAGAAAAACATTAATAGAAACAATGTGCTATTGCTCTATATCAGAAATTTTATTATATTTCAAAACTAACAGTGTATAGAAATCACCTTCAGTACTCTAAAAATTAACTTATGAATAAAGAGATAAATTAAGATGTTCTAAATAAACATAAAATATCTATAACAGTAAATAAAGGTTTAAGAGCAATAGCTGAATTGTAATATTTGGTTTTCCAATAACTTAATAGAAATAAATAAAATTTACTAAGATCTTACTAACTTCTTTCAATCATTTCATATTCTTTTTCATCTCCATTAAAACGTACAAGTTTTGTACAAGTCTCCATGTTACTTGTCACAATGGAATATGTTTTAGTTTCTGGATGATAGTTGATGAAATGAGGTGTACAACGCAAAGGCACTTTACGAACAGGCCAGGGAGCATCATAATTCAAATGGGTAGGCAAAACACAAATTCTGAGTTCACCCTACATTGGGAAAAGCATTTAAAAGTTAACTTTATAACTTTAAAGCATTTTACTATTTCAAAAAAATATTTAACTACCTAAGTCCATTATTACTTAAGCAAATGTCTAAAAAAAATTCAAAAGTAAAAAAAAAAAAGGGGGGGGGATAAAGTTAAGCAAATAAAAATATCATTTTGTCTCTTTATCTGTTACGCTTTTTATGTTTCTAAATTTAAGGATTGAAATTATTTCACATTTTCACAACAGACTAGAATTTCGTCATCCAAAAACAATGAATGAGCTTTCATTTATAAGAAAACACAGTACTATAAAAAATTTAATTTTAAATTTTTCAATAATTTTCAAATTGAACAAAATTTAAAACCTGTTAATTGAAAATGTGCAGTTTATGCTTCGATATTTTGAAAGTACCATTATTTTTTTTAATTAAGAAAAAAATAGTGATGAAAAATAAATAGTAATTTCAACAGCACACAAAATGTACCACCAAAATAATATTTTATGAGTGTCTGTTACTAATTTCATCAATAATAAAAATTTAAAAACTACTCTCCCGATTTTTCTTCATATTAAAAAAACTGGGTATATTTTTGGTAATTTATATTTTTGAAATTACTGAAATAAAAATTGGATGAAAAAATAATAAAATACACTGCCAATGACGTAGCTTACCTGTTTATTGAAATAAAGAAATCCCTTAGGGCAGTTTACATTGTGAAAAGGTGCAAAGCAAGTAACAGTGCCATCAACACTCATTGGATGCATTCTGAGTTCACCATGTACTGTTAAAAATAGCCAATGAGGAACATTTCCACAAACAAAAACCTAAAAAACAGCTTTGGTTATAATTGCTTCACATGATTTTTTTCTTTTATAAGCTTTAATAAACTAATATCCCTTTTTAAAATAATTTTTGAAGTATACATTATAAAGAATCTTTCTTGATTGCATTTTCTCACAGATACATAATTATATTGACTATATAAACTAGTTAAGAGTAATAATTATTCTCTTTTTTCTTCTTAAAATAATGAAGATGAAATGGGAAGAACAGTTTAGGTCCATTTTTCACAAAAATGACAATTCATTCAATATCTGTTGCATTTTGGAGATTACTAAGTTTTGACAAACCAATAAAGTAGAAAATCAGTTCTCTCTGAGACTTATTATACATTGAAGATGGAAACATGCAGGGGTGATTGTAAACCCAACTCAAAAATCCTGAAAATTTCTTGAGTAAAATCCTTAACGACGCATTTCAAAAAATTAACGTCTTTATAAATTTATGTTTTTGATATTTTCACTACATTAAGTTCTAAATAAATTATATGCAGCATAATTTAAATTAATAATTATGTATAACTTTACTATTATCTGCAATCACATTTATTATTCTACCAGAAAAAATACTTACAAATGAAAGAGATGCCAAGTATAAATTCTAGTTCTGATGCTTTTAAATAAAATATACAAGAATTTTTGTGATTGATGATTTCTTGAAACTTCTGGACCTTAGATTTCCGGATCTCGGTTAGCAAAAAATCCGGAAATCGGGATTTTTTCCGGAGCACAATCATCTCTGAACATGTTAAACTGTTCATGTCTTAAAATTCATTTTTTCTTAGAATCAGCTTTCATGGATCTAAACTGCTCTTCCCCTTGATCCTCAAATATTAAAAAGATTTAAGAAATTATAAAGTTTCCTTCTTTTTTTCAAAAACAAAAAAGAATTAATGAAAAAAAAAGCACAATTGTTTTTTTTCCTCTAGCATAAACCATGTGCAAAGCAAGAAAGTATTCTACATAAAAGATAATTTGTTATCAATTACAGTAACTTTGAAAATCGCCCTAAAACAGTCTAGTGCCACAAGGGATACTTACACCACTGTAGCCAGAAATATCTGCAAAATATCGCAACCACCGTCGATTGTGGTCAACTGGCTTATCATCATCATCTGTTTTTTTAGGTTTGAACAACTTTCTTTCTCTAGTTATGATGTCATGATTCAGCTAAAATAGTAAAAATTAAAAAATTTAAAACTTGAGTTGTTAAAAAAATAATTAATAAGAATTTTATTTAAACAAAAAGAGAGGAGCAGAGGTTTCTTCAAAATGCTAACATTTATTGTCTTGTTATTTATCCATACCTCTGATCACTTAATCAAAAGTTTTTTTTAAGTTAAAATTTTTTTTTATAAAAAATCATGAAGTTAACCTTTCTAAATCTCAGCTTGAGGTGGTTTTCAACTTGAGTTTCATAAAATGGAAAGGCTTCATATATCAATAAATCTTCATCAGCACGAGCCTAAATAGAAAAGAATTTATTTATTATAGGTAATTTAATTCGCTAAAAAAAATTATGCAGTTATTTTAAAGCGAAGCTAAGTTTGGTATTGAAAGAGAAAAAAATAGATTACCAACAACATAGGCCTTGAGGATCTAATTCCTAAGCCAACAACAAGTATTTCACGTATAAGAGGCAATGCTTCATGTTGTTTTTCAGTAGCTTTGTCGGACGTGATACTAAAAAAATTATAGAACACAAAAAATATTGTGAAACACATAATAAAATATATTTACACATTGCATTCATAAATTTTTTTAAAATAAAACCCACCTTGAAATAGTTGTGGATGCTTGACCACTGTCCACTAGATATTTCTGACCCATTGGAAAATTTTTAACTAAATAACACAGTTTATAGCTAGGTAAGCAATAAACCTAAAAAGTAATGAGGTTAATGATTAAGTATAAAAAAATTATAAATATGAAAACTATAAAAAAATATATTCATTGAGTGGTTAAAAAAATTGTTTTTAATCTATTCTGATTTCTTATAACACTTTTAAGGTTCGTTTTTATGTGTATAAATAAATGAATGGGTTTCTAAATTTTTCTAAGCTTCAAAAGAACATAACATTGTAAGTGTTCATAAATATATACTTTACACATAATATACATAAAATATATATTATATACACTTAAAACAATTTTTTTGCATTCTTAAGAAAATTTAAAAATAATAATAAATTATATTTTGACAAAGCTGAAAGTAATTATTGAAAGAAGAGCTTTTAATTTAAAACTAACTGAGCATTGTTGAACTAATACAAATTCAATTATGAAATCATCATAAAAGGGTCACAGTCAAATATAAATCAATTTAAAAAACATGAGTTGATAAAAAAAAAATTATCATGTTTTACTGCAAAATAAATTTAAAATTTTAAAAAATATATATAATAAATTGTATTTGGACAAGGCTGAATTTAATTATTAAAAGTAGAACTTATTATTTTAAAATAAGAATTAACTGATGAGCAAATAGAAATTCAATCATGATCATAATCAATGAGCATAATTACAAAAAAAACTATACATACTTCTAAAACTCCATTCTCCCTCACAATAAACAACCAAAATGTAGGTTTAATGTCTTTAACTTCAATTTTAGGTCTAAAAAAAGTAATTGAATATTTAGAATTAATTTGATTATAGATTCTATTCAGCTTACAAAAATCACTCAAACAAAAATATTACTTAGTTTTCTTTTGGGGTATCCTAACTTCATCAATCGATTTTTCATTTGAAAGAGCAGGTTCACCATACAATAAAGCATCTTCATCATCAACAGCTCTAAAAGTAGAAATTATGAATTTAATAAAGCTATTAAAAATTAATAAATAAAAGAATAAAATTAAGAATATATGAAAGAATTAAATATAACAGATAAAACTATGAAGGAAGAAAAACTGAAAAGCATTATTTTCAACTATCCAAACTAAACAAGTAAACCAATTTATAAGTGAATATTTTGTTGTAGTATTTCATTGGGATGCATAGCATATTAATTGGAAATATTATTAAAATTAGGATTACATTTTGTTGGAATGCATATCATAATAATAAACATCTAAAAAAGAAAGATGTAGTTACAGAGGAAATGGTAGACCATTTATTCTAAATAAATACTTGTCATTGTTAGATTATTCAAAGTTTTAAAAAAAATTCATGTATACCTAACACATTTAAATGGAAACTTTTAGATCAAAATTATAACTTCTTTTTTTAATGTAGCAGCAGGTTTTTAATACAGCTGAGAGCAGTTATGGTCCTCTGGTGGGTATGAGCAATGCTTGCATAAGATATTAACATTCTCTTATTTTTGATTTTATTTTTTAAATGCAAAAAAAAAAAATATTTAACAAAAAATTACAATTGGAAAAATTTTATCATTAAATTTGGCAGGGTTGGAAAAAACTGGTTTTTTATCCAAAAAAAAATTATATTAGGGATGTAACATTAAAAGAAAAAAACACAAACTTTCCAGGTTCCAACCCATAAATCGTTTACCACTGAGGATGTTTTACATTTATAGTTGGTGCTACACTACTTGCAATTAAAATATGTTGCCCTACACTCTCCTCCACACTACAGACTATTATAACCTGTGGCCCTATTAGTATGTACTTACTCAGGATTCATTTTCATGACATCATCAATGTTTACAGCGGGCGCACTTTGCTTTGGTTGAGACTTGGTTTCTTCTTCAGTACTTCTTGGGATAGTACTGAATACACCACTCACGTCCTTATAAACGCATAGAGTGCAAACTTTGGATTTCTAAAATATTAAATTTGTTTCAGGAAAATAATTATCATACAACAAAGAAAAATATCCATGAATATGAGTTGAATCTTTATTAAAAGTAAAAATCTGTATGATATCTAGCAAGTCTCCTAAATTAAGTACCAGATTCCTTATCAGTGAGACTTTGACTACATCTGGCAAACTAGACGCGCTTTAAAATGTACACTTAAGGAACTAGATAGATATGTCCGTTATCAAGAATTTGAGAAATCTACAATTGCTTAGCATTGTTGGAATCTTGGGCATAAATTCAATCTCAATAATGCTAAAATTATTCCACCCCAGTTACATCAGCTCATCTTGATACCCTGAAATCTTGTTTTATTCATTCAAATGCTGGTTCTCTTACTGACGACATTAGTTCCTCCCTCCTCTCTATAACGCACGGAAATACATTTTACCCTAGAGGCAACTGTGTATATTCTTGTTGCTTTTTATATTTTTTCACATCAGGCAAGTCTTGAAAACGGGTGCCTATTTTTGAAGGGCTGGAAACATGTTAACCATTATTTCATATTTGTTTAGTTTTGAAGAGAATGAATTTTTCAATTAATGTAATATACCAAACTACTTTTAAAAAGGGCAAATGATAAAACTAAAAAAAGTAGAAAATGCTCTAATTAATTACAATGAAGGTAAATTTTATTACAGAAAAATAACAAATTATACTATTTTTAATTTCAATTGTTATGTTTATAACAGAAGAAAGTTTTAACAGTTTCCAATATTATTTTATTAATAGAGTACTGAACAACTTGTAATAGTTTGAGATCAATATGCATAAAAATTTTATAATACTGTTGCAATAAAAAAACAACCAGTATCAATCAGTTGATATTTCCTCATACCAATATTTGATAAAAATTCGTAATCAAGTTCAAGGCTTTCTTAATCAATTAGTTTAAAGTAGGGTAAATCTCAAAATGAAAACAGTGAATATGCTGCATAACATTTCTGTATAAAAGTAATTTAGTGGATGATCCTTCAATTCACCATTCGAAAATTCCATGATGTTTTACTGTTTATTGAAATTAATTACTTTGAAAAACAGAGAAAATAGATAAATCAATAATCTTGAAACTACAAAAAAAACCATTCTATAAAAGTTGTAATTGCATTTTCTGAAAATAATATATAAGTGTATATCCCCTGAATCCATTACGCTAAAATTTTTAAAACCATTACTGAAGTTACGTTTTTACAAACTTACTGAATTCCCATAAAGTTAAGTTAATAGTCATGCATGAACCAAAGAATCCCATAAGACATTGATTCCATTATAAATCTTGTAGTTGAAGGCACAGCTATAATGCCTGAGCTACGTATTGTGGAACGGTCCCTAAGTCTGATCTCTTAAATTTTCCGATTTTTACTAGCATGATTAATTCAAATAAAAAACTGTTGGAACAAAAATAAAAATCTTTTGATTCTTCAAATCGATTATTTCAAAATTTTCGCATGTATTCACAGAAAATGGTATGTTCTCAAGATATGAATATTAGGACAAAAAGCTGAAATCAGGACAATTACAAACCCAGCATTCATTTGGACAATAGGACATAAAAAATGCAACTTATAAAAAATTAAATGAGTAACTTGTAAAAAATATAGCTTAAAAATGTTTTCTGCAATCTTCTAGCTTAGGAAGAGATAAGAGTCAAGTACAACAATTTATTATGTCGTTTTGAGTGCAAATTTTCTATAAAATGAACATAAAAATTATGTGAAATATAATGCCATTCTTCTCTAACTCAATTGATGATGGCCATATTGATTACACTGGCATTTGATACCCTATTTGAAAACCAAGGTACTTAAATTACTGAGCTAATTTTTAGAATTTCTAACTTTCACTTGACTTTTTTTTTAAAAAAATCATTGATTTAAATCGCCTGACTTTTTTTTATTTTAAATCTTTTAGGATTATTTTTATATAATATTATTTATAAATATATTCCTTTGGTTATGATTTTTTATAAAGTTTAATTTCATTGATAATGAAGTTTTTATCCAAAGAAATAATGAAAGGGTATGTATGTTAATTAATAATTAGATAAAAGTGGCATGAAATTTTCAAACTATGATTTATTATTAGCTGTATGTAAAATAATTTGCTGGTAATAAACTTACTTCAATTATACAGTTAAACTATATCAATAGTAAAGAAAGACTCGTTCTGTCAAGAAAAACTAATCCGAAATAATTAAAATATAATTTTAGAGAATAATTTTTTATTTCATTAACGTATTATGATCTAAATTAATTTACTCTTCATTGGCAATGTAACTGAAAAATTGCCTCGATATTTTAAAAATTTTAAGATATTTAGCTTGAACAAATATAATCATGATATTCAGTGATTAGTTTGTAAAAATTTTCAATATATTAGTAAAAAATATTAACTATTTTAACTATATTAGTGCGTTTAAATAACATTAAGTACTAATACATTTTATCAGATAATGTAGTGTTGCTACAACTCTTTTTCCTTTTTATGAGTATCAGTCAACCTATTTCTACCCAAACTGTCTGAGTGTTTGAGATAGCCTCTCTGTGAATAACTTAAGCAGTTTTGGTCTTCCAATTTTTGGATAAGGAGAGGAAACCTGAGAAGAGGGGCAAGACAGGGGTGAGGAAGAGAGGGTTAAGACCTGGTGAGCTGAGTGGAAGGTGATCAAAAAAAAGAAGAGGTTTTTGATAGAAATTCTGAAGCAAAATATACATTAACCCTGAAACAATTGCTGTAACAGGACTGAACAATTGATATATACATATATATATCCAGAGAATAATAACCTGATACCTATAAATAGTTCATCAGCTCCTCAAGATTTCAAGCCAAGTCTAGCACATCTGCAAGATAAGTGACTTTAAATTCAACTGACTCTAGCAGTGCAATAGTGCAATTCCTTTTCTTTAAATGTTCTCCAAATCTGTTTGTCACATGCTGATTTAGTTTAGTATAATTTGTTATGACCTTATTTTATTATGCCACATGGTCAAATTAATTTTAATGAGTAAATCCTGATAATTGAGTTAATCATCATTCAAATTGCTTAAGTAAATTATCTTCCCTTGTGATCATTATTTCTAGACAGATATTTTCATCTTACTTTATTTGTATGTGTTGGTGATGATATGAGATAGGCCTTAGTTGTAAAATGCATTAGTACTAAATTTGGCAATTGTCACCACAATAATTTGGCAAGTACAAAGAAATCTAATTTAAATAATAATAAATAAAAAAACATGATTTTAATCAAATAAAACCCTTTTTTTTTCTAAAACAAAAAAAATCATGATTTTGCCAACTCTGTTTAATTATAATATGAATAATACTTATAACTTACCACTTGTGCCAGTTGAGGTCTAGATACTGCTAGCCGTGAACCAGTGCCGAAATCATCAGATCTTAGCATTAACTGTACTACTGTACCTTCTGCACTCATGATTACAACATATGGATCAGAAACAGATGCCCAAATTATAGGAGATCCAACATCTAGAGGAATATGTTGTACTTGGCGTGATCCTAACAGTAAACGTACACCCATCTGTGACACTTGCACAATAAACTTGTTGCTGCCAAGATTTCCAGCAAATATAGTTGGCGCTTGAGTACTGAAGCCACTATGATCTAATTCATTTATTTCCTGACCAGTTTGTAAAATCATGCTGCTATCATTTCTGCTAAGTATGAGAAAAGCATGTGAATCTTTAAGAGGTTGTGCACTCTTGTTTAAATTTTCTTCACTATCCTCTTCTTTCACTTCTGCTGTTTTTTCTTCAATTTTCTGTGATTCCTGAATAATAGGACCAACAACAGTCCACATGTCAACACAACCAGGTAATTCAAACGTTGTAACAACTTGAGGTCGAACTGACCTTTGGATGATAGAAAGTGCTCCATTTTTTCCATAACCAGAAGTTGTAACCAACTCAAGATCAGGATCATCATTTCCAGAGAACTCTTCAGATAAAAATGCAGGCTCTCCCATACAAATTTTACCGCATGGACCCACATTTAGCAAGCTGTCACAGACCTAATAAAAGAAAAAAGTTTAAATAATTATAGTAAAAACAACACAGAACCACAAATTTCAAAAATTGTTACATACATATCAATTCTTGCAAAGTCAATATCATACCTAAGAAATATTCTGAAGAAACTTTAACAGTAAAAATAAAAAATTACTTCAAATTGATAAAGATAACTTTGGCAATATTTATAAAGTTTAGCAATCATGTGTGCAAATTGAAATCAACGAAAAAAACAATAATAATAATATATAAAATAAGGTTACTTTATCAAGTTAATCTTCTAAGTGCTTACAAACATCAAGCTACAAGTAAAGATACGATAAATAAATAGTCATGTGACATCATAAAGTAAAATAGTACTATAATGAGAAAAAATATTATCCCAAAATGAATCTTAAGCACTCGTAACAAAAGGAGATATATGTAAAAATAACTTTTTAAAAAATCTGCTTTTTTTTCCACCATAATTATACATTGAAAAAAAATTTAAAATAAAAATAATCACTAAGAGATTTTTATAAATTAAACAATCAGAACACTTATTTATAAATTAAAGAAATTAAAAAATTCATTTATAACATCACACCTTTTTATTATGCAATTGTGATGCATTGAAGGTTTAACTGGTTAGATTTATGCAAGTTTAATCTTTTTGAGAATGTTCTTTTTAATGGTTTAGATTTTTATAAACAAATTATTGGAATTCCACAAGGTAATTCCTTTTCTGGGGCTTTTGCCAACATTTTTTTNAAATAGTACTATAATGAGAAAAAATATTATCCCAAAATGAATCTTAAGCACTCGTAACAAAAGGAGATATGTAAAAATAACTTTTTAAAAAATCTGCTTTTTTTTCCACCATAATTATACATTGAAAAAAAATTTTAAATAAAAATAATCACTAAGAGATTTTTATAAATTAAACAATCAGAACACTATTTATAAATTAAAGAAATTAAAAAATTCATTTATAACATCACACCTTTTTACTATGCAATTGTGATGCATTGAAGTAATTTAATATTTACATGCTTTCAAACTTTGTGCAAATGATTTTAAAACAAATGTAATGCCTTTCTTCCAATATTTTTAAAATATGTGTGATATATTCAACAAGCTGGCTCTTCAGAAGATTTAGAGTGAATAACAATCAATAGTCTATTGTACAACTATAAGTAGACAGTCTATATCAGGTTATACTTAATATGAGCTGTTTATATCAATAAAATCATTTTATCAACATTTACAGCATTTATGAAAATATTCATCAAAATACAACAACATAAACACCAATTTGTTTTTACTTCAAAAGAATAAGATGTTAATTGCTTCGTTGTTTGGGAATCGTCTCCATATACTTCTAACTCTTCCGGATCTTGAATCAATGCCACATCAGATGCTAAAATATTAATAAAAAAACTTGATTTGTATGGAAATGCAATGAATGGAAACAGTTTTACAAAACTGGAGCAAAATTGAAGAAATTATAATTTATGAAACAAAATATCAAAAACTGAATACAAATTTAGCCATCTTAGAATTAGACATGCTTTATTTGAGTAATTTGTTTTCATTTTTTGACAACTCAATTCGTATTTAAAATTTAAAACTCACCTTATCAAGAGTGAGAGAACTTAAAAATTTACATAGATAATTGCTTTGTGAATATGCTCCAAAAAAAAATTCTAATGTATTTGGTAGGCCTACGTTATATTGATAACACAGAAAAAAACAACAACATTCCTTGTAAAGTATACATCAAGTAAAATATTAAGTGTTTTGTTATACGGTAGCAGGACTCAAAATTAACTATGGTCCATATATCCATGACCACTAAAAAATTAACTGGGACTACCATGAAATAATAAGTGGTCTCCCAAGCCAGCAATCAATGTAAAAAGATGGTATACTGTTTCGGTTTTTTTATTTTCAGTTGCAGGTTATGGTCTATGATATTATCAAGAAATAGCATATTTCATTATAATTGTGAACATTACATATTCTTTATACAGTAGCTTTTTATTTAAATTTACTCAATTTACTTTGCTTAAAAATAAAGTCTGATCTAATATGAATTAAAAAGCGAACAAGTAAAAATGTATATGGACTTGTGAGATTTTTTAGTCACTCGTCCATGGACCAATAACTAAATTTTCTTAATTTCTACTCCTGAACAGTAGAAATAAAGATAAAGAAGTACACGGAATATTTTAAATAAACAGCACACAAATCAAACTTTAGAAAAGCTAATATAAAAATGAGTTACCCATTCTAGAACCTGAATGCTGTTTTTCATTAAAGCATTTTTTTTAAATTGTGAAGATCATTAAATCTACAAAACATACTCTTTACTTGTTTAACCACTTTCAATACAAGAACACCTATATTTTATGATTTTAATCAAACATCACATTAGCAACTGCTATTGTATCCTGCCCTATATCCTGGTGTATAAGTTGACCTTACAAACTCCTAAAATTTCACAAAAGGCAGAGTGTCGCCTTATACATATTTGTGCAATAAAGTCAGGCATTTGTTGAGCACGAAACATCTATGCATAATAAACAATGAGATAGATATGAATAACTCTGCATCAATCTTTTCATTTAAAAAACTATAACAAAATAAGAACTTTTAAAAAAACATATCATAAAGTAACAAAATCTAAAATTTTCAGAACATCATCTGGGTTACAGATGGTCAATATGGCTAGCAGTGTTATCATACGGATCCCATTTCACAATTGATTTTATTTTATACTCATCTGAACAGACTCACAAAAGATCCTCCTCATCCCCTTCCAAGGAAATTGAATTTCCACACTTTTTAAAAAATTTTACAATAGCATTAGAATACACATTCTTCCAATATTTTAAGTTTAGAAATTTTCATATTTGGTTTTCTCAACAGTCTCACAAAAAATCCTCTTCATCCCCACCCAAAAAATTTGAAATTCCACACTTTTTTTTAAATTTTACAATAGCATTTCAATCCACATTTTTCTAATATTTTAAGTTTAGAAATTTTCATATTTGGTTTTCTCAACAGCCTCACAAAAAATCCTCTTCATCCCCATCCAAAAAAATTGAAATTCCACACTTTTAAAAAAAATTTACAATAGCATTGGAATCCACATTTTTCCAATATTTTAAATTTAGAAATTTTCATATTTGGCTTTCTCAACAATCGACAGCAGCGACAAATAACACAGCAAAAATTTGCTATCTCATAATCAAAAATAGGGGTCAATTTATTCAACAGGTTGATTTATACACCAAAATACACAGTAGTATATCTTAATTTAACAGATATATTTCAGCTTCATGTTGTTTTAAGAACAGCGATTGATTAAACAAGATAAATATTTAGAAGCAAATAGTTTTACATTTTTAGTGATCTGAAAAGTTGTTAGAATGAATGCTCTCAAAATAGTCATACTGTGTTCATAAAAGTTCAATGGGGGTAATATGATTTTCACGATTATCTCAAAACTTTTTTGTGTAGATTTTGACTTAATATTCATTGCCTCAAATAGTCAAATGTTACTTATGCCTCATAAATCTGGAAAAGTTAGTTAGTAACATGAAGCAATTATTTACACAAACTTATATGTAAAAATGTTACTAAATTACTTAAATAAGTTTATATAATATAGTGATCACTTTTAAAGAATATAAATAATTACCCATCCAATCATCCATTGTATCTAAACGTGCTTTTTTAGCAGCAGATTCTTCAGTAATCTGAAATAAAAAGACAAATAGATTTCAAAATTTGATAGCTTGCCCTTTTCCATAATGCACACCAACAACCTATTAATTAAACACTCAAATTTTTCATGGCCCTTATACAAATAATGCTAAAGTGCACCAAATTGCTCTCTATAGAGACCAGTTAGCTTGCCATTTCAAGTATGCTGCATACATTACCATTTAAATATCAGAAACAAAATTTGGAAACTGCAGAATTAATTAGTGGATTTATACTCAAATCAATAGTGAATCACTGAAAGATTTAGACAGACTTTAAATTAAACTGAGAAATAAATAAAGATTAAATAACGCTAGATCTTCTTTTTGTAAAAATAATCCATTAATTAATCTTATAATGTTTTCAATAAAATAAAAAAAAAAGGAAGAAGAGAAATGAAAGAAAAGCCATAATTTAAAAAAAAAAATGTTTCTTTTTTAGATGTGTTATAAAAATTCAGAAAATGGAAATTTTTTTGTAACAATTGAAAACGTAAATTAAGCAGATGCCAAGCCATAATCTGCTTTTAGATAAAACAGAGCAATAAAATTAAATTATAAAAGAACAATTTTGTATTAAGAATAAACTTTAACACAAAAATTTTATTTTTTAATTGAAAACTAAGGACAAATCTACAAAAAAAATTATTATAAATGTCTTTAGGAATCTGATGAAAACTGAAGAAGAAAAGTTAGAGATGTATATCTATAATAAAAAATTAATTGATTTCTGATATTTGGTTTTTTTCTCATACAAATTGAATAAACAATGTAATTTTATGATATTTTGAAAACACATTCTTACTTCTTCACTTTGTTTATCTTCAGTACTTTGTCTTAGCATGTCTGTTCTGATTCCAATATCCACATCCATAATATTATTATTATCCACCTTTTCAGTATACCTTAACAGAAGGGAATTTCCTAAACGTGATCCAAGGAATAAATAGCCATCATCACAGACACACATCTAAAGAAAGAAAGAAAAAATATATAGTTTTTTTCATCACTATATCACATGAAATTTATTAAGTAGAAGAAATAAAGCAGAAATACTGTTTAAAATATATCACCCTTTAAATTTTTATGAAACTATATGCATACACTGTATTTCATTTAAAAATATTTCTAAATTCCTTATAATTTTTTTCACTTAAAGCTGTTCTTAGAAGATTCTTTTGCCACTTTGTAGTCAATGATATGCAATTTAAATAAATAAATGATCTTTAATGCAATTTAAATAACTTTAAATAAATAACTAAAATATACAATTTAAATAACTAATTAATTGATATTAAATGTTCAAAATCCCAAACCTATGATGATTATAAAAATGGCACAAAATTTCAAAATTATGAAAAGTCGATTTTCATTCATGAAAAGCATTTATGACATAATTTTTCAATGCTTGTAAAGTCATTCCATTAATGCATTGTTTGGACTCATAAAGCATACACTAATTAAGAATTTTTAATTAATGTTAATGACTTTAACATTGCCTTCTTGCCTATTTTTTTAAAAATAATTTTTGATATTTTTTTAATATGTATATAATATATATTTTTAATACTAGTCTGTTTTAAAGTCTAGAAGATTCTTTTCAGCAAGATGGTATGTAAAATAAAAAATAATTGAAGCTTTGCTTCAAGCTTAAGTAAACATTATACTGTCGTAAAAACTATTCTTAGCAAATTCCATTTCCTCTCCATTAGTAATTTAAAATCAGAAATTTAGGAAAAAGTGAATTCAAGTTAATCTAGAAGTTTCAAATGCTGGAAAAAATGTTTCGGAAATATTAAAAGCTAAACAAATTACTGCAGGATTACTTCCCCACTGCAGAATCCTGCCATAATTTATTTACATTTTGATATTTCGAAAAATGTCACAAGTATCCTCATTATTAAAACTTTTAGCTGGTACTAAATAATAACGCTCAATTGATTTTAATTATGAAACTTAATTTAGACCAAAAAAAAAAACACTATTTCAAAAGGATGTCAAAAAAATTAACCAAATTATATTATAATAATGAAATTACAAAATACACATAAACATATCTCATATAAAACAATAGCCAAGACTTAAAATCACTAGTATTGAACAGAGAATACTTACACATGTAGTAATAACACTGGAAGCCGCTCTGTCAAAATTAAATCCTCTTACACTTCTCATTCCATCATTAAACATTGTCAATACATAGCTGAAAACAATTATTACAATTAATTTTTAAAATATCAAAATAATAAACTAGTTTTCCAAGTTGTTATTAGTAATTACTTAACTAGATACTTACAGCTCACCACCTTTAAGAGAAATTACTATCTTATCATAAGAAATAAATGCTGCTGAGGAACAATCTAAGGCAAGTTTGAGTCCTTCTTGAGGTTCTTTACGGAAAAACATAAACAAAATTAATAATCTGACAGTGCCTAAATTTATAATAACTGTTAAAATAAATTACTAACTTTATATTGTAATTTAGAGGTTAAAAAAACAACCAATACACCTGAAAATAAGCTAAATAATTTAAAATATTTCATAATGTGTCAAATATTTTTTTAATTAATTATGAAAAACATTCTCTGTTTCCTAATTGTCAAAATAAATCTAGATAAAAGTTTAAAGTACTATAATTTTCAGTAGAAAAAAAAAAACAAATACCATAAAATTAATTTTTAGAATATAAGCTTTTAAAAATGCAATTTGTGTTCATTTTGCAAGTAGCACTAAATAAATTCCTAATATTTTTTTTTATCATTTTTTGTAACTATAACATTTTAATAGAAAACAAGTATTAAAACATTTTAATCACTTTCATTAGATCTAAAATTTTAAAATTGAAAAACTTGGAAGTTCTTAAAAACACGAGACAAAAATTAGTAGTGTTCAAAAGCTCTTTAAATTGAGAAATAAAAAAAATTTTAAAAAATTTAATTGACAATGTAAACTTTAAATATAATCCTTACTCTTACAGTAATTTCAATTGAAATAGAAAATCCATAATATATGATAATTGCAGTTCTATGGATTTATTAAAAAAAACACTATTAAACTTAACTAATTTTATTTATAAATAGAAAATCATAACATAAACAATCAATTTTAGTGTCGATTGGAACAAAATTGGCTCTTTTTAGGAAGGAGTTAATTCCCAAAGAAATTTGATGGGATCTCTGAGTTAAAATAAATAATCAATAAAATGATAAATACTGATATTACAGGGTAACACTGTATTTGAATAGTTTTAGTAATTAAGAGTGGATTCTATCATACAGTTATGAGCCAACATGAGATATTCACACAAAGCTATTTATTGCATAGTTTTTTTCACCTGCTGTAGACAGTAATAAAAAAAAATTTAAAAAATGTTACATAATTTATAAATACATACCAGGGGTCTGTCCAAGCCGAATTTACTACCGTTTAGCGGTACCTTCACAAATTCAACTTTAGGAAAAACGGTAGTTTCACAAATTCAATTTTAGGAAAAACGCTAGTTTCACAAAATACTTTTTCTTAAAATTTTATTTTTGTATCCCTTAAGAAACGATAAATCCATATTTTTGTGTTGATTTTTTAATATAATTTTTAATTTTTCACAAATTATGTCTAAATTTTCACAAAATAGGTACCTCTCAGAAAAACCTAGACAGACCCCTGCATACTTATTTATAAATAAAAATTCACATTAAAATAAAATAAAGAAGGTAAACATAGCTCTGCACAGGTATGCATAGTTTGAATTACAATATCAAAACATAACCTAATCATAAAATCAATTCAATTTACGATGTCAATTTGATACATAAGAGGTAAATAAACACATTGAAACATTAAATCGAATTGGGGCAGCGCATAAGGCAGCTGAACCCTAATTTGTTTTATATAAAATAGAAATAAGACATACATAAAATAGACATAGCAGTATGTCTCCTGATGAAGTACTGTTCTGCAAACACACATTTATATTTTCATTTTTTAATTGTAGAGATTTTATATATGTCTTATTTCTATTTTAATATCAAAACATATTAATGTTTACAACTGTAGCTTTCCATTAACTTATACCTAGCAACATAAGCATAATATATGTAACATATATAACTAACCATAAACAGGCTCTTTTTTTGTTCCACTAAATAAATATTTTTATAACTATACACTTTGGAATGGTGTTTTAATTAAGCAATATACAAAAACCAGTTTGATTAATTAAAGAAATTATAAATTTCTAACAAACTCTATTTCTTAATAATAAAATTTTGCTCAAACAGCTCTCACTTTAAATTGAGTCATAACATAAATTTGTTCATTTTAAATCAGATAACACAATTTTGAATGGGAAAGGAAGAACTTACTAAATGAAATATGTTTTAATCTATAAAACTGTTTAATTAAATATCATATAAAGGATCACCTTATTTTAGCCACGTAATAGTGAAAAATTTAATTTATTGATAAATTGTTTAAATTTGTTTGATTAATTAAAGCAAAGAAATTAAATAATTGCTAAAAATTTTACTTCTCTCTAATTACATTTTTGTTCCAAGACCTCAAACCAGAAATCCGCATTTTAAATCAATTCATTTTAAATATATCATGAATTTGATTGGGGGAAAAAAGAAAACAAGAAAAGAAACTTACTCAATGGAAATGATGTGCTAAAATCTGTAAAACTATTCATTGAAACACCATATGGAGGAACACTTTGGTTAAGATAAAGTAATGAATTTACAGCAACTAAAAGGACTCCTCCTAAAATATTTAACAAATTGTAAATTTCTAATACAGTAATTCATAATAAATTTAAAATATGACATCAAATCAAGCAAAATTAGAATGTCATACTATAGTACTGCACTACAATTTAAGACGAAATCAAAATAGACATTTTAAATTTAATTTATTCATGATGAATTAACTAAATATAATTTAAGAAAATGGGAAGTAATTTCCTAATATTGCTTCTCAATACAATAAAAAAATTTATGAAAAAAAAGCTTTTATACTGTAACTCCAGTTTATCAAAATTATCCCAAAATTATTAAAAATATACAAATAGAAAAATTTATTCAATACAGATAAAAGCTTAAAATAAAATTTAAAAAATAAGTATTCTATATTTAGGAAGTTATTTATCTTTATGAAATATTAAGGATAATTATAATAAATTAAACATGCACATTAATTTTCAATTTAAAAAAAAAAATCAACTTACCAATAGGTTTTGGCACAGCCATGGCATACTGACAATCAAAAGGTAGACCACTAAGAGACCAAATTACAGGGTGAACCTTTTGATTTATATTTAATGATAAAGCCAATATGCAGCATGTATCTTGACGAACTGCAACTCGACTGTAAACAATAATAGCAAATTGAAGTATATATGTCATTACTTATATGTTATGATCAAATTGAATACTTTTTCTCGTAGCTTTTAAATGTTCAAATTTAACATGCAAAACCAATTACAAATTTGATGGAGTACAACTATTGTTTGGAGATAACTCTTTTAAATGAATCTGCTAAATATTAAAAAGTTTTTCAATAAACTATTAATAAAAAAATAAGTGATAAGAAATACAATTTTGAAAACAGTTATTATCATTTAAAAAATTCAAAAGGGAAAAGTCATTGAAATCAACCCAATGCCTCTTTAAGATAATTATTAAAATATAATTTTTTTAAAATAATTTGGCCAAGAAGTTGGCTACTTGTGTTGTAAAGATATTATTTCAATTTTTCAATTTAGAATTAATTTTTGTGAAACAGCAATACATTCAATTTTATACATGCATTATCAGCTAAGTATTTCAATAAAACACAGTTGTACACTATTTTAAAGTAGCAAAATTATTCTCAGAATATATCTTTTCTGACTGCCTTTTCTGGAAATAGTCTTTTAAAATAAATTGAAATGCAAACTTAAATGAACTGTTTTATTATAAAATAAAACAAGCTGTCAATATCGATCATATCCAGTAGCCTGAATTGAAATCAGAGCACTGTATCTAATATTTGTTTAACATTATGAATAACATTCTCAATGTTTTAAAACAGCTATTAACAACAAAAAAATTATATAAATATTACAATGAAAAGAATTAATTAATAGCTTTATTATGGCAACAAATATTGGTTTAAAAACAAAATTTATGAAATCTGATATTAGTCATTAAATACAAATTCTTACCCAGGCCATGTCCTCAGAGGTTCGTATAATAAAAGAAGAGTGGGTTCATAATAACCTTGAAGAAACTGCATGTCCTTGATGTTATTAACTTTTTCGTCTATATCACATAATTTAATAGTATATGAAGCAAGGACTGGAGTTTTGCTGAAAACATAAATTAAATGTAATTTAATATTGCAATTTTTTCAAAATTTAAAAAACAGTACAAATAGCTAATAGCTTACAGGCCAGGTGCAATATGTGTGCTAGAGGAAGACGGCTCTTGCTCTTCTGAAATATTTTCTTTTCGAAATGGAAGAATAACGATACTTCTCTCATAACATACCATTGCAGCACAACGTCCATCAGGATCAACTCTCACAAAAGGAATGTAAGGATGATGGTTTGCACCAGCCTGCAAAGCAAATAAGTTAACTTACATCACCTCTAGGATGAAAATGTGAAATTTAGTAAATAGAGAATTAATCTTTTGAAATGGTTAGCAAATTCTTTTTAATAATTTTTTCTTCAAAATTTATAACCGAATTTTAGAAATTGTTTTTCGTCACTAGTTTTAAGTGTTTGACTGAAATTTCTAATTAATTTTTCTCCCTATATCTAGATGCTTAAAACTAAGAAGGTTGCAAAGCAAAAGGAACTAATAATGTATTATTTTACACTAGTATGAATCAAATTGATTAAAAAGAACCAAGTACAGAAAAATTTATATGGCCAACGAACAACCATATGACCAAAGAAATGGTTTGTAGAACCTTTAGCTGTTTTCTGCATTTTTATCTAAATATAATCCTCTGAGTTAAAGTTAATAATCCTCTGAGTTTAGTTAGAATGAGTTAAATCTAAATATAATCCTCTGAGTAGAATTTGAACTGTTTCATTTTATCAAACTGTTTCAGCTGGAATTTGTATCTTCTAACTGTTTAAACCAACTGTCAACTTGTTTTTTCTTTCTCTTGTTAATGTCTTGCTTGTATGTCTCTCTAATGAAATCGCAAACTATTTTTCTGTGGTTTACATTATGTTAATTTGTAAAATAAATTATTTTGATTTCATTAATAGCTTTTATTCATGAAGTTTTAAATTTCATCTTGGGTAATACTTTTCTATCAAAATGAACTTATATGAACACAAAATCTAAAAAGCTTGAAAATCTTTTATTAAGTAGATTAATTAACAAATACTTACAACAATTATACGCAATACTAATCAAATAACTAGGACAAGTAATATTCGTAATAAAGTTCTTATTAAATTACCAATTAACTTTTTAATTTAATTAACTTGTGATAAACTACTGATAAATTACTAATAAGGTACTAATTAATAGTATTTTGTGTAAATAATGGTAATATCAGCTTGACAAATAATTTTAAGTGTTCATGTAAGGCACAAAATTAGCAGTTTGTAAGAAGTTGCCAACCTTAGGTGTAAAACTTTTTCTTTAAAGTCTTTATTAAAAATATGATTTATGAAAACAAAAAGAGAATTAAAGAGATGATTACAGAAAGGAAATAAAAATTCATTTGGAAATCTGAAAAAAATCAGAAATGTAACAAACATTTAAAATTTGACAAAATTATTGATTGACTTTTTGAAATTAATGACAAAAGATTTTTCATCATGCACATCAGATAAAATATTTGAAAAAATATAAAAACGTAATCAAAATAATTACAGAAAATTAGTACATATTTATATTTTTAAATCTGATTAACTTTGTTTATTTTAGTACAAGCTTGAAATTTTCTCTGTGCTTAAATTTATTTTTATTTTGTTCGACAAAACATTTTTTAAAATTTTTTCTGAAATAACAAATTATAAATAGATGTGACGAATAAAAATGGGCATTAAGAAGCATTATGCAGCGTATGCATCAAGAAAAAACTTAAAAACTTTCATACACACCTTCATGTCTTCATCTTCAAAATAATGTAAGGATAAGGTTTTTAAATCATGTGTGCAAGGATCATATTCAACTAATGACAACTAAAAAAGGAAAGATATGCTATTAAAACAAGCTATAAAAACAATGATGTACATTTTTAAATAAATGTATTAACCTGTAAGACTAATAAAAGCTAGAATGTGGCTCACAGAAAAAATCGAAATTTTCATATAAGGAACATTTTTTTCCTTTTTCGAGTATATTTTTTCGCATGTTTAAAAATATACTTAATTAGCTTAGATGAGGTAATGTTGTTTATGTAGTCAGTGTTGTGTTGTTTTAGACATTACATAGATTTTACAAAAAAAAAAAAAAAAAAATTACATTCAAAATATGCTATGCCATTTTTACATTTCATAATTGCACAGAAAAATTTTAAGAATATTAGAATTTTACTGAAATAATTTAAATTTTAAAATTTCAGTTTTTCTATGTTTATATAAAATAAAAAATAAAAATACTTCCAAAACTCTATGTCATATCTAACATTGAAAAGGAAGTTATTTGGAAGAAAGAATTCTGAAAAAAGCAAAAAATGATAATTTCATATGGTATTGCTGTTTAACTCATGTTGAGATGTAAAAGTAATACAGCCACTTGTAGAAGAAGTTAATACAATTCAATTCAGTTACATCAATTTACAAAATCAATTCAATTTACATTTCATGTGATTAATATTAAACTTCTAGATAATCAGTAACTGTTCCAAATTATTAAAATTACTTTCTTATACTAGACAACTTTAAGTAATTTATTTAACAATTCATATTTGTTATAAATTTGCCACTTAGTAAGAAATTTTTTAATTTAGTCATAATTTAGACAGTAGCATAATTTTATACTCAATTAAATAAATAAATAACTTTTGAAAGAAAGAAAAAAGCAAATAAATATTTATCATAATTGTTTCAATTAATAGTAAGTAGTCAAAACTTGTAAAATAAATCCTAGTTATAAGCATTTATTTTTTAACAAAATAAATTTCATAAAAATATTTTCTATCCATTAGATACAATCTACAAATAATAAATCACAGCCTATTTCATACAGCTTGTACATAATATATTACATATTATGAAATATTTAAATAATCTACAAATTTTTGTATAGAAAATTTCAATTAGTTAAAAATAATGCTGAATTCTTAGTGTATTATAAATATAAAGGACAATAAAATTAAATATTACTTTAGATTCTCTGAAACTAAGAAGAAGAGCTTCTCTTGGCGACCCTGCTAGCCTCACGGACTGCATAGACATCACATTTCCAAGTAAAGGAAATACTTGCACACATTCTAATTTTAATTTAGGTTCTCCAACTAGAGGTATCTTTAAAGAAAAGAATAAAACAAAACAAAAATAAATACAGTAAACAATCGATTTATTTAATCCAATAATACTTGAATAACATAAAATATAATCAGAAACAAGAATTATTAATGATTTTTATCTAAAAAAGGTAATTAATTTTTTAAAAAAATAATTAAAATAAATTATTAAAAAAAATTGGCCACCTAGTGATGTCATATAAACATTGATAGCAGTTTATTGCTGGAAACAGTTTGAAAAAATAGTAATATATTTATGTTTGATCAACATCAAAAAATTAAAATCTCATTTCTAAAGCATGTACTATGCTGCAGGAACAATTTGAAAGTTAAAATGAAATTTTATTCAAAATAAAGCACCAATTAAACCAGCTGTACGTTAATTTGTGAAATAAGCAGAAAATATTAATGTTGTAACACTGTTAAAGCGAAGAGATAACAATATGGATTTGAACTTATATTGGTTTCAGTAGAACATCAGTGCTACATAAGAAATAAAACTATCTTTATCTACTTTGAGAACATTAAATTCCATATTCCTGTAATAAGTCATTTTGGCGAAGTCAATTGTCTTCCTTACAATGGTTATTCGATGCCATTAGACTTTTCTTTGTTGGCTATTGTTCAGGTAATTGATGTTATGCTGAGTAATCCATAACAATTCAGGTCAATAAGTAAAATATTGCTTGAGTTATTTACAAATTAGAGCTAGAAACCATCAAAATTGTACTGCAAATTTTGAAAAATTGGGTTCATAGATTTAGTTGCAATCAAGCTAGCCACTTAAAATTTCATTGCATCATTAATCTGAAGGTTTGCTATTGTCAATAAAGTAACAACATTCGGAAAGTGTCGACTTCTGTTTATTTAATTATATTTTAAAAAAGAAAATACCTAATTGCCCAATGTATACATTTATGTCCTAAAAATACATTATTTTAGAATTTAAAATTATTTTTTTTGATAACTTGACAATCTAACCATCCCTTTTACAACATATAATGTGATAATACTTTTTATCACAAGTTCATGCTCTCCTTAAATTTTTTTGTCTTTTCAATTTGTTTTACTTTTGCCTTTTAATTCTAATTTCTTGTATATGGGTTTCTGCCCTAACTTCATTAACTTTCAACTTTTGAAACTTAAACTTGTTCTTAATCTGTGTATATGTTCAACTAATGCATATTTTATTATTAACATTTACAGATTATTATTATGCTTTAATTACAAGCTTGATAATCTATATTTTAATTGTGCAATATGAATTTATTATATGATTGTGTATTACCTGCATTTTTATGTTGCCCTTTCTTTTTATGTCATGCAGTGCCTTATTTTTCACTAGATATCTTTCCCCAATATATTTTTACTTTTTGTAATCTAAAATTATCTCTAGAACTCCTCTTCCTCTAAATTTTCCTGTCTTTCTGTAGACACCTGAATCTGGTCAGTTTGGTTTGCAAGGGAGTTAGTGTTTTAGGTGTTTTTCCTTGTCTTCTCCCCTCTTTTTTAGCAACTTTCTGCAGCTGCAGCTCTTATCACTTAGATACATATTTTTATACTTTAGTTCCCTCAACATATGTGACATTTTTCTATTTCACTCACAGTGTGTGAACTTTTTAATGCCTCTTGGACAGAAATCATAAACTTAAGTTTTCTTGACCTTGTTCAGCTTTGTCACGGAAGTGTATTGATCATGTGTTGTTACTTTACGATCTTTAACTAATTTCTTCTTATGGCCAATAATTTCTTAGGGGGTTCAGTGTGAACTGCCCATTTTTTTTTCCATTAGCTATTCTGGTAACATCTTCTTCCTTTTTGTTCCTGATTGGTTATTTACTAATGACCCTTGGTTTTCTTAAGGCACTGCAAAACTTTTTCCAATTACGAAATTCTTGGTTTCAGTCTTGGGGATATGATGTGCAAGTTGATTCACGTTTTTTTTTATTTTTTTAATTGTGAAGTTTTCTTTTTTTTATTTGCTTCGTGCTTAATACGATGAATTGTTGGAGATCATATCAATACTGTCAACATATGAAGATGAAATAAATTGTAATAATCCACAAATTTGTGGTTTTTCTCATTACTACATCCTTCATTAAGTGATTTCCGGACTATCACCTCTGTTACGAGGATGAAAACATGGGTACCAACCCATGATTTTCAAGGGACGCAGATACTCTGTACATCAGATTTTAAATTTCTTCAACACCGATACATTTTTGGAGTCAATAAAAATTTGAAAATCACTTTTTTTTTCTTGTATACCATTTGAAAAAGATACTATGTAGATTAACCCCTTCCTTCTCGCTCCTGTGAAAATGACAAGGTGAGGTTTCACCCTCTATTTCTCGCTCCCATGATATTTCCGGGTTGGAGGGTTTAGTAGTAACGCACCGCACCGATAAGAATAAAACTAATTCATTTCTTTTGCCAGGAAAACATTTTATTTCTCATTTTACACACCAGGTGGCAGTACCAGGATATTTTTAAGGTAATTATAAATAGTTTTTTTTTTAACTAGATGTCAGCACTAAACTACTACTGCCCAGATTGTGACATTAGCCTCTGTATCTCATGATTTTAAAAATTCTTTTTTAATGCTTAAAACACATATTTTTAAAATTTTCCTTGTTTGCTGGAAAACCAACATTAAGTCATAGTATTGTTGGCTTTTCCTAACAATTTAGTTTTTTAAAATTTCAAGCTAAAAACAAATCAAAAATGAATATACATATATTGTTCATACACATATTTTTATATAATTTTCAGGGATAAAAAAAGCACTTTTATGACCGTTTTCTTGAAAATTAACCAACCGTTAAGGGGTTAAAAGTATAAAATTATGTACTTTTAATCTGTGATTGCATCAGATATATTTAAAATATTTTCATTTGATATATTTTTTAACAGTTGTATATTTTGACATAATTTTACTTTTAAAATCAATGGAAAAAAATTAAGTTTGTTCATAAATAGGACTTAATTTATATAAAGGGTACTGAATGATGTACACTGAGATCGGTATTTTTTAGTCATGATGGTATTAGTTACTAAATTAATTATATAATTACTAAGCTAAATTTAGAAAACAAGTTAAAAATTGGCTTCATATTTGCAAATAAAATTTTAAATGTATTTTGAACTTAATTTCAAATGAAGTAAAAAATTGAAAAAATTAACTTTCTGCGGGTCTAAAGATTGGTTTTTCTAAATTGGCGAACCTTGCCACTAAGCACTTTAAATTAGTCAGTTTCAAATTCTCATAATTAGAAATTATATAATCAAAAGCTCAACTGAATTCAAGTAAAATTGTACAGTACAGGTTTTAGCTTATAATTTACAGCTAGTCGGCTTTTCATTTTGTGATGTAGCTGAGTTATCTGTTAAACGAGAATAAAGTCATAACTTAAATATATTTGCCTCATCTTTGCTCCGAATACAAAAATCAGTTTTCTAATGCAATTTCTCTCTGCTTAGAATGAGTTTGTTTAGACTAATGGTGCGCACTTAAGAGTAAAGCTGTTATATGAACAAGTTTGTAGTAGTAATGTTAATTTGTTTACACTATTCATTTTTTGTCAACCTCAACCTGTCTATTTAACAAATTCCTTTTTGTGTGTCTGCTACAGCGTCTACAATTAAAAATTCAGCACACAATTAACAGAAAAGAAATATCAAAAAAGCTACTTCTTTTTCAGACAGATCTCTTTATCTTTTGTTATTTTGTTAAGAGATTATCTTTTGTTCTTTTTTATATGAATAATAATTTTATATGTTAAACATTTATTTCAATCAGAGGAATTTTCTTTCCTTAAAAAAATATTTAACAATTTTGCAGGTTTTGCTGAAACTAAACATGTTATGTGTATGTTAAAAAAAAAATTATGGAATTCAAGTTCTATACAAGATGTCAGAACAGCTTAATTAGATACTGATAGAATAAGCATATTGCTTTGAAAATCGAAAAATATTATCAGAACAAAAAGATAGAAAAAGGAAAAAAATAAGATTTTTTAGTATTTTTAATAGTATATGAAGTTAAGAAAACTAGTAAAAAAATGATTACAATCACATGTGTGTGACATTCCTGTTTAAGTAAAAAATAAAACTGATAACTTTTAATGAGTTTTTACATTCAGGTGCACAATCCTTACCTCAGCTTCAGGCGTTAATCTGTATATTCGTAACACTGATGCACTAGCAATGATTAAATTTTGCTCTTTAGAATTGTAAAAATTGCAATAGAGGCAATGTTCTACTCCAGTTGGAGGATGTATTTGTTTGCAGAAAGAATAAATATTAGATGCCATTTTGCTTCACGGAAACATTAGGCTACCTAAAATCAAAAACTTATTTTAATAACGATTGTATAAACTTTAAGTGAATTTGATTAAAAATTTGATTAAGTCAATTCAAATAAAAAATTTAACTTTAAAATCTTGAAATTCCTCTCATAAATAAAAAAACAAAATTGTGTTTCAGTCATTACAAAACAATTAAAAAATTAGAAATGTTTCGCAGTGTTTATAGTGAATATGAAAGAGTATGCAATAAAAAAAGACACAGAGAAACCAGTATATTAATAAAACAACTTTATTAAATTTATTTATGAGAGAACTTTCTTTACAAACATGTCAACACAAGTACAGTATATGAATAACAACAGTCCAGTACAAAGATCTACATTACATGTTAAATTATTGAAAATAAGAAGTTGCACATTTCGACTCGCTTCATAAATTTTAGTTCTACAAATTGTAACATAATCAAGAGTGAAATTAAACAGTTTGGAGCTGGATACTAATATGTATATATTACAGATTTAAATGAAAATAGCTTTATACGAATGTAACTAAAATTTACAGTTCTTAAAAAGTATTAAAAAAATCTGTTCTTTCAAATGCTAGTAAATAGTTTCAACATATTAAAAGCTACTCTTCTACCTGAAGTTAAAATCCATATCACTTTATGTATATTGAGTACAAAATAACATATTTTTAAAAAGATCAACTTCATACTTATATGGCAATATTCATAAACAAAACTTCTGTTAAAAAAGTTTGCAAAAGAAAAGAAATTATGCGTTTTTAATGAATAAGAACATCTCAAAGGCAAATAAGGACTCTGGGTCATTTTTACTTATATGCTTACATTTTATAATCTTAATTTGGCATTCATTAACAAGAAAAATTTCTTTAAACATGTTTACTTTACAAATGTGTTCTTTTAATCGCCGAAAAGTTTAATTTAACCAAAATTTGAATATGTCTTGTTCATTACTACCAATAATATAAATGTCTAGTTCATTACTACCAATAATATTACAATCAACCTCTTAAATAATAATACATATAAATGTATCTGCAGTAAAGATTGCCAGACGATCCGGGACCACTAAATTTTGACTCATACCACCATGAATAATTTGCTGTTTTTGTTTAAATCAGATATTTTTATAAAGAAAATGCAAAAGATTTCATTTTAATGTTGAAAGTAATTGGAATAAACTTCACAATTAATAAAACTACTAAGCTTGAAGAAGGTTACTCAAGGGTGTAAGCATATGTCTGATCGCGTGAACGAGGTTAATGGGGAAATAAATTCAGGTTGTCCTGAGAATATGTAAATACTAATTATGATATTGCATTTCTTAAATCACGTCGATAGGAATCGAAATATATGATTTTTAAATTGCATGAATATGAATTGCCCCGCATAGCTTTTAAATCAGGTAAATAAGAAAATTGATGTTTGATATTAAAATTGTATGAATAAGAATCAGAATATTAGCAGATACATGCGCAGTACTCCGTATTCAAAATAGCAAAAATCCGACAAAGCAAACGAATGAAATTGTCAAAAGAATCACTTAAGACGTAATTGACGACAGAATGTACGTAAACGTTTCGATAACAGGATTTAGGAAAAGCTTAAAAATTCCGTCCCAATATAAGTTTTTGACTCACAGAAGTCCGTGAACCAATGGTCTTGAGATACGCGGAATTCTGCGATATTCACATGAAATCGCAAGCCCTGCTCCTAGTTGTTAGACACGGAAGAATGACGCAAAAACCCGGAATACAATCACTCCTGATATACATTTTTAAGGTTTATATCAACATAGTTTTTTTAATTCCTTATCCTATATCAACAAGAAAGAAAATATCTATCTAAAAAGAAAGAATTTTTCCTGTTATGTTAAATATAACACAAATAACTTTATATGTCAATTATTATATTAGCTTAAATTCTTTAAGTTTGTGAAAAGAACCTTGAACTTAATTTTATAGATTATTACTGTTTCAAGGTATGTTGAACTCTACTCTTTTTTTTTTTTTTTCAAACACATATCCAAATTTAATCAAGAATTCTGTAAAATCAAAAGAATTTTTGTTTTTAATATTTGACAAAGAAAAATTTTACTTTCTAAAAATATTCTTAAAAAAAATAGTGTAAATAAGAAGAAAAAGCTATATTATTAGGGGAAATTTTAATCCAAAAAAACTGAGTTCTTACGAAATATTAGGCTTGGAGAATTTTCTACTCCTTGTCCTGATTCGCACTATTACTTCTATCTTAATTTAATTGGAGAGCAAAATAGAAGAAAAGTTGATAAAGATGTTTTTAAATATATAAGATTATATACTATATCAACCATTTTTGCTAGCATTAAACTCTTTGTATGCAATAAAATATTAAACATAATTTTTTTTTTCTGTTGGTAATTTTATTTCCACAACCATTACTTAAATAAATGAATGTATGCAAATTTAAACATTCCTCTTATATATATATAAGAACACATTTGCAAGCATTCTTAAGCAAAACAATATACTTGACTATACTCAAAACAAGTTCATAGAAATAGATTCTCGATGTAATATGCCTCAATTAATACATTCAACTTATCATGAAAACATACCAAACGTAAAACTATAATTTAAAGATACATGGTACAAAATTTTAAAACTTTGACACAACAGTTTACTTTAAAAGCATCCAAGCATAAGTTATTTTTAATAGATATTTAATTTCAATGCAAAAACAATTGACGCATGATTTTATAATAGTAGCAAATTTATTGATGGTTCAAGCTTTAGTTAGATGTCAGCATAAGTAAATTAAAGAAAATTCTAGGTATTTCACATTAAAAGAGCAAATTTATGTTAATAATTTTATTAGGGCAAGTTATATAATAAAGAAAAACATAATAAATCGAAGTAATGAATCTCATGAATTGAAGAGTCATACAAATGCAAATAGTGTAAAATATTTGCAGGTATTGACAATGGAGAAAAAATGAAATATGAGGTAAAAGTAGAACCTTAATTATTATTATACATTATTTATCATTACAAATATAACTTCATATTTATAGATAAACAAATAATATAGCGTGATTAAGTTATTTATACCTTATTTTAAATATTAATAAAAAATTATAATAGAAATAAATTACAATATTAGACACTTGGAAACTTCAAATTTGAATCATTCAATCTAAGTAAAATAATAGAACTAATATTAAAAATTAACAATATTATATTAAAAAATATTGTTGACAATGATTAAATTTCTAGAAATGGTTCTTATCTTACAAATGTTTCAAATTAATATAACCCTTTTTGTAATCACTTCATTTAACTCAATTTTCAAATCCTAATTTATTATCTTAACAAATGGCATCAGATTTAAACTATTTGGTTACAACTTAAGCAACCATTACCATTGTAATAAATATAAAATAAGATAATTATAATATTTTCTGCAAAATTTTTATTAAGTTTTATTAATTACTTTAAAGATCAAATATTAATAAAGCTTAAACGATTATAAAGCTTAGCGAAGCAAAAACATTTTTGGAACTCATTTTGACACAAAATTTAAATATAGCAAACAGGAAAGATTTTCATCTCGGTACCTGCACTAACATAATCGCAAAGTTTTGGAGACTTTGGAGCAGCAGAAACTTAATGAAATGCAAGAAATTAAAAAGAAAAAAAAAATCACACTTGGGGACCACCTCCAAAGATAAGGCCTTACATATTAAAAAAAAAAAAAAAAATTCAGGTTTAAAACTCTTCATGCTCCTTAGGTGGTAGCATAATAGTTATAGTTAACTAACAGGTACCGTTGCTGAAATATCATTAGCAAACAACATTAACAATAAGGAAGAGATGTCTTTTCACACTGCATACTATAAAGTAAATTGTCTTGAACAGAACTAAACACTATTTTATCACACAGTAGTGCTGAAAAAACTGATTTAGCAAGAACTTAATTTTTAAATGAAAAAAAATTTAATAAATCAAGAAAGAAATGAAAGAAAATTTTTATTATTTAAAAACAGCAATTTCATCAGAAAATAAGCAGATCAAACTTTAACACTAGAATATTGCAAATAAAACTCATTTTAAAAACTTTTCAAGTACATGAGCATCAGCTGGTTCAATTCTTTTGTAATACCGATTCTTAGTTTCAACAATATCAAAACCAAATTTTTTATAAAACTCGATTGCACTATCATTATTAACTTGTACATGCAAGAATATGCTATCAAACTTTCCGTCTTCTTTGACATAGTTCAAAATATGCTCCAACATTTTGGTGCCAATACCTAATCGACGATAAGGAGCAAGACAACCTAAAGTCATAATATACAATTTTCTACAATTATCAAAAGCATCAACACGACAACATACAGCTCCAACAACTATATCATTATAGTAGGCTAACTTAGCAAGTTCACCAGCAACTAATATATCTTTATAAAACTTGTCATTGTAACTAACAGGAAAGACAAATTGATTTAGTCTTTTCAACTGGCGAATGTTGTGAGGAGTTACATCACCCAATTCTATTTTTCCGCTTTTATAAGAGCGAGAATAGGTTGTTTCTTTTTCACAATTTTCGATCATTCTGGTACTTCTTAATATTTTACAAATAATAAAGATCGTAATGAATAATTGGATGTTACAGTAAGGCAATTGCGTTGAACAAACTTTCAACAGTAAAATTATATTTTATAGTCAAATGCACGACAAATTTTTTCTGGAAAAAAATAATTAAAAGAAAAATATAAGATTATAAACATACATATATTTTAATTAACCGGTGCAATATAATCATTATTCATTAACAACACACCGATGAAGGCGAGGGAGAATCAGAATATAAACTATCTGTTGCCACCAAAACTTCATTAATTTTTTAAATGCGGTTTCGGTTAAAAAATAATTTGAATAGTTGTATTTTACAATGACGTCAATACCTCCATGCACGCACCAAGATCGATTGCCTAATGGGAATAATATGAAAACATGAAGCAAAGGTGGAAAAAATTTGATCTTATGAAAAATTTTCGAGTGTAAGACTGCAATGGTATTAATTTTCTCAGCACACTTTAAATTTTAGAAAAGCTAATAAAATCAGGATTAGGGATAGCGCTGTATTGCTACACCTGAGTGAATGTGTTCCCAGAATTGGGAAAGAAGTATGGGAGTCATGGGAAAGAAGTATGACAGGTAAAAAGAAACAAAGAGACACATGACTGAGATTATCTGAAACATTTATTGGTAAAAGATATTACATGTGCTATGGTAAATGATCTATAAAAAGTCACAAAAGATGTTCAACACAATTGTTGAATATCTACAATTGTTTTGTTAGCGATGCACGCGTTACACTGTTGGGCCATGGATTGGCGATTCGTTCAAATACACCTGGGTTTTGTTGAATAATTGCAGTAGTACAGATGATTCTTGCAACCAGGTCATTTCGGAATCCACGTGCGATGTTTCCACACTTTTCAATGCACCCCAAGAAACGAAACCCCTTTCAAAGCCAGGAAGGTTGAAGTTACCTCCTCTCCACTGATAAATACAAAATTTTAGTCGAAGTAATCCCACTGCGCCGAATAGAATTGTTAAATTTAAATTTAAAAAAAAAACATTATTTATATATTTATTTATTTTCCCTTTTTTTATTCTTCATTATTTCACTTGCAAAAAATAACCAAGATTGAGTATTAAGTATTTTTTTATTATTTTGTTTAATAATGATCTCAAATGTTTAAATTGTTGAAAAGTACTCAATTTCTTAAATTTTATATGTTTAAATTGTTGAAAAGCACTCAATTTCTTAAATTTTATAAGAAAAACGCAATATTTAAAAAATTAATTAATGTATTTTGAATGAAATTTGTTGTACTGTTCCAAAAGAAAATAATTCGAAAAGACGTATTTTTGGAATTTTATTTCTCAGAAACTATTTGACCAAATTTGTTCAATTTTTGGATTTTGTCCAATGATATGAAAATTTGTAATAACATACATTTAAAAAACTTTCTATCATAATTAAACTAAATAATCATAAACATTTATTAAATATAATTTTTTGTGTCATGCAATCTTTATTCTTTAGGTAAATAAGTTTCATTAATGAATACAAAATCTGTTATATTTGAGTTATTAGCAAGGCCGGATTTACGTATGAGCTAGATAGGTTGCATTCTACAGCCCCGAGAATCGCAGGGGCCCACAAAGTAAAATATATTTTTCTAAGTAGCACTGTTCAAAGCCCCCCCCCCCTAAAAAAGCCCTTTTTCTCATTGCTAGGCATTGGTCAAAGTCAACAAATAATCAGCAAGAATGATTCCTCCCCGATTTCTTGAAAAATGCTTCCCAAACTGTTGTCCTTTCCCAGGCTTTCTTGGTGTCAAATTTCATGGTACATCTTTTGCAAATGGGAGCACTTACTAAATTGGAGGGGTTTAGATTGATCTCATATTATACTTTTTATCAATAATAGAGTTGATTTCACTATCCGCTTGAACGTAGAATAGAACGCTTTTATTAACAACTAGAAGTTGTTTGTTAGCTAGAATTCGTATAAATAATAAAATCGAAAATTTTCGAATAATGTTAATTTAATGCCTATAAGCAAAAATAAAAAAATGACAGTTCGCGTTTGAACCTAAGCTCCCACTATCTTCAATTGCTTATGGTCTCTCCAAGCTGAAATCCGATTCTGATTATTTAATTCTAGCCTTGCAAAATATCAGGATGCATCTAGATGAGCAACATACGTTTATGTCTGGAATCGTCCAGTTGGATATAAATTACGTATGATATTATGTTGACCAAAAGTCAGTAGAAGCTTTTGAATCTCGACATTTTTCAAATTTTTCGGAATACATTAAATGGATTAATTTGTTAGGTATATTAAAATCATATAATTATTTACGCTTTATTTAATTTTTTTTTAAAAAAAAGCAACAGGAATGTAATTTCAATGGAACTAAAGTGGAAAAAAAAACTCTTTCACACGCAACAGAGAGCAAATTATTCGAATGAACATATTTTACTAAATGAACATTTTAATGAAATATTTAACTTTTCTTGTTTCAATGTGTAACGTTCAATGTTTACAGTTATATTCATATAACATATTTTAAAATAAATTAACATTATATAACATATTTTAAAATAAATTTAAAAACAATTCTCTTTGCTACATAAATGAATGGGAATAAAGGTTGATATGTTTCAGCACTCAAACGTAATGTTTCTCCTAAAGATGACATAACTTGAATGATGAAAACGAAACAAGGAAACACAAAATTCATCGACGAAAACAAAATGGGAGGGAAATAGAAACAAATCAAGGCAGGATGCATTTCCATAAACAATTTAGAGTTTTGGCTGCATCTTTAACTATTAAAGCTATGCTGATATGAATACATGATTACTTGAGTAAAGCTTTTACAATGCTTTAATCAGGGGCCGTTCAAAAAGTACGTACACAAAAATGGAGAAATTTTAAACCCCTCCCCCCCTTCGTACATTACCGTACAAACGGTCTTACTCCCCCCCCCTTAGAGGATGTACATTTTATTAGTCTACCCCCCCTTTTTCATAAAAATTAAAATAATTATGTTTTAAATAAAATTAAATATTTACTTAAGGAGGGTGTAGGATAAAGTCAAATTTAAATTTGGTGTATGTTTATAAAGTACGTACTTTGTATAACACCTCCCCCCCTCCCCATCGTACAAAACCGTACATAATAGCAAATCCCCTCCCCCCCCCCTTCGGGATGTACGTACTTTTTGAACGGCCCCTTAATGCATATATTCAGTTATATAATTTAAACATTTATTATGTGATATAATACGAATTTATTATATGATATGTTTTAATTTATTATACCATTTTAAATCTGCATCCATTATAATCCCTTACCTGAAACAACAACGAAAACTCAAATCCTCATAAGAAAAAAAGGAAGGAAGAAAGAAAAAGGCCAGATTTGGAATAAAAATGAAATTGTTACGATGTTGGGGTGCGACCATATCATAACATTGTAGGATATTGGTCTCTTTTCTGTATGTTTGCTCCACTATACGCTATACTAAGCTTGCGCCAGATCACAATCAAACGAGAGACTGAATCTACTCTCATCTGAGAATAGACGCAAGTCAGTGGCGTATCTATAGAAAGAAGCACCTATGGCAAATCTCGTACTGGTGCCCTTTCTGAAATATATATATTCTCTTTCTTTCTTTTTTTTTTCTTTCTTCTTTTTTTATAAAATACGAAATAAAAGCATTGTTTGAAGTATTTAACCCTTTTAGGCAATACTGCAAAAAAATTGCCTTGTATTTAAATAAAGATAGATCAATAAAAATTAACTATAACAATAAAATTATCTATTTTTAATTGTAATGCATTCAAGTGTATACAAAATCATCGTTAGTTAGAAATAAAAAGTCTGCTTTATCATATTTATGGAAGATTCTATTGCGTTTTTTCAGTTGTCAATAAAAATTCAGTCCCGCAGTGGACTGATTGCAAAGACACATTTACGCGTAGAACACCGAAGTCAAGCATCACTGGCTGTGGTCTGTAAGCGGGTGGTTGACCACTTTTATCAGCCTGTGTAGGGAGCGGGGTGCGCGGCATCGGTCCTCGTTAAACTGTTCTACCATAAAGTGGTCGATTTCGTGCGCAGATCGTCGGGCTACCAAAGCAGTGGAGTCACCCCCTCTAAGAGGATCAAAATTGTAATGGCATGCCTTCTGATCATCTTCAGGGAAGTTTCCCAGACCGTCGCCAATAGCCCACTGTGCAGCTCTAGTGTGACGTAAATAAAGCAATAAAAATTCTGACAATTTGTTTAATTAACCACAACTATATTTTAAAGGTCTTAAAATATAATTTGGCTACAAAAATACACACACACAACAAAAGTAGCTCTGGGTTAAGAAAGAACTATTACATATCAGATATTGTTGAACTTAAAACTGACGGAAATAGATTTTTATTTTTAATGATCATGCTTTACTAACATTAAAACAATAAAATCATAGCGATATAATAAATTCCTTAAAGATCACAGAGTAAATTTTAACAAATTACAGATAAAGCGAAAAAATTAAACCGATTTGAATTATAAATTTCGTTCAGTGCTCAAAAAAATAAATAAACGGACCACCCTGATAAGTTTTGATCAGATCTTTACGTTCTATGACTCATTCTTAATAGTTCAAGGGAAGGACTTCTAATATGCTAATTAAAAGTGCAGGACGATATTTTAAGCGACGAAATCAGACATAGAAACGTATTTTCTCTGAATAAACATGCCATTTTTTCGTTGGATTCGGATTTCTGTACCCCCAAAAATAGGAGATAACCACAATCTGAGAACTTTTCAAGTGAAGCGAAAAATTTTTGCACACAATTATATAGTTCGTTTATAATTGTGTAACTTGTCCAAAAATAGCTTTTAGTAAATATTATTTTATTTACTAAAAGCCGAAAAAATTTGAATTGTAAGGTATACATTTTTTACATCGTTTTTGAAGAAGGTAATTTAAAATGGAAAAATAAAAAATTAGATCGAATATTTCCTGAAAAAACCACGTATTAAATACATGACTTTTTCAAAATTCGATTTCTTAGGAATCCGAACATCGTATGAATTTAGATCCACCTGCTTTGCAATTTTCTTTTTTCTTTTCAAGAAACCAAAAAAAAAAAAACTTTTTAAAATTAATAAGTTTAAATAGTTTTAAAAGTTGTTTTTAAGGAAACAGAGATATTTGGAGAAAAGAGGGATTTTTGTATGAAAATATATTATAAGAATGCGCATGCTTCATATTCAAACAAGCTCTAATTTTTTTATAAATAAGATGCTTATTGTTTTTTATATTCTTAAAATCAAGATATTTATTTGTCACTTAAATGACCTACTACTTTTTTTTGGAGAAACTAAACTGTTGTAATGATTAGTTATAAACTACATATTATGGCATTAATATTACTTTGTTACCATTTAACTTTGATTATAAAAGAAGCAAATATAATATATAAATGAAGGACACTTTATTTTATGAACCTTTTTAAAAACAGTAAAACAATTTTTTCAAGTAATATGATATATAGTGATATATCTGCAATGTAAATGATATATATTGTAAAAGACTTATAAAACTTAAAAAATAGTAATTATTTAATCTAATTTTTTTTTCTTTTTTTTTTTTTTTTTTCAAAAAGGAAGAAAATGGCAATCTGAAATAAACGAAAAGATATAGGAGAAAGATTGCAAAATTTTGAGCTCGAGTGCCCGAGATACTATAGAAGCGTGCTCCATAACTCGAAAAAATGTTTTTTAATATTAAATAAATGAAATTTAAAAATACAAAGCAAGCATGTCTTTATAAATTTAAAAATTCTATTTTATTCCCAGCTCGTAAATAGAGGGATTATTGAAACTTATACTTAAAGCATTAAAATATAATAAAAATTGTGAGTGAATAATACTTCTGTAACTTAGAGTAAAAAAGAATAAATTAAATTAAAAAAACGATGTCAACAACTGACAATATGTTCATTAATCTAACTATTCGAAAGAAAGAAAAAAAATCGAACTTTTACAAATGATTAAACTCGAAATCAATCTATTAATGAATCGAAAGAAAAACATTTCTAATGAATGTTACATAATATACACAAAATTATTTACTAACCTCAACTATTTTTCAGGAAACTTAAATTATGTTTCCAATAACATTTAAAATTTTAACGTTGTTTTTTTTTATATTACAAATTAATTTTAATAAGAATGCATTAAAGATTATTTCATTATACCGTCAGGTAGGGCTACTTTGTGCAGGATTTCGCAGTTTTTGAACTTTGACATCTAAAAAAACTAGGTTAATTCAAACTTTAGTAAAATTTATCGATATTATATTCATAACTGGACTCACATGAGTGAATTTGATCAATATTGGCATTATTTGTATGTAATATTTACAAATAATAAGTCAAAACATACTTTGTGCAGCGATAGGAATTCAGTTTAATAATCATGTTTTTAGTAAAATATTGATATAAAATTGTTAAAAAAGTTAATTGTTGACATTTTTAATAACAAAAACATCAAGATATGTAAAGATATTAGTTTGAAAATAATTTTCAGCGTTAAAAAACCATTTTTTATAAAGAATTTTTTCTTAAAAAGAATGTTTATTTCAAAACATTTGAGTTTAAACAAAAGGAAACCATATACATTTTTGAACATTGAAATGGATGAAATTTCAAAAATAATAATTATTACATATTCATTAACATTTATAATATTGATAAATTTGAACATAACATGCTTGAATGAACATGACAGAACTTGCTCTTCAGTTTCTGTCAAAATCACCTGATGTCCTATAAAATATATTTTTATGTGTTAAATCTTTTGATTAATTCATTAGAAAAATCTTTGTAGAAGAAAAATAATAGTTTACTGGCACGTTTCACGTGTTTCTTGTGAATTTTATTAGAGATAGTATTTCTGTGGATTTTGTACTTCCGAGAAGCTTCTGCAATCGACATACCACCAGCAACTGCTTGCAAACATTGTTGCAGCTTTTCTAAAGTGTAATCACGGTAGTTTCTCGTTCCAGGTATTTTTTTATAACGTCTGACCATTCTTCTGTCGAAAAAAAAAACGAATGAAACTTTGCACAAAGTAGCCCCACAGTGCATTTTTTTTCATTTTCCGTTTATTTGTCATTAATTTTCAAAATTTTTTAACGCTAACATGATATAATTGTTTATTAATATACAAATAAAAAATTTTGCACTTACGTCAATTGTTTTATCCACGTCTTTCCATTTCACAGATAAAGTTTCCAAGCACACTTTGCGACGTCCGACGTTCTCGGAAAGTTGCTGACATTGAATAAACAAAACACACTCTGAGATTGTTTTAAAATTCGAAAAAATGTTTGTAGTAATAGAGGAGACTTCTATTTTCAAATTCCACACATTTTTAACTTGAAAAAAACATAATACTGAATAGCAGCACTTGAAAAGTGCCAAATTCGAATTTGCACGAAGTAGCCCCACATGACGGTACTCTATTCAATTTTTTTGCTTCCAAAAATTCTATTTGCAAATTAAATGTTTTGTCATAAGACAGTAATAATAAAAACTACAAAATGTTATATATTCTAATTTATAAGATTATAAAGAGGGGAGAACAAATGTCCTTCTCAATCAGAGATGCAAACTTGTTCTGCTTAATGGGAAATTTTTTTTCCAGTGGTAGCAAAATTTATCATTTAATGTTTGATTCTTATAGTTTATGTAAATTTGATATAAAATTATTCTTCCCGCCACTACGTATATATAATTCGAGCTTTCGTGGGAAACACAATTACATTTCAGACATCTCGTGGTAAGCATTTTATCTAAGACTTAGCAAGTGTTAGTTTTTAACCACTTAATAAAATATTTCCGAGAAGTCTTAGCAGTTGGCATTCCTGCATATAGGCACCACTTCTAGAAAATAAACGCAGATAACGGAAACTAATAATTTAAGTACAATACATTTATTTGAATATTGGAAACTATTCCTTGCAATCAAAAAACAAAATCCTTGTTGTACACGTTGTTCACTAAAATACACTATCGGCCATTAAAATTACTACACCAGGAAGGAATGCAAATAACAAAATGATATTTGTTGGGTACATACATTATAGTTGAAAGAACAAGTGATTAAATTTTCAGGATATTTGGATGTATAGATCCTGCCGAATCAGTACTCAGAGCAGCCTCCCCTGGTTATATCCCCTGGTTAACCTAACTATATAGTTGTCGAGAGAGGCAAAGGCACCTCCTATTTTTAGGATTTCACAATTTTGCAGAAGTAATTCCCACCATGGGTGGCGAAAATCGTTATTGGAAGGATTTAAGCTCATTTACATCAGGGGCATTTTAAATCTACTCAACAGATTCCGAAAACGTTTTTCATCAAAGAGATTTTAACACCTGATGTAATCGAAGATTTACAAGCATTTTAGGTCAGATTAATTAGTCTAAGCTAGATTGGGACACCCCATGGTTTTCACATTTCTCTGTCCACTGGTCATCACCAAAGATCTATGACTCTCCTTAATGAGATTTAATTCATTTCCTACTTGGATAATTCCCCTTTTAGAACGATTGCAATCTTTCAATGTGATATAAGAGGAGAAACAAATTGCTTATCTTGTCTCTTTGCTATGGTTGTGGAAAAATAATTAAATAAAGATTTATTTAGGAATCATGCATTCTTGCATTATGGTCTTTTTTTTAAATGTTGAATGCTTTTTTTTAATTTGGCCCTAACACGAAATAATAATAAGAAATTAAATAAAATTATTGGGTAAAAATAAAATCATTGATGTTGATCTATTTTGCACTTTTTTGAAGTAATGCGCAGATGTCCTTCGCCATACTTGTCCTTTTCGCTCCAGCTGCGATACTGAAGACACCATTGCAAACAACAGCTGCGGTAACGTTTGAACCGTTTGAACAATGGTATGTGCACAACAGGTCGGCAGGCCACAACCCAAAATTTGCATACGCAAAACACGTTTTACAGTATCTCGCACTTTTGCTAATTTTCGCATTTTCCTATCTTTAATTTTGCCGTTGCTATTATCATCCATCTTTAGCAATTGTCTACCAGTGAGTTATTTTTTCCCCTTCCATTTTTAAGACTCGATTTCGCTTGACAAATTATGCGCAAAAAATAGTTTTTATTAATCATTATTACTTATTTTATTAATTTTTTTTCTAACAATGATTAACAAGCTTCGAATTGTAACTTACTTTGAAGTTTTAAGAATAGATAAATATTTTACATATTCTTAAACAATGCGATTTTAAGTGACAATATCCGAAATTTAAATGAAATCCGACGAATAGCTCCTTTGTAATAAACAAAGAAAAAGAAAGTTTTTGCAGTTTTAAATTTTGATATCTTAGATCGAATTCATTCAAATAATGGATTATTTTTTTCTACTTACAATTACTTCAATCTAATCTATGTATCAAATATCTTTCAATTTTTTTTAATGAACTGACGTAATATTAATTTTTGTTTTGGCTCGATTATCAAGCATTATTTTTTAATGTATTATTTCTTTTGCAACACATTTTTTTAAAATCATTAAAAATTAAGGAAATTAAAAACATCAATAAATTATTAAGAATTTAAAAAGGTAAAGAAAAAAAGCAAAATATAGCGTTTACCACTTTGAAGGTCACAATTTTTTAAATTTTTTTTATTGTGAATAAAGAATATCATTTAAAATTTGTATGGTTTGCAGTTAATTATGAGTGCCATCTTTAATTTCATTTATTTCAATGTATTTTTAGTCATGAGAACATAAACTACGTCCTTTTATTAGTATCTATTTTACGTAAAAGTACCCCATTTAAATTACATAGACTCGATCATCTTTTTCTTTGATGTCTTTCGGCTGTGCTTTTGTTGCGATTGTTACAGTGTGGTACCGATTGACAAGGAACGAAACGAATTAACTTTTTTCGACTCATATTGCGTTTTGAATACTCCTGCATTTGTCTTGTGTGTATATTTCAAAATTATTATGCAAAGGAAATTACTATCAATACAAATATTTATTTACTTTAATCTAATAGGTAAGTATTTTTAATTTTCTAAAACGTAAAACTTTTGTTAGTAGGTCTTGATCGTCTGTTATATTTAATATGGGTAATAACGGGAGATCTTACGGTGTTAAATAATGTGAAAAAAATACCCTTAAATGAAACTAACTGAATACTATATAATCTGTTACCTACTATATAATCATACTATATAATCTGTTCATTAACATACTATGTAATCTGTTCATTAACATAATATATAATCTGTTCATGTTCATTAACAAAAACTTAATTTTACTTTACGTAAGAAAGTTACCCTAACTTGCAAATCTATTCTAGACTATAAACACTACCTCTAAAAATGCACAGAGAATTTTATATTTTTAAGTAAAATAATATGTTCTTAATAACTTTAAATTATAACAAGATCAGTAATTGCAATTTCTTTCTTAATTTCTAGTGTGGAGTGGAATTAAAATTCTTGACATTAATAAATTAGAAAAATATAAAAAAAATAATAATAAATATATAAATAAAGTAGTTTTTTTTTTATATTGTAGAAACTTATTTTGCATTAATTCATTTCGAAAGTTGTTATCAGTTTAGTTTTGAATTGTAATAAAAAGCTAATAAGGCAAAATTCAATTAATAATTGTATGCTTTATAATTTTTTTAACAATAATGTCGTGCTTTTAATAAAAAATTATAAAGATATCATTTTTGTAACAAACTTCTTATTAAAAATAAATGCCGATGCTTTTTAATTGCCTACAATATTTTGATTAAAATCAAATGTGTTTTTTCAATATTATTTTAACCTTTTAAATACGTAATTAGCNCCCCCCATATACTACTTTCTTATTAAAAATAAATGCCGATGCTTTTTAATTGCCTACAATATTTTGATTAAAATCAAATGTGTTTTTTCAATATTATTTTAACCTTTTAAATACGTAATTAGCCACCAATGCTATTTACGTAGACCATGAAATTGTTCTGTTTATGTATGTTCTGTTTTTTCTTTAGATTTCATTTTCTGTTTTTTACGTGATATTTATTACTTAATGTGTTCTATTCTGTTTTGCTTCAAAACAATTTTTGAAGGTTTCTCACACTATCGTATTGATTTTGCTTTGGCTATATTGATGCAATGTTAGAAAGCACTTCTTTTTGCGGATATAATCGAGTGAGCTGATGAAGAGATTATACTTTTTTTCGCTGATTTTTATTATTTATAATTTTTTTAGTTATTTATTTATTTATTTTTTAAATGAATTTTCTACTTTTCTTTTTTTATTATTCTGCAACTTTTTCTATGTTTTCTCTACATTTTGAGCTTATATATATATATCAGATCCTCGCCGAGAGGGGGAAATAAGCAAATTTCTGGCACCAGGCTATACGTAATTATTATTTATTTAGACATATTCATGAAGATCCAAGTGACACAAAATCGAAATGCTCTTCAGTAGAAATTAAGGTTTTTCTCAGATAGTGAAAGGGAAAACTGTGCAATGTTAAATAATGCATAACTTGGAGCCAAAAATAGATTAAAGGACAGTAGGATGTGAATATTAAAGTGTAAGAAAGAATGTTTTGTTCAGAATAATAAGATAGATAAGAATTAGATAAAAATATTACTTAAAACTTATGTTACACACGCATGTATAAGAGAGTGCTGTAAGACCAGATTTCTCGATTGTGTTGAAATTGTTTTCTAGCGGACAAACTCTATATTATTCCTCTTGTCAGGACCTACCATATTGGCGTGTTGTTAAGTGATGTCTCTCTACAATACTTATATATGAGAATAATTAATGTTTTTAATTAATTTAACACTCTTTCAAACCTTTTAATTATTCACCCCCCAGAGGAAAGCTTCCTGTTAATATTTTTTTATTTTAATTTCTATGAAATTAAATTTTAGATTATGAGTCTTAATTTTGACGCGATTAAAAGGTTAACGCAAAATAATAATATAAACAAAGTAAAAAATTGGTAACAAAAAAAAAAATTACATTTTTACGTTTAGCATAAAATTTATCAGTTTCCTAAGATAACAAACACATCCTTGGTTGGTTACAATAAATATTAATATGTAATGTTGCATTCAGCTTTCAAATGACAAGGTTAAATCATTTCACAGATAAATGCAAAAATATGAAAAGCACTCCTAAATAACAAATGTAGTCAGTTGCGTTAAGAAATCTTTATGGGGAGAGCCTGTTTGCATCTGAGTCACTAACAAGGGAGACTAGGAAAGTGTGACTCGCACCAATTTTGAAATAAACTAGTGAGATGTTATGAGGTATAATTTTAGGAGGCAACATTCGTTTCGGCCCATAGAAGGTCCCATGAGAGATAAAAAATAATTCAATATANTATATATATATATATATATAGTAAAATAAAAGAAAGAAGGAAAGAAAATAACTAATAAATCGATACTGCAAACACTATGAATTCATGCATAAAATTGAACCATATAAGCCAACACAATTTATAAAGCTAAAATAATTCCAATTTTTTTCTTCTTATTTATTATGAGTTTGTTTTGTCAAGCTAGCTTTACGTTATTCATAGATAAAGAAAAACACATTTTTAGCCTCAAAAATTTCATATTTAATTATATCCATTAGGGCTAAATTAGGTTTTTGTTTCGAAATGATTTTTAGTTTATCTTTTCTATTTCTAAGAATTTCACAGTCTCAGAGAACGTGAAATTCACAGAAAAAATATTTTTAGCTTTAATTACTAGAGGTTGTAGAATTTAACCTCAATTTGGCGTTTTTAACTCGTATGATACTCCGATTTCTGTGTCCCGTGTTTAGCGCTCTGCATAAAATCGTTTCATATAGGGGCCTTTAGTAGTATTTGATTCATTATAATTATCAAAATAAAATATTGTTTCTTAATATGAAATATGTTGATATAGTTAATAAATATAAATTAAACAATATTTACAATATGGTTAACTCTAATTAAGAATACATTAATTAATTAATTCGCAAGAATAATTTTAAAGAAAGAATAGTATAAGCTCATCTCCGATAATATTTTGCTATTTTATAATGTAGAATTGCTATTTAATGTGTTATATGGAATAAATTATATTAGAAGTAATATAAATGCTATTTTGAAAATAATATTTATTAGAGACAAATCCTTCAGAGACAAGCATTCAAATCATTCTGAAATGAATACATTTCAGAAAATTAAAATTTTCTTATTTTTATTTTCAGTGAAATGTTCAACAGGTCAAGATGTAAAAACATGGAGGTCTAGTATGAATTTTAATGATGTTCGTAACTGGAAAAATGGCAAAATACCATGTTCTAACCAGAAAGTAATATTTCCTTCTGAAACACCTGTCGCAATTTTCATGCCTGAAGTTTTGCAAGTGTCTGAAATGGTAAGGTGCAGCTTTTATTAGATAATTTCGTTCTCAATACTAAGTTTTCCAATTAGGATAAAATTTAGATTCTTTCTTGACTATTTAATTACTGGATAGAGCCACGGTGGCTTGTAGGATTGAGCGCTAGCCAATGGAGTGGCGCTTGAAGACTGCTCCCTATTCGATGAAAACTGCCACCGTCTCACGTCGACCACAGTGCTGCCTTAAGTTAATCCCTATTGTAAACGAATCGTGATGTAGAGTCCTCTTACCATCGGACGATTCTTGGGTGATTTTCGTTTTTTTCCTCTCCGTCTAACGCAAATGCTGGTCTGTTTCATAGAAGAGTCTTCGACGAAGGCGAGGTTGTCCTAATACCTGATCTAGGAGCTCCTTTATCTTCTGGGTTCAATTCAAAATTACAAAGCTGCGAATTTGAACACCGATATCTGTAGGTCTAGATCATCTGTTCAACACCAGTAATAAAATAAAAAGGTACTGGAGAATAATTGAATTAAGATGTACTTCTTAATTTTTTAAATAATTTATTTTCTTTCTGAAATTAATCATAGGATTTTAATGATTATTGACTAATTCTTTATTTTAGCTTCTACCAATGAATGGAGAGCTTGTGTTTCCTGAAAATGCTGTTTTAAAAATTGGCGGTGGTTTGGAGAAAGGACAATGTCCCAATGATGGTAAGTCCATTACAGAAAAAATGACAATAGTTAACTTCTATCAATATGTTCCAAGGAAACGTTTCTACTGTTGGTATCCGTATCATATCCTGATGATGACAGAATCATAATGCAAACAGTTTCGTCCGATATAGTACTTTTTTCTTTTGAAAAGTGTTGCTCAACATATTTATATCTGTAACTTAAGGACAGCAGAATCATGATTGCAAACGATTTTGCCAGATTTAGAACTCTTTTTTACAAAATATTCTTCTACCCGAAAAACATAGGTAAAAATTAATCGTATAAATATGAACATATGATGTTGTGTATGTTCGTATAAATATGAACATGTAATGTTGTCACCGGAAATAATCTTTTTTTCGTTTCTTTTCTGAAGTAAGTTTGGTTCCATAATCTTCTAGAAAACAAGGAGTCGATTTGGTTTGATTTTCAGATTTCATAACTATTCGGATAAGTATTCTTGTGTAATATTAACTGAATCTGAATAGTTGATATCATGACCAAACTGCATTGAAAACTTAAATATAGATAAAAATAAGAAAAGAAGACAAGAATTTCTTTTAAATCCTTAAGCTAATTTTACACTATCAGAAAAATCAGCTCAAAATTGAACCATAATATCGGTACCCAGAACCATAATTAAGTACAAGTTTGATGCAACTTTAAGGAAGTGTTAAATTGAACATGGTTCCCTCAATCGCACTAGTTGAATCACAGTTATGTCTAATTGAACAAAAGAATAATGATTGAATTGTATAATTCTATGGTTCAATTTGGCTTCTTTTTAAGTTAGCAGTAAATTTGGACAATATTATAGTTTAATACGATCCTAAATTTCTAATAGTGTGCGACAAAAGATAAAATCTCTTTCAATAATTCAAATTTATAATAAGTTTCATAAAAAATAAAATATTTGAAAATGGCCAATTTTGCGCTTTTTTAAGTTTGTAGTAAATTTGGACAATATTGTAGTTTAATACGAAAACGATAGAAAATTTTTAGAGAAAATGAGAATTTATTTTAAATCCTGAAACTAATTCTACACTCTTTGAAAAATCAGCAAAATGCTTTAACCATTATATTGGCACACAGAACCATAATAAAGTGCAAGTTTGGTGCAACTTTAAGAAAATGTTAAGTTGAAACATATTTCCGTACAAATTGGAATTACTCATGTCGTCTAATCAAATTAAAGAATAATGATTAAATTGAACGATACTGCGGTTCAACTTAACGTCTTCTTAAGTTGGCAATAAATTTGGACTATATTGTAGTTTAATACGATAAAAAATTTTTTTAACTGTGTACGACAAAGAATAAAATCTTTTTCGATAATACAGAAATATAACAAATTTTATCGATAATTCAAACATATAACAAAATTATAAAATCTCTTTTTCTCCTAAAACTAAAAGAACTAATTTTTTTTATTCATACATTAGATGCTGAATTTATACCAAGGATGGACTTTTGGTATGATCCTAGCAACTGGAATATAACTTCGAGCCGTGCATTTCCTAAAAAAGTGTCCACCCGGAATTCTGCTGTACCTCACGCCTTCCAAATTCCTTGCCCAATGGATGAGGCTTGGTTCCCAGCAGATACAACATTCCGAGCTCATGTAATTTATCCAATGACACGGGTATCAAAAATTTACATTGGTAACAAGGATTCTTACCAAGTAAGCTAATGAGGCTGTTTAGAAAACTATAGAATAAAGTTAAATATCTATGCAATAATATTTATGAATCTATCTAAATATTTAGGGGGGGAGGATTTAAGATTGCATCATTTCTCATAATTTAAATATTGCTTTTTAAAGCGAAATCTTTCCTCTTTTCTTCTCCAGAATGTTTTTTTTTATTCAAATCATTATCAATTTATTATTAAAATCTAAATTGTCTGAGTTTAGTTGAATACAGAATATTTCTATTTTTAACGTCCGAAGTTTTTGCAATGTATGTTGAGTGACAAGTGGTAAAAAGAAAAAATTTCTTTTCAGTTGGCCAAACGCAATCGTTTTTTTTTCTTTCGATAATTCGATAAATAAAATGATTTGATCACGGCTCTTCTTCTGCACAATTTTTTTTCCTCGCATTCTTCTACAATCTCGACGAAAGCGTAGAAACATCTTTTTTTTCCAATCCAAATCGGACGCAAAAAACGAATCAATAAATGGCATTACATCATTGATTGAAAAGTCATCTTTGAAAACTTTTACACAGTGATTGGGAAGAAAAAAAACTCAAATTAATATAAATCTAGTAGTGAAATTAGAGTCAAAAAATATTCTAAACTAAATTCAGTGGGCACGACAGCCCGTGGAGGGCCAGAGCCTACTGCTCACATCCCAGTTTTCTTGACCTTTGGGGTATAGGGTGCAGGAGAAGAGGTTCCGGTTGGATGAAAGGCTGAACAAGAAATCCCCAAGCATGCGTTTTACTCATTTTATCGGCCCACTGAATGGATGAATAGCTTAGTCAAACTTCCCAGCTCCGAGGATAGAACCCAGGATCTGTGTCGCGGGAGTAAGATGTGCTACTCGGAGATCTGGATTTATAATCATTAAAATTTGAACTCCCACTTATAATTTCAACAAGGAGGTGTAAATTCTTTTTAAATATGTATTCTTTGCATACTTTTTAAAAATTGCTTAAATGTAACATATTTTTATTAAAATTGTACTTACAAGTTTATTTTTATGAACTAGGAATATAACCAAGACAAGTTTGATATGCTAATAAGGAGTGATACAGGAAAGTTGCTTTTTCCAGATTTTCCGAGATTCCGGATCTCAGAATCTACGTGCACTGATGTAACTGGATGCGAATGTGGAAATGAGGGCCATGAGGTACTTGTAAAAATGTCACACACATTTAGCATGAATAACAGTAGGGTGTTCTAGAACTCTGAACTAAAATATAGTGTTTCGTTAAATAAAATAAAAAACTTACTTGCAGTCTATATTGAGTAATTAAAACAAAAAGACGTACTAAAAATCACACACATTGTGTCCCGTACCCTTTAACCCTTTCCTGTCCACTGATTTTATTAGAGCAAATTAAAGAAAAAAAAGGTATTAACGGAAATATAAATTATATTTTAATTCAATAAACAAAACACAAGGAGCTGGAAGATTAATCAGTTGGAATATTCAATGAATCTTTCCAATTGAACTATATCGTAAATTTCTTGCTCAACCGAACTACTGAGCTACTACTGTTTTGTACTACTGAGCAGAAAGCGTAGAGGATTAAACTTAGAATTCTTGTCAAAAGATAAATAAAAAAGTATACATATGAGGGATCACTAATAAATGTTTTAGTGATATCCACCAAATTAATGCTGAGAAAAGCGGAACTGAAAATATTAAATCATGTTTGATTGTCTGATGAAACTTGGAAGTGTTTCTACCAACCAATCGCCTTACTTTTTTTGTTTTCTTCAGCAATCAAACAAGTTTCGTGCTTTTAGTCTCACCTTCTTCAGTAGTGATTCGTTAGACTTATATAGCGTTTCTGTTTTCTCCTGAGTGAAATATTAATTTAAAACTCTTAATGCTTGCCCATTTTTTATGTTATTTTTCCTTCAACAATATTTGTTGCAAGGCTCTATTAGTGTTATATGATTAAATATTGATGCATACTTCTCATCACAATCCTAAATATGAGATTCTGATAAAACTGTATTGATTACAGTTTTATTTATTACCTCAGCCTTTATCTAAATTACAGAACGTTGGCCATAATAAAAGATTTTAAGGGACGGTTTGATATGATATGCGTCAGTTAAAATTATGTATTTCATTGAAACATATTTTTTTTAAATTTATAAGCATCTTACTACCCACAGTTATCAAACTTAAGTTTAAAACTGCTGAAAGATAACATAATCACTACAAATTTTTTTAGGTTCTACCAACAATTTGCAAATTTGAGGTGCCATGCCCGGAACTTTCTTGTTCAGACCCGATTAAGGTAGTTGGACATTGTTGTCCTATGTGTGGTAGGTTTTTTTTCTCTCGTTTTTTTTCTTTTTTTTCTTTTAAAAAAGTAATCATAAAATAACTTTTTTTAAACAACTTTAATTTTCATTTCATTTTACTTTCATGTGCAAAATATAGCTGCCAAAATAACTTTCAAATATGAATGGAGTTTTAAAATGGATGGTCTTATGCAAATGTATGATAAATACTTAACTACAGTAAGTATAAAGTTTTACAGAAAAATTTATTTTATCATGTTATTCTGCACTTATCAGATATTTTTTTTTCTACTTAATACATTGTTACATAATTTTTAAATATTCTTATGAACACGGAACCTGTCTGATTCAACCCACAAAAAATATTAGGAAATGATATATATCTTCTTGGTAACAGATATCAAATACTGAAAATTTGTGAAAGAAACTATACGAGATCCTTTTTCAAATCTTTTTTACCGTATTACTTTCATTGTAAAATTATTTTTAAATGTTCTTACTAACTAGCAACAGTACCTGTCTGATACGACTTACAAAAAATACCTGAAAAATTACGTATCCTTCTGTTAATATATATAAAATAATGACGATTTGTGAGAGAAATATGGCAATTGTAGCCTCCAAAAATTGTATTTCCCAATAAAAAGAAATCTGTCGGTTAAGCCCTGAAAGTTGCCGACAGCCAGCAGATAAAATGTTTTGGGTTTACATTAGGGTTTGCCATCACTTTTACATGTACTAAAGATGAAAGCAGGCTTACCGTTGAATCAGCAGTAAAATGCCATCAGTGGGCCAACACCTTTGAACTCAGCAGTTGCCGCTTAAATTAACTTAGAGAACGTTATTACCCATTACATTTTGAATTGCAATTAGCTGATTGTCGTCACTGAATCAATCGGTGGCGAAAAGAGGTCATTGACTTTTAAGTATAAAAAAAATTCACAGCCTGATGATCAGTATCGAGTCGAGAAAGAGAGAAGCATAGCACATTGAAGAAAGGCATTAAATAATAAAAAATTAAAGAGTCTAAGTAAAAAGAAAGAGGAGGAAAAGGTAGTAAAAAGAGATAAAGAGTAATGTTTAGAAATACTTTTCAATTTATTTCGAAAATCAAACAACAATACCGAAAATTTCAGAGAGGATTTACCTCGATGATAATGCATAAAAATTTAAGGATGTTTTTATTTTTTACTTATTGAAAGAATTGATACATTACTGTTTGAGAATTTTTTCAATAATTAACGTATTTTAGGGAATTTGCAAATGGGAAAGAAATTATCCAATTTATTTTTACTTTGCACATGGTTTGCTATGAAAAATAGAAGAGAAAATTAAAATTGAATATGAAAGTGGTACATATCTGAATCAAATCTGAATGGCGCTTCTCAGGAAGCGCCATTCATATATTGAGCTTCAAATATGTCATTATTTTTTCCCTAATAAAATATTTTGTAATTTAAAAATAACTATTTTTTTAACTCGTCTTTTTTAAATATTTAACACTCCTTATTTACAAAATAATTTGTTTTATAAATATTTTAGGAAAAATTCCAACAGGTTGAGAGTTTTACTTCAAAACTATCAACCCGACATATTCAGTCAATTTTTGTTGATAATTCTCCTGGGAAGCAATTAGCGAATGAAGTTGTTCTGATGATTTTCGATGCTTTAGAGACAGGTACGAAAACGTTTATTTATAAGATTTAGTTTAGCATATAGCATATTCTTCGATCACAATTCTAATTTATTTCATTATATGCAGAAATTTCGAAGAATTATTATCAATCGTATATTTCAGTTAATCAATCAATTTTAACTCAATTAACTTGCTACGAATTATTACATTATACGACTCTGTAATATTTTAAACTTATCACTACTGAAACAGTATGGCCATTTCTGACTTGAGCCATCAAATATCAATTAACTAACCAAATTATTTTAAACTTAGATTAAAAGTCATTAGTGTGTAATAAAAATTATTAGTAGCCAGCTTCACTAGCTTACTTTAAAATTCAGAGAGAAATGAAATAGTAATGAAATACATGTTCTTGAACTAACGTAAGTTCAAATTCTTTGGAATCTAGGCTGGTAAGTTAATATACTGCTGATATAAAATATTAAAGAGTTAAAATCACAAAATGCAAACCGTGGGTTTGTTGCATGGCTGGAGTTCACTTGTCCTTTGAGTTGGGTTCTGATTTGTCTTTTCTTGAGTTGGTTGCGTGAAGTTTGTCTTCTGAATTTTATGTTCTTGAACTAGCGTAAGTTCAAACTCATTGGAATCTAGTCTGGTAGGTTTATATACAGCTCTGATATAAAATTACAAAGATTTGGAGTCACATCATGTAAGCATTGCAGGGTTGGAATTCACTTATCTTTTGAGTTGAGTTCAAATTTGCACGGATATAATGGTAAACGTTACTCACAAATCAACTAGATGAATAGGCTGACCACTAACGGTGATACATTAAAATTGAAGTAAGCAACAATGAATTACAAAAAAATCCTTAATTAATTTATCTTTCAAATTTCTTAAGTGAGGCAATTGAAAATACGAAAAAAGTTTGCTTTCTTCGTTAAGCATTCATAAATAATAAGATTTTTAAAAAAATAATAATAATAACTATCAAAGTACGTATTAATAATAAATATATTAATATTCTATTAAATGATAGTTTCTTTAAGCTTTTGAAGGCATTTAAACGGGTATTTTCAAAAAAATTTACGTAACAGAAAGTTAAAAATTGATTGAATTTAGTTTTCAAAATTGATTTAGCAAAAACATATTCAAAATATAATAGCAATATTTCGAAAGAAATATTATATTCTTGGAAATAGAACAATATTGACAACAATTTATTCAGGGGAATAATTTTACTTTACAAAATATTGTTATGTAATGTAATATTTTAAAAAATAATCTAAAAAAAATAATTCCAGCTTCTACCACTGGATCTAATCCTATTGGAATCCGAGAACCTAAATTGGATATGTCTACTTTGTGGAACTCAAAAGATGATAATTATGGGAACTATACAGGTACATCAGGTAAACTTGCTTCAACAATATTATTAGGTGAACAATTTTAGTTATGGTCAGAACCGGATGAATTTTAATTTAACAAATTAACTTTATTGTTTCGGCTAGACAGTTATAGAAAAGTTACAATTCATTGTGCCGGGGGAAAAATAAGAAGAACGATTCGCATTTAATATAAAACTTTTTTTATTAGATGAATTTGGATTCTTTCTCCCAAAAGTATGTGCGGCAGTTAAAATCTTGGGGGGGAAGTGGTCTGATTAATTTTATTATGAGAGTGGCCAAAAGTTGGACCTACTCAATTTTATTTTTACAGTGTATCAATTTTCTTTATGGAACAAATTGCGCACTTAAAAAAGTCTTAAATGGGAATCCATACTCAGAGAATGATTTTTTTAAATAATCTTCAGGTAAACAAATAATTCATAACAGTTTCTATTATTTTTAAGTTAGTTGGCAACCTTCCATGAATGGTTGCGAATTTTTTGAATAATAAAATATAAAAAATTTTACAATATGATTGCGCCATTTTTAACTTATGACGCAAATAAATCGTCCGAATAATGACTAAAAAAATGTAAGTTTTCAACTACAAATTTTATTAAATTTATAAAGTTTTTTTTTAAGGATTCTTTTTAAGGTTATCGAACTATTCAATTGTTTTATTTCAAATTTTAGCATTATTTTATATTTTATTTTCTGATTATTTCAAATTTTAGTTCTAGAGATATCGTTTTAAAAGAAGGAAACAGGTAAAGATTGCGTAGAAAATTTTTTTAAAAACTTCTGGAAAAACTTCACTTTTATTAATTTATTACTATTCCTATATACACTGAAGAGCCAAAAAAACTGGTATGCCTGCCTAATATCGTGTAGGGTACCCGCGAGTACGCAGAAGCGACGCAACACGACGTGGCATGGATTCGATCAATGTGTGAAGTAGTGCTGGAGATAATTGACACCATGAATCCTGCAGGGCTGTCCATAAACCAGTGGGAGTAAGAGGGGGTGGGGATATCTTCTGAACATCACGTTGGAAGGCATCCCAAATATGTTCAATAAAGTTCATGTCTGGGGATTTTGGTGGCCAGCGGAAGTGTCTAAATTCAGAAGAGTGCCGCTGGCCACCAAAATCCCCAGACATGAACATTATTGAGTATATTTGGGATGCCTTCCAACGTGATGTTCAGAAGATATCCCAGCCTCCTCTTACTCCCACTTATGGACAGCCCTGCAGGATTCATGGTGTCAATTATCTCCAGCACTACTTCACACATTGATCGAATCCATGCCACGTCGTGTTGCGGCGCTTCTGCGTACTCGCGGGTACCCTACACGATATTAGGCAGGTATACCAGTTTTTTTGGCTCTTCAGTGAACTTCTATTACTTCAGAAAAAATACATTTTTGTAGCTGATAATGCTGCTAAAAGGAAGAAAAAAATTCTTAAAGAAATCACAAGATGAACACAACTAACTATACAAGTGTAAAGAGTTTTTTCTTTATCCCCCCCCAACACTGAATTATCATATTCTATCAGTTTGTTTTGCTAAATAGCTGTCATATTTCTATGTGTGCCTTCCGATCTATAAAATCTAAATTTTTTATGCTTTTAATGTAACGCAAGGATAAATTTGAAATAAATGATTTTAATTGATCTGATCCAATTTAATGAGTAAAACAGAGAGAATACAAAGTATTCAAATGTTGTGAAATATGTTATGCAACCATGCTTTTTTCTTAAAAATCATATCCTTTAGTATAGCCAATTATGACTATCATATCCATCTTTTTCGGTAACCAATTAGTCCGCCTCGCCTTTGCGCCTCCTCATTGACTCTGTCGCCTTCGGCAGTAATGCTGTTAATGCTTGGTCCTTTCTCACGGACTTGCTTTTCAACTTGTTTAATTTTATACTGACGATTAACTATAAAGTGAAAATTGGAGGAGGTAGAAATCGGATCCCTATTAATTCAATTTGAAATTATAATGGAAAAAATTGAAAGAGTGAAACTTGCCCACGAACTCGAGATTTCGCGACTCCCTATTGTTCCACCACCATAAAATAAAAGAAAAGAAAGAAAAACAAGAATTACTCCAACCTCATGACGATATTTCATTTAGAAGCCGAAAATTAATTAAAAAGTACGCTTTAATTTTTTAGCAAATAGGAAATTTAATGATTGAAGAAAATTGCTTTACAGAAAATAAGATTGCTCATACATAAACATAACATTAAAAAAAAAGTTATGTTGTCACTATTTTGACTTCAATTCTATTCATAAATGTGCAACAACATTTTAAATTTTTCACTTAAACCAAGCGTTAAAATAATATCAGGAGGGGGGGAATATATAAGTTCGTCAAAATTAAATCGGACTATGTTACCAGGTTCCGTCTAGAGACTCGCAGAACATTCACGTACCGCTATATAAGATATAATCAACAAACCAACAAAATATATTTGCTATCACTTTCGACAGTCATCATTAAAAAATAGTTTTTTCAAGGGTATCTGAGCAAACCAGAGGCAATTTAAAATATTGATAGTTTGAACGATGCACTTCATGATTTCAGTTGTTTACAATTTGTTGTGAAAATTAAAGGTGCCTTTAACAATAAATCAGAGCAGCTTTCTCTTGCTAGGTCACTTATAGTTTGTCTAAAATAAGAACTCCGCTAGACATTTGTCGTGGCCTTTGGCGGTGGCCATGACAGACCTGTGGCTTTGGCCATGGTAACGAGGTATGACTATTTCAAGTAGGGGTGCGAGGTCACTGTTTTGGAGTGGTTTGGGCTCGGGTCGGCGAGAGAGAAGGAATCTCTTCGGTCTATTTTGTGTTAGTCCTAGAGTGAAGCTACCCTCCCTAAAATGCGCCATTCTTGTTTCCATGCCACCAGACGGCCTCAGACTTTGTGGCGGGAGGAGTTCTTACCTTAGACAAACGATACGTTAGGTACTCTCTCTGTGCGAGTGTCGCATATTCGAATATTGTTTCAAAAGAATCCTGTCATCAACTCATTTTTCTACTCCCTAATGTGAGTTTTCTTGTACTCTAGATAAAAGTACAAAGAAAAAGAAAAGAAAGACAGTAGTTTGAAAGAGAAATAATTTTTTTTTTTTTAAGTAACGGCAAGCACTGAACTTTCGTTCTCCGCCTTAGAAGATGGCGAAAGTGTTGCTCATTTATCGTTACCCAGTGGCCACCTGTGAACCAAAGTCACGGAGACGAGCAACATTACCCACGCCACACTGCCACAAATAGAGAGAGAAACATCCATGCCCAGAGCTGGATTCGAACCCGCAGCCATTGGCTTAGCAGTCAGGCAAGCTAACCACTCGGCCACCTGGCCGGCGAAAGAGAAATATAGGGAAATATAGAATGCAGATAATATATTTTTGAAAATAATTATAATTTGTTGTGTTTCGGAGATTACCAGATTGCTGTTTTGTTCTGAACTAGGCACTTCTTTTAAAATATTAAATTTCGTTACAAAATTATGGTGAGGGAAATATTGTTGCAATTTTAGACCATCCGAATTAACAGTTAACTCTTTGATTTTTAAAGAGATTTCGCAGATTCACGTATCATCCTTCAGGCTCTTGTACGTAAGTTTTGAAGCAACTGCGCATGCACCTATCTCTGTAAAGTGAGCGCAATTAACGCTAAAAAAATGGTAAAATACTTGACAAGTATGCGTACGAGAGCGTGATGATACGTATAACCGTATTTCTCTACTCTTACAGGAATGTCTTCTGGTTCGGTTGCAGCTGTAATTATGGCTATCATCTGCGCTATCTTAGCTATAGCTTTCTTTATTTACAAAAAGAGACAGTAAGTTCCAGGGAACATTTACGCTTTATTACTATATTAACCAATTCTATTCTTGAATTCTTGCCTCTTATATCGTTCTCTTTCAGAATTCCAGGATTTTCGTTCGCAAGATTCGATTTAAGAGGAGAAAAGATTGAACTTGAGCTTGGGACCACACCACATGAAGAGTTAGAACCTGAAGAGAGTCCAAGATCTTCAAAATCAGAGGAAAAAAGTAAAGCGTTTGATAACCCAGTGTACGGCACTAATATTACAGACGAGATTGTAAGAATGAATTGATTTTTAATTATTAATTTCTTCTGTATATCAACTTATAGTTTTTAACCCCAAATTTAAAAACCTTATTAAAGTGACCGTGGTGGCAATAAATTTTTAAAATATAATTTCTATTTATTTTTGTAAAGAGAAAAAAATTTAAAATTTTTAAATATATGTCCGTATGTTCTGAAGGAAAATAAATTATAAAAGAAGATACATACATTCAATGTCGCGAACGACACCATTGTTGATTAATGTTTACTAAATATGTATATATATATATATATTGATTTTGCAAATAACTTATAAACTCCGAGATTAACATGGACGAAAAACAAAATTTAAATTATAAAATTTAAATTTATATTGAACATAAAACTAAACGCGTTTGAGGCACATATGGCTCTCTAGAGACGTTTGTTAACAGAATGTTCGGTAAATTATTTAGCATGTATATTGTTATTGTAGTTTTCGTTGCATGCAAGTTTTTTTATATAATATTTTTAACCAAGTGATGTCATATTGAGCAAATACTTTAAAAATACTTAATAAATTATTTCCTGAAAAACTATGAACTTAATAATGTTTTATATTGTAACAAGAATTTATTAATAATATACAAGGTTCTTAACTTTAAAATAAATCAGAGACTCCACTATTATAAAAAACATTATTTATAATTTGCAGATGCTTAAATTATCCAACTGCACGTCAACAAAATATACGATATATCCATAGTAACTAAAATATGTTAACGCCGTTCGTTTCGGTTACCTTGTCACAAATTCTGATGTTTCGAAACATGATGCGGACAATTGGGTGCTTACACTTCAAGAAGAAGATCTCCCACACCCACATCTGTGACCCATGATGTCAGCGCCAGCTAATCTTTATCAGCAAAATGGCGTATTAAAGTTGAGCAAAGTTTCTCTACATAAGTTAGAGTGTTAATAACGTGAAATTAATTAAATATAATGCAGCATCGCATCTCGAATTTGTTGAAATGCAATTCTTTCTCGTCTATTTTGTTTACTTAACTTAGATTTGTAATTTGTTTATGTATTTTATTGTAATCGTGATATATTTCTGTTTTGTGTAACTGGCAACTTCGATGCATAATTAGTTTGTTTATATTCCACATGGCTTCGTGCCTGCCTTTGTGTTTAGTCTCTGTGTAAATATTTAATGAAGGAATTGAAATCGTTAAGAAAGAATCTATGCGAAAAATACAGAATGTGTCACTTAAGAGAATTGATACTTGACGGGTTTGGCTTTCTTGAAATAGAATGAAAAGAACAGTTAATGCCCCGTTTCAACAACAATCTGGATCGAGATACCCACTCTACGTCACTTGTAGGTATCCTGTTAAGCTGACATTTAAACTTTTTCTTAGCCTATCATAATATTGATTTGCAACTCCTAATGTGAGAAATTTTATGACTAGGATTCCAAAAATGGACATTAGATTTGGCTCAAGAACATTTGATGCCCTTTTAGTAAAATTGAGTGATGGCTAACGTAGTTTGAACTCACGTAGTTTGATAAAGAACGCTATTTTATCAAACAAGTAGTAACTACTGCAAGAATGTGATATTATTCGCAAAGATTATAACTTTTTCAGAATTTATGATATTCATGTTTCTCACTTATGCTCTTATGTTTTAAGGCTACATCAAGCAATGAAGACAACTTAGGAGGAAAAGACTACGTAGAAAACCCAATGTTTATGATATTTGAGGACTCTGAAAAGAAGGAGAAAAGTTAGATTTTAAGAAATTGAGTAATAGCTAATAATCAAGTCTTAATAAAGATTTTTGTTGTCAGCCTGCTGCTCTTTTGCACATTTTAAGCATCTTTCTTCACTTCCAAGACATTTACATTTAATTTAGCATTAAAACAATTAAACTTAATTAAAAAATGAGTCATCAGTCAACGTTTCAAAAAAGTAGATTTTTTTCCGAAGCAATATGAGAAATGATATAAAATTAATGCTATTAAATGGGGAAAAAAATACTCTAGAGATGTTCAAGTCAGAGGGTGAACTATATCACTTTTAACTATAATCATTCTACCAATTTTTTCAATATTGTAGTAGTTAGCCATTGAGCAAAGATTGAGTTGATGACAGCTTAGCTTAGATATTTCGATAGAGGTGTCAAAAATTACGTCACTACATGTGTACCAGCCTTTTGAAATTTTATCACTGGTCAATTAATTGCACTTGGAATACGTTTCACTTTGAAGTAAAAAAGTGTAAATAACCGGCAGCCATTGACAAGTATAAAATATGTCAATTGATTAAAAGATAATAGTCAAGTAATATAACCTTTGACTTCGATATCTATTATTTTTTTAGTTAATTTTCTAAAGCTAATTTAAAGACAATGAATTTAATTTTGCATTTTTAGTAAAGATTCTGAATGATTATTAGTTTAGAAATTATGTTACAGACGCTAAAGAGTCACAATTCAAAAGCATAGCAGAAATTTATATAGTATATAGTTATATATATATCTATCTATCTATCTA